GGGGAAAAAATTCAACAACAAATTAAAAGAGTCAGAACAAAGTCAAATTTGGTTAACAAAGGGTTTATTAAGTGCACTTTATGATTTCAAACATTTTAAACAGTAAACTTTAACTTTATAACATTTAAAAAACAGCAAACATGAGGCTGTTTAAACCATCGTTAAGCGAAACAGAGGACCCAAAAATTTAATCGTTATGCGAAGCATGGTCCCAACATCACTAAGCTAAAATCGCCCATAGGGACCATCGTTAAACGGAGCGCAAAAACGCTCTGAAAAACTCATCGCTAAGCGGATTCACAGTTAAACGAAGTGCTCGTTAAGCGAGGCACCACTGTACATTGGGGTGCCATTCCCAAGGTTGCTAAGCCACATTGTTGTTGTGCTGAAGGCAAACTCTCCTAACATGATGCAGCTGCTTCAGAGGGGCGTGACTACCCATTCTTCTTCTTTCTCATAGGTGATAGAGAGCTTGCTTAAAGGCCTCTTCCTAGGCCAATCATAGTGGCATGATGTAACCATTGTCCTATCTGAACTCTGTCAACTAACTGCAAGCTTGTAAGGTTAATGAAATCACAGTCCTCCTGGGGGCAGGGCAGAATTCATTCAGTGGTAGGGGCCAGGGTTGACCCTTGACCCCGGAAGTCAATCCTTGGCCCTTATGTCCCGCCTTACAGGGCTGTTGGAGCTGTCAAAATGGTGATCGATGAATGCTATGACCTATTACTACTTCCATGGTCAGTGAGCACCTTCAGTTGCCCTGGCTGGTCTTCCAGATTCCTTCTAGGGTTTTCCCACACATTTCATTATTCGGAGGAACCTTGCATAGGATTCAGATCTTGCAGTCCAATAAATTTTACCAAATTGCCATTTGGGCAGTATCTTTATTGGGACCAAGTGAAATGCCACAGAAGTGTACCTGTAGACTGTGAGTCATAGCCACTGGAACAGGACCACAAAAAGTTTGCTCCATCTTCTATGTGATAGCACTTCAAATATTTGAAGGTGCTTTTCATATCACCTCTCATTTCCTTTTCTAGGAATGAACCTACCAAACTCTCTCAAATGTTCCTCATGAGGCTTGGTTTCAAGGTCTTTACTGCCACTTCTGTCATCTTCCTCTCGATGTTCCAGCTTATTGATATCCTTCTTTGTGGTGCTCAGAATTCAACACATGTTGCCAAGTGAAATCTCACTAAAACGTTGTACCACTGCTTCTCTTGGTCTAGATACTATACTTTTTTAATGCATCCAAGAGTTATATTTGCCCCCCCCCCAAACATCACATTGCTTTCTCAAGATAGAGAATGAACTAATTTTTATATGCCTCCACTTGCACTTATATCAGTACTTAAATTATTGTTATTCTGTGTCTCTTTTCAGGTGATAGAAACAGCAAAAAGCATTATGGATAGTGGGGAACAGCTTCCTGTAACTTTAATTGGAAAATTAATTAAGTATCAAATGCTTTGCATCAAACAGAAAGATATGCAGAGAAGGGCTGCTGACAAAAAGGTATCTGAGGCTGTGATCCTGCACAGCTTTACCAGAAGTCACTCTCATTGAATTTAGTGGCATGTCTAATGTGTGGATGATGTTGGGATCGTGGTGGGGAGCAATAAGAAAAGAAAAATATGATTTGTCTAGGAAAAGTATACCTCAGAATATCTTTTTGTTATATTTTGCTGGTCTTAGGGCTCAATTGCACTTGCCAAAAGAACCCCAGTTATATCATTATTGCAGTTATTTGGGTCATTTCAAAAATTTCCATTCGCATGTCACATGACTAACATCAATTTATTTGCCCCAGCAATCATTTTATTTCCTCCTCTTTGAGACAGTCATTTTACCAATCATGTATCACTTCATTCCTTATTGCATCATTATGTTTGAATGCTGCTGTCAATTTATTTCCTTTGCGAAGGGGTTGGGCTTTTGGGTGCTGTGGTCACTTCATGACCACTGCACTTGTACCCTTAAACATTTTTAAAGGAGATTTATAAAGCGCTAGTAGGACCTGCCACTGCCACCATTGCCACAAGAACAAAATGAATACATTGCTCAGAAGGAGACAGTCTTCTTGCTTTGAATTGTAAAGGAAGCAGTGTTGTATCAATGTCTCCCCTCTCTCTCCTGCCACCATTGCCACAAGAACAAAATGAACACATTGCTCAGAAGGAGACAGTCTTCCCCGCTTCCTTGTGGGTGAGCAGAAAAAGAGACATTTCTTGCTTTGAATTGTAAACGAAGCAGTGTTGTATCAATGTCTCCTCTCTCTCTCTCTTTTTTAACCCTGCTCTTCACAATACTTTATAGATTTTTTAAAACCTGCTTCCTCCTCCTGGCGCTGTGCAAAAGAGAAAAGAAGAATGAAAGCTAAAAACTGAGAGAGAGAGAGAGAGAGAGAGAGAGAGAACTGAGAGAGAGGGAGAGAGAGAGAGAGAGAGAGATGCATGGAAAGGGGAGGAGTAAGGGAGGGAAGGGAAAAGGAGAGGAAGAGAGAAGGCTTGTACCACTCTATTGATATGTCACTTTTATAATTAAAAAATGGGCAAGAGGGCCCTGATTGCCCCAAGAAACAGTAGAGAATATGAATCGATGCAAAATTAAAGAGCAGTGCAGCCTGCTATAATGTTGCAAATAGAAGGAGATTTAACGATGCAGTTCCAAACAATGTAAACACTGCCACTGATATATGTGCCACATGATCACTGGAAAAAAATATCGATCGGTACAACAGAGGGATGAAAATAATCAATATAACTGGAGTTTTCTTCTCACATGTCTTTGAGCCCTTAGATATATTCGCTTTTTACACTGGTAGAACCCAGTGCTCCATTTGATTAGTAGTCTAAGTGGAGCTATGAAACAGACCAAAAAAAGAGGAAATTCAATATACAGTACACCACAGATTATTGCCCTGAAGAAGGCCCTAAACTGTTTGGACCAGAATGTGTTGGATGGATTTTTAATAAGTCTGTGGTTGTGTAAATGAGCCTACTTGGTGACAAGGGAAAGATCATTGAGCAATTGTCTTTATGTATGTGTTTTCCCCCCAGTAAGACTTTTGCTCTTTCAAAAGAAAAAAAAAAACAGCAGCAAATATCAACAAAGCGAAGCATTTTAGGGGATGGTCATCTTAGTGCATGATTTGTGTGTCCACAGTTGTGTCTCCAGTATCTCAGGGAGTAAACCACTGAGGGGTAGAACTGTCTAAAAAGCCTTGGAAATGTCACACAACAGTGCCATTAACAATATCAGAAAAGGCATTGAAAAACTCCTTTTCCTTAACAAATGTGCATCATAAAAATCAAAATTGTAACCATATTCTGAGGATTGTACCAGAAAAGTATTTAATATTCATTTATAAATAATATTTTATTCTAAATTTCCTCTGAAAAAATAGAGCTCAGAGTGGTTAGAAAACATAATTGAAAACCCAAATACAATAATAAATCTGATGGTTGTTGTACGTTTTTCAGGCTGTTTGGCCATGTTCTGGAGGTTTTTCTTCCCAACCTGTCTCTGTGGCCGGCATCTTCAGAGGATAGGAGTTAGAACTCTGTCTGTGTTCTGGTGTAGTGTGTGGGATAGTTGAGTATTTGTAGCTGTCGGATCAACTTTTCTAAAAGCGATGGGAGTTGGAATTCTGTTTTTATCTATGCTACACAGTTATAACACGTTGATTTTAGTTTAACTGTCATAGCTAGATCCTATGGGATCCTGGGTTTAGTGATTTGATGATGCAGTATATTCATTTTTTTCTACCAGAGAATTCAATTTTATTTATTACATATATTTGTATACCACCCAACTTGGTGCTATGCCTTACTCAGTGTGGTTAACAAGAAACCCCATAACAAAATAAGCAGGCAAGCTAAAAATTAAATAAAAAGAAACCTAAAAATACCCCCACAACAACTAATGATGGCAGTAAGATGGGGTAAAACCAAATCCCGCTGTCACCTCAGAGAGGGATGTCTGAATGCTTCCTTAAAAAGCTCAGTCTTCAGCAACCTTTCTTGAACTATAGCAGAGTCCTTCATCTCACTACAGATCCCATGATTGCATAGGATGGTACTAGCATTAAAGTGAAATCTAACCTTTTGGCATGAGTATAAGATATATTTTGTTTAACCATCATTTTATAGCATTTCCACTGATATTATTTTGTTTTGCTTTTGGCTTGTGTAGTTGCCTATATCGGTCCTTTAGGGCCATTGTTGCCGATGTCCAGATGACATCACTGATGATGCACAGGCTGGGGCATGGTGGGGGAAGTGAAAGCTGCTCCTTTTGCCTGCCTTCTGCCTGCATGCAGTAGTAAGGACAACAACTGCAGTCTAAGTTGTGAATTACATTTAGTGCTATAGGACTAACGTTAGTGATATAGCATCAGACTGATACAACACTAAATCAAATGCTTGCCATGTATTGTCAGTTCAGTTTTTTCAATTGCTAAACTTTTAAAAAAAGAACTTGAATGCCATAGCCAGGTAAGAGGGTGGTTATAACAGCAGAGAAGGTTGAGAGAGGCAGGCTGTGTGAAACGTGGATACTTGAAATGCATTTTCCCAGGCCAATTACACATTTAAATGCCCAGGTACAACACAGAGAAGTTTGCATCAACCCAGGAGAAACTTCTTTGTGTCCAGAGGTGTATTTTAGAACCAGAAATTTCATGTTTCAAAATTTAAATCTTTCCAGATTTTTAACTCTGGTAACATACATGGGATATAAATGTTTTGGTAGCTAGTTGAAGACCGAGAAAAGGAAAAAGAAGACAAAGCGAAAGGGAAAGGGAAACCTGCCAACAAGAAGGAGAAGCCTGCCAGTGCCAAATCTGGTGGAAAAGGAGGAAAAGGAAAGAAGGCATCAGATTCACCAAATGTATCTGCAAGTACCATTAAAAAAGACACGAAGCTTAAACGACGTGGAGAAGAGGATGATCTTGATAAATACATTGGTAGGTAGAATATAATCAGTCATGAACTCTTTCTCAAAAATACTGAACTGTTCTGTAGATTTGGAGTGATTTCTCGTGCTCTCTTTCATACCTTATACAGTCAAATTCTGGGCATCATGTTTAGTTATCAGCTTTCTCCAAGCAGTGAATGCCCAAATTATTTTCATCAAATTAACTATTCCTTCGTTTGTTTTCAAAAGCAATCTGTAAGTCCACCTAACCCTGATTTTATCTCTCTTTTTTGCAGAACTAGTAAAACTGTAGAGCTAAAGAGAAAGGTATCACCATTCCTTCATAGAATGAATGGCATATAATATAGTCACATGGGCTTATATTAGACATATTTATGGGGAAATACTTGTCTTAATTGTAGCTCACTACTCTAGATGGATATGTACTGTATACATTAATTGAAATTCCCAGTTCAAGTTATACTTCAGTAAAAACCTAAGGGCTTTGTATGTTCTTTTGGACAGATGATGAACCAGATGATGGTGCTGAGTATTATTTCATAGTTTGTGGTTTTCACTACCCTCAACTTCTGCCTGTGCTTTCTGATCTTGGAGTAAATGTTGGAAGTGTCATAAAAATTTCTTCTGACAATTATGAGCCACTGCAGACCTACCTGGAAGGGATTGCTTTGCAAGACGAACCACTTCTTCCACAAGAAGGTGAGCTGGTGGTTAATAGGGATGTAAACCTAAAGATTTTTATTATTGTTTTGGTTCATATATCCTTTTATTGCAGCAGCATATTTAGAGAATTGTTTCAGCTTTGAAAAAAAATCATGGTTCCTGCTGATATTTATACAAACTTATCTACGTATTGTATTTTTGAGTTAACTTAATCTCTTTGTGAATTAGTAGGAATAGCATGGGTTGGGGGGGTAACATGGCCCTTGTTGTAAAATAATGGGGAGGCAGTCTGGCCTTCCTATCAGAAAAGCATAGACACACCTAATGTTAAAAATGTGTTCTGTATCAAGAAGTCAGCAGCAGCAGCTCAAACTGCCATGGATATATCATAATACCAGTTGTAGATATGAAAGATAAGTTGGGTATGTTTGAGTAGGGGAAACTAACCAAGAAGCCATTCCTGTGCCTTTTCTAGAATGATTGCCCTTGATCTCTATCCTGAGTCACTGCCATTCTGTGGTGCCTTCATTGATAATGGAACGGTCTGATCTCAGCAGTGACTGTTGGATTTTCAAGTTTCGTAGCTCTGTACAGACAATGAGAAAGAGTGTCCATTGCCAAAAGCCAAGTTAGGGGCAAATTCAAGAGCAGATGAGCGGTGGGAGTATATGTGTGATAGCAGAAAAGAAGACATTCCTCTTATTTTAAAAAATGTGGGTAATGATTAAAGCAGGATGGAAGAAGTTAGAGAGGAGAAAAAGTATTAGGAGGAAGGAGAAAAGTGAAGAGCAGGACACAGACTTTCTCAATCCATAGACTGAGATGAGATGAGTCTCTCTCTCTCTCTCTCTCTCTCTGTGTGTGTGTGTGTGTGTATATGTGTGTGTGTGTGAAAGAAGAAATGGGAGGTAAAGATCAAGGCAAAATGAGATTTTTCCTTTTGTTCATTCCCCTCATCATTCCTCTGTGTATATGAAAGGAAAAGATGGAGGAGGAAAAATGTGTTGGAAGCAGGGGCTTCTCATGGTGTGACCAGGGGAGTACCTCACCTTTAATTGTAAGGGTGAGGCGTCATTCCCAGCTTGTGTCACCAGCTGGGTGGGAATGGAATTGTAAAGGAAGGAGGTTCCCTTCGTCACCCCCATCCATACAAACTGTATCAAAAGCAATCAGAAATCATACTGCATTTGCAAACGTTTGTGTGCTTCCTATGGTTGGGAATGTATGTATAGGACATAACTAGAGATGGGGGTATTCATATTCGTATACAAATATCCCCCCACAGGTGGAGACAATGACCACTCACAATTATGCCGCTGCCACGAGCTACACGGAGCCATCCTGTTGCTCCATTGCTCACGATAGATTAGGCAGTCCTCACAAAAGGTGGGATGACAAGCCTCTGTGCTAGGTTGCAGAGTGGCTAATCCATCATGAGCACTATATGAGACACTAGATATATTCTGAATATGGTGTGTATTCAGGGAATAAACTAGACTGTCTATGTTTTTACTGTGCAATAAAAATCAGAGCTTGGAATAAACTGGTTGGTTGTATTTAAGATGGCTAATCTATTAACCCTGGAAGAGTCAAATGCAATGAACAGGATGACTTAATTATGTTTTAATTAGTTTAGCATTAATCAACAACATTTGAAAGCTTTAATCGTTTTCTTTTAGCAAAGAGAAAGGATTTGAAGTCTGAGTCTGAGCCATGGCAGGGAAAAGAAGAAAAAAGGAATTGATGATGGCAACAGAGGGAGGCTCTTTTTTTTTCTTTTCTTTTTTTAAATGTCTTGACTGCAGCAGGAAACTGCCTCTACCACAGGGAAGGGGCCAGAAACAGACTGATAGAAGCACAGAGTGTGGGATGTGCATATATTTGACAGGTCACTGGAGCTTATTATCTGCCTTCATAGGATCAGCAGTGTAGTTAACTTGAACCCTCTTTTTGTGGTTAGGAACTACAGTGGAAAACAGTGATGGAGAGGGAGTATGGTTGTCCTAGTTCTTGGCTAGCATGCCCACTTTTCAAAAGGTCACATTGTGATTTGGCAAAACCACAAAGTGTTTAAGTCCAAAATACAGTATTACTGTACATGAAAGACTGCACTCTGTTTACATTTTATTAAAATCTAAAATATGTCACCTGACAAAATACATTTTATTTAATAATATTTCAATGAGAATGGCTTGAAGCAGAGCAAGGAGATCTTGGCTTTTCTTTTTGTGAAATTATGGCTGGATAATTTTTCACCTTTCCTTTGGGAATACAAATATGCTAAAAAGACCTCATGCTGTTGCAATTTTAGTTGTAGAAGCTGAAAAGAAGAAGAAGGAAAAAATTGCTAAGGACCTGGAAATTTTTTGGAAATACTTAGAAGCAGTTCTGAACAGTGGAAAACCAGGATCAAATCTCTTTCAGATTGCTAGACTTCATCATCTTGTCCATGAGTCTACATTTCCTGCTGACTGGAGTAACAATGACATGATGGTTAGTAGCTTGTGTGTGTGTGTGTGTGTGTGTGTGTGTGTGTGTGTGTGTGTGTGTGTGTGTGTGTGTGTGTGTGTGTGTGTGTGTGTGTGTGTGTGTGTGTGTGTAACACACCATGTAATAGTATATAGTCTAGCATTGGTCTCTATTAATCCTAGAGTGCAAGTTCAGTAGGATCTAATCCTGCAGCCAAGCTGTTGTTGAGGGTCAGGAGACCCTTAAGTTCCAATGTGTGTCGCTAGGGACTAGTGTGTTGGCTAAAACAAAAACAGCAGAGGAAAACTTGTGAGGAGAATGTGGTCTCCAACAAGCTTTCTCTATTTACGTATGATGGTCTCAGTTTCACAGGTGATGTAACATTGTAAATGGAGTTGGTTGACAGGATGGCATGGAAGGAGCAGATGTTCCGATTTATTTCCCTGTCTCTCAAACCTAAAGGCTAAGGATATTATAAAGCTGAGTTGCTCGTAATCTGAGCATGTTGTGATGATTTCAACACTGACTTGCACAATGAGGGCTTCTTGATCTTACTCCTCTAAATCTCCTTGGTTTGTTTTTAAGCAAAGTAGGTTTGCATTCTATGTGGGATATCTGCTCTCCTCTTCTAAGTTGGACATCACAGTGCACTATGAAATTTGTGTAATTTACGGATGAACAAAAGTGTAACTTCATGTTTCTGTAAGCTTTGACTTACTTGAATTAGTGTTGTATATAATTGACACAGTGTGACAGCTGGGTATTTTAATACTAATTGTAAAATGACTTTCATAGAGAGCTCTGCAATAGGGGGGTGTACTTTTCCAGTCCTAATTCTTAGAACTCTCACCTTTGTTGATATACACACTGCTCCGAGTAGGAGAGACTGGCATAGGTTGGTGGTAGACTTTGTGAACAAAAATGCAGAAAGTTCAGAAAAGTAAAAGAAGAAATTGAATAGCACTTCCTAATACAGTGGTGCCTCGCTTAACGATGTTAATTCGTTCAAAAAAATCGCTATGTGAAAACATCGTTATGCGAAACGCCATTTCCCATAGTAATGCATTGAAAACCGGTTAATCCATTCCAATAGGAACGGATTGCTGTCCTTAAGCGTAAAAACCCATAGGAAATATCGTTAAGCGATACAGTGTTTCCTCCATTGGAAGCCTATTCAATGCATTTCAGTGGTTTAGCGAAGTCAATTTTTGCAAATTTAAGTGTGTCATAAAAGGGTCAAAAATGGTTTTAAATGCCTGGAATACTTTCTGCACCTTCTAAAATGGGTGCAAATTTAATTTGGCTTTGATCTGACTTTTCGTTAATTTTTGCTGAATTTTTTTCTCCCCCATAGGAAACAATGGAGCTGTCAACTTTTGACAGCTGTCAAAAGTTGACAGCTCCATTGTTTCCTATGGGGGAGAAAAAAATTCAGCAAAAATTAACGAAAAGTCAGATCAAAGCCAAATTAAGTTTGCACCCGTTTTAGAAGGTACAGAAACTATTCCAAGCATTTAGAACCATTTTTGACCATTTTAAGACACTTTTTAAAATGAAAAAACAAACATCGCTAAGTGAAGCAGGGGACCTAAAAACACATTCGCTATGCGAAGCATGGTCCCAAACTTCGCTAAGCGAAAATTGCCCATAGGAAACATCGTTAAACGGTGCATATTATTTTCTAAAGAAAACCATCATTATGCGAATTCATCGCTAAACGAGGCACTCGTTAAGCGAGGCACCACTGTAACTGTACAGGAATAGTATGGGACTCAATGAAGGTGATCATAAGGTGGTAGGTAAAAGCAAAATGATTTGTTTTAACTTCATAGGTCTGGTTGGTCAAGGGAGAAGAAGGAAGAACAATAGAAATCACACAGACTCCCTACTATGTTGGAGAGAGTATGGGAATCTTGATACATATTTTTGTATCTGGTGGCAATGTCCACAAATATGCCAGTTTCTAGAAAAAATGAGGTCTAAAATGAGATCACAGAGATTAACAACCAACCAGTAATGCTAGACCCAGACTTGACACTAGCAAATATATTTGATGGAAATAACACAGGCATTCCACATTGGGAATTTATTATATTCCTGTTAGAAGCAGCTAGGCAGTGGAAAGAAGAGTGTACCTTTTGTTTAAGAGAACTGGTGTAGTAGAATTTAGGATATAGTGTTATTGAAAAAACTAGCCCAAGAGGAAGAGCAAGCTGGATGACAAGTACAAAGGAATAACTTTAATGTGACATTGGATCCTTCTTTTACTTGTACTGAACAAACGACAACATTTGGAAGCAGGCTGCTTCAGCCCATGATGATCCCCTTAAGTAAAACTAGACATTCCTTTCATAACCTTTCAATAAGAAATAACAAATGACACAAACTATCCAATGGCTGAAATCCTATTTGTGCAGCTGTGCCACATAAAGCTGATAATATGATCAGCCCCTGTGATCTTTCTGTATAAAAAAATTTTCTGACCTCCTTCCCTGCCCCCCCGTCCCCAATCCCAAGGCTGTTGTAGAATCCTATGAGTTGTGGAGGAAAAAAATGGCAGTGGCAATTTTTGGAAGTTAGACTCTTCTCCCCCCAATCCTATAGCCCCCACTGATTTGCTGATGTTGAAATGCCTTCCACAAAAGCCTTTGAACCTTTGCCGGGGGGGGGATCAGAAAGTTTTTATTTCAGAAAAATCACCCTAGCAGTGGACATGACCAGCCTCATTTGGCATAGCTACGTAAACAGGATTTCAGCCAATTAATCTTAGATGTCTGATGACGTGAGCAAGTAGTCCACTATTTCTAGATTTCCTATGTAGTGATTATTGTTTTCTCTCATGAACTAATTCTGAAAGTTTGTGTTTGTTCTGGTTTGGTGCATATTTGCATCACTCTGTCCATTACAGTCCTTTGGACTTTGATGCATTTTTTTAAAATCTGGAGCAAACTTTCAGAATCTGGAAGCTCATAATGACTAAAATTCTGCTAAGCAATTACGCAGACATTTAGGAGCAAATTGATGTAAGTTAAGAAATCTCTGTAGAACTTACCTGTTGCACACATGGTCACGTGATTTCCTAGTTATGGCCATTTGCTTCTGAAAGTTACATTATTTGCACAGTAGTGCAACAGATTTTCAGCCGTTGTGACTAGAGGTTACTAATAAGATTGATTAAAAAAAAAGAATCAGAAAAAATCTGTCAAAACTTAGAAATTTCTTTCTTTCTTGCAACTTCCCAATCTGGAATGTTTGTGCAGGGGTTAATATTAGAGATGGTGATATTCATATTTGTGAATGAATACCAACATCCCTCTCTCAACTGGACCTAATCAGGATCCAGCCCCTGGGACTGGCCCATCCACTCACATGTCCCGGCACCGTGAATGTCCCTGTCTCTCCCCCAGGGAGACAGCAGAGCTCCTGGTGCCATCGGTGGGAAGAGCAGGACCTTTGTGGTGCCGAGACATGAGTGGATGGGCTTGTCCTGGGGGCTGGACCCTCATTAGGTCCAACTGGGATCTGATTCATATTTGCTTATGGTATTACAAAATATTCCCATTTCTAGTTCATATTAAAACTAAAATCCATTTTAACTGAATGGTAAGGATATGCTCATTATGTTGTTAGAAGAATTCATGATTTTCAATTATTGGTTTTTGGTGTGTTTTTTTAAAAAAGTAACTCTGAAATATTGTCCTGTCTATCTTATGCATATTATAATGATTCTACTTTTGTTTACATATTTTCATCCATGTAGCTTGAATGTGGAACAGACCTCTTTGAAAGTGTGGCATGTTTAATATATGACTGCCTGGACTGGAGAAGACAACATCAGCACTATTTGAAATCCACCAAATTGATTAATGTTCCTGTAGTGGAAAAGAAGAGCAAACTGGCAGCAGAGGTCAGTGGTTATGAGAGGTCAGAAACACTCGTACACTCTTGAAAGACAGCAAAAAATACAATTGTGGAAAACCATATATGGAAGAACCTCTCTACTTAAATTCCCATTGTCTTCTAGATACTGTAACTTACAGTATATATCATGGTCCACAGCACACGTTGCTGGACTTGAGAGTGGATTCACTAGTTTTTGGCAAATCACTAGTATTATTCTCTGGCCAGAATCCTATTAGTGATATATTTGCATATATTATAAAGTTATGGTGACAAATTTCAATTGATTAACAAAATGATAGTTAAATTCCAGGGTGTCCTCTCAATCACATGATTGGGCAAACATCAAAGGAGGCAACCAGCATTCATGATTGCATTGGAATTTCCTGTTGTGACTTACATGATTTCCCTTATACAAGCCAAAATCAACAACAGGATGCTCTGTGTAATGTTATTATCCTGCAGCTAGTTATGGCTTATGGCTTATGGTGAGCATAACTTACAATTTAAATTGTATCCTGTATCCTCCACAGCAGAAATGTAAAGGCGGGGGGGAGAAACACTTTGGAAAACAAAAAGTTAAGAAATATTGCCAGTCAGTTCTCTGTCATCCATAGCAACACTACAACCCTGTTCAGATGGGTACATAGCTTGCTATTTGGATCGGTTTTGGTGTGATTTGGTTTGAATCAAGTGACAATGTCCACACTTGTTATAACTTAGAATGCTTCATCCAACCCCTTTTGAAAGCTGTCTTGGACCATTCTGGCACAGTGCTAGGGCTACTGTGTTTTGCATACAGTTCGGCATACTCCTGATTATTCTGTTCTGTAGCTCTTGCAGATGATCACCAAATCTGCACCAGAATAGAGCTGTGGGGTATTATCTGTGGTGACAACCATCTGATGTACAGTGGTGCCTCGCATAGCGAGGTTAATCCATTCCGGATTAACCTTTGCTATGCTGAAGCATCATTGAACGGGGCAGGGATTTCCATTGGAACACATTAAACATGGTTTAATGCGTTCCAAATGGGCCAGATACTCACCGTTCAGCGAAGCTTCTTAATGGCCGGCAGCCATTTTCGCGCCCTCGCCTCGCTTAACGAGGGCGCGAAAACGCTGCGCGCGGCCATTTTGGGCCATTTCCGGGCTTCCTGTGGCCATTTTGGCCGCCTAAGCTGATCGTCGGGCTTCGTTTTGCGAAGATCGGTAAGCAAAACGCTTACCGGTCTTCGCAAAGCGAATTTAGCCCTATTAGAAAAACATTAAGCGATCGCATTAGCGATCCGAACAAACGGATCGCTATGCGATTTCGTCGTTATGCGGTGCGCTCGTTAAGCGAGGCACCACTGTATTTGGTGGGTTATGGCAGTGAAAGGGATGATGAAGGGATGTATTTTAATCTACTGAACCATTTGAATTTGTTTAAAAATATATTCTCCTATTGATGCAGCATTATGTCTAGATAAATGGGATACATTTGGGTGATAGATGAAAAGAGGAATTAATCCATAAACAAACAAGTAAGAATCTATGTCTATTTCATGCAAGAAAAAGCAACCCCTCCCCCCAAAAATGCTACTTTGTTTTAAGTCAAAGCTGATTTCATGCGCCAGATCCAGTCATAAAGCTACCATGCTTCTAACACATATGCAAGACAATGCAATTTATTGTGATTAAACTTAATGTTTAAAACTTCAGACTCCTACATTAATCAAAAACCTTTCTATAGAAAAACAAAGTTGAAATATACTTGATTTCTAAGTCTAAGATTTTCTTGCGTTCCACATGAATCAAAGCAGAAATGGTTCTGTTTTACAAAAAGGGGAGAGGGGCCAATAGCAAAAATGACAATCCATTTAAGCTTAGTGAAGTCAAATACTTCAGCAATAACTGGGTTCAAGACTGTGGTCTTGCCACTTTTAACACCAGTGCTTTTGTTTCACTAGGTGCAACCCACAGCACCAACTGTTGTTTCAAGGAAGAAACAGGCTACAGAAGAACTTGTTGCACCACTAGTTTTAACAACAGGTATGCTTAAAAGAAAAGCTACTTCCTGAGCATTGCCTCTGGAAAGACTTAATTACTTCTCAGTATTCTGCAAAACATATATAAAATGTCTGCTGAGAGTACTGGGAAGAGTCCTGATCAGTTCCTGTCTCTGTCCACCCTTCTGATACCTGAAAATCTAGATAGCACAATTGGGGGTGCCTCCCCAGGTAATGCTTTCTCATTCCCATTGTATCAAGACACGAACTTTTGTGTTGTTGTTTAGTCGTTTAGTCATGTCTGACTCTTCGTGACACCCCATGGACCAGAGCACGTCAGGCCCTATTGTCTTCCACTGCCTCCCGGAGTTGGGTCAAATTCATGTTGGTCGCTTCGATGACACTGTCCAGTCATCTCATCCTCTGTCGTCTCCTTCACCTCTTGCCTTCACACTTTCAGATACCCCAAACTGGCTATTCGTTTTAGGTGGAATGAGCAGTGTGTAGAGTGGGGGAGACGATGTAACTGCTGAGCACTCTGCTAATCCAATGACGTACAGGCAAAGGTATTATGGGCAGTCCCATGTGCTTCCCAAGTACCGGTCTACCACAACACAGTATTCAGAGTCCATGGAAGAGTTAGTCACCTGGGGTCACTAATCCTGATTCAGGGAAACTATCTGAGCAATCTGCTGCAAGTGTAATCAGCATCACTCCAGGCTTTGTTTGCAGATGGTGGTACAATACGGCCTTTAGCTTCAGAATGGATGCAGGATATACTGGGAAGTGCTGGTAAATCTCTGGGTGTAGATCACCCAGGGTTTCCAATTCTCAATTGTCTAAAAATGTAAAGAAAAGAAAACTGCTTCTAAACGAAACAGCTAAAACAGAACAAGGGAGGAAACAAAGAGGTTTTTTTTTTTTTGCACAAAAGGAGCTGTCAGCTTACTAATGAAAACAAATCATCCGCACAGCATGTGCTTGGAGACACCATTGTTCCTTAATTTGAAGAATATGATCCTTTGCTCTCCAACCACTTTTTTGGGCTTAGCTCCAGTTAGAGGACCTCAAGGTCTAATGAAACACAGAGCAGATCCAATACATTCCATTGGTTTAGCTTTTCTGACACCATTCACTTATAGTTCTCTGGTCTCCCACAGAGTTCTGTACACTGCTGGTTATGTACAGCAGTGCAGCAGGAAATGCTGGCAACATTCAATCATATTGTTGTCATTAATCTTTTTTTCCAGCTTTAGAAGTATGCAGCGGTTCTAGTCATTTTCTATGTGCCCGGGAGTTAAGATAAAAACAAATATATTCCTTAAATAATCCACTTTTATTCCCTCTCCACATGTAAAGGAAGTGGCAAACTTGATTCTTCTCCACTGATACCACCTAAAATGTTAATATTTGGGGTATTGTTTCTTGTTAGATCACTCACTCAGTTTGTATATGCTGTTATTTTCTTCCTGACTTAATTTATACCATTGAGACTTCATTGAGCTCGCCCACGTATAACATTATTACTGTAAAATGCATAATGTAGTGAGATATTAACATGCAGCTGCACTCTTGCTGCAGACAGTTGGCAGTGTGAGAGGCTGATGAAATATTGGGTGCTTTAGACTGGAGCTACATTTCACTATTTTGAATAAAACAAAGCTGCTGTCCCTTAAAGCAGTGGTCCCCAAACCCTGGTCCGCGGCCCGGTGCTGGTCCGTGGCCTGAGCCCAACCGGGCCTCAGAGAGAGACCTCCCCCCCACCCCCGCACGCACTCCCACAAACACAGCCTGTTTGCACCTGCGTGCAAGCGCCTGCACAAGCACTGCACCACCCTTCCGCATGCGCACAAGTGCACGTGCACCTGCAAGAGCAGCACATCACCCTTTGCACATGTGCACAGACACACATGCGCACAAGCGCAGGGGGTGCCCCACCTTCCCCAGCCGGTCCGCAGGGCTAAAAAGGTTGGGGAATGCTGCCTTAGAGAGTTTGTATGGCTTCTCGAAGGCTTTCACAGCTGGGATCCAATGGTTGTTGTAGGTTTTTCGGGTTGTTTGGCCGTGTTCTGGAGGTTTTTCTTCCTAACATTTCGCCAGTCTCTGTGGCCGGCATCTTCAGAGAAGAGGAGTTAGAACTCTGTCAAGACTTGTGAAACTTTAGGAAGAAAAACCTCCAGAACATGGCCAAACAGCCCAAAAAACCTACAACCAACCATCAGTTGGTATGGACTTCTTCTCTAATAGGCTATCTATGGTGATAATAAGAAAAAAGTCTCATGGGGCTGGGCCGTATGTTGTGGCAAAGATATAGTTTCACTTCTGACTTCATACAAGTCTTTCTACTCCATGTTCCTGAAACATCAGACATTCTTCTGTTTTGTAATTGGTGGACTGGGTGATACAGTAAAGCCATGGTATCTCCCAGTTCACCAGTTACAAACACACACACACACACACACACACACACACACACACATACAAGGATCCTGAATCCCCTTTGATATGGAGACGTTGTTGGGGGCTGTGGGACAAGGGAAGTCTTTAACATCTAAAAATTACCACAGGTAAAACCATCTTGTCAGTTGCAATTTTCTGAAATTAAAGATTTTCCCTGTTGCACAGACCCCAGTAGCTTCCAAAAATTCACATCAGCTGGTGATGTCATCAGCCTTACCCTTTGTAGCTTTATGAACAGGATTTCAACTATTTCTTATGCAGATGGCAGGATTTTAGGTCACATTTGTCTTCCAGCTATCTCTCTGTTTTGGCAGCAGGAGTTGTTTCTCATCCAACCAATTACACCAGCTTTTTGCACCATTTCTGCTCATAAAACAGCATGCAATGTTTTTGTCCTAATCAATGTTTTATTTGGTATGAAAAAGTATCTGATGGCAAACTGCAGTAGATATGTTGGGACAATTTTTGTCCCAATTGATTTTTGCATCTTAAAAAAACAGTATGGTAGGGACATTTTGGCAAACTCCTTAGATGATTGTGCCATAATGTGCCTTCCTTTGTAGATTGTTCTCTCCGATTTATGTAACTGAATGTGAAGTTTAGGTATGTCATACTTAAGATACAGATGGAAACAGAAATGTCTTAATGTGGATTTCTTATTTTAAAGTTGCACAAAGGGCACTCAACCTACTACTTTCCAGGATCAGTCACTTTAGGTTGAACTCCTTCTGCTTTGTGGCATACGTAGGATAGGAGATATTCAGGGTTTCCTTGGAATATCTGAGTTCCTGTACCATTTATTTTTATTTGCATGTTTTATGCATATTTATAAATTGCTTAAATTTGAGGATTTCAAAGCAGTCTCTAACAATGTTAAAAACATACAATATTCAATTAATATTCAATTTAATATTCAGTATTAAAATATACAATATTCACAATATGCAAAACTTGATTAAGGTGGCTGTAATTTTATTGGTGTTTGCATAAGGTTTGAGAAACTAAACACTGCTAATTCCAGCTAATTGATGAGGTGCTCCAGTACATCTTGGTTGCATAGTTGGGTGTATGACAAGGCATACAGCTGAGATAAGCCTTGACACCTTGTTAGACACAATTAGTCATAGCAAGTTATGTGGAACTTTTATGAACGCCAGCAGAATTGTGGGAAGTATTATGTTCTCCTTAAAATAAATGGTGTCTTGGAATCCACAAGGAAGACATCCATAGTACATAAGTTCCCAACCTAAGCATATTGGAGCATGTTGAATACAAGAGGAAAATGTAGCAAGTTTAATACAGATATTTCTAAGGCAGTAGCCTCTGAAGATCAAGAAAGAGACCCTTCTTCCTACTGATATGTACACTCAGAGTAACTTCCCTAGCTTGCCTTAAAGCAAGTTATTCTCCTTCTGTTAAGTAGTTCAGAAAATCACAAAACGTATATCCAAGATTCATTTATCAGTTAACTAAATTGATCAAACACTTCATAGTTGTGTTATTTTGCTGAAAGAAAACATTACTTTTTATTTGCAGATGTGGATATGAGATATTATAATGATCTTCTAAGCTCTGTCCCTGAAGAGATAGTTTCTGTTGCCTTGATACTGAATTGCATGCTGCAGCAGGTAGGCACAACACTCATTCAGGAATGCTAATGATAAAATGAAGGCTTCTGTGTGACTAGAATGCAGAGCTTGAAAGCAGAGTGCATGTTTGCAGTTAGCAGAGGACTGTAATGAAAGCCTAGCCAAGAGCTCATAATTGAGCCTACGTTGTGACATCAATTATAACAAAAACTTTTTTCTGCCGTAACTTCATGAAGGGTAGTGGAACTTTTTCAAAGAGATCAAAGCTGTTGAGGAAGCATTGTGAAATTCACGCTTGTTACTTTTGAGACCAAGTCATTTGCATCTTCCATGACCTGCCTAGTTCATATCCAGAAGTATCTGTTTGTTCTGCTGGAAGGATTTTCTTTACATCCTGAAGACATGGGCAGGGTGGAATGTGTCCCACCTCTTTGTTCAGTCATTGCCCTTCTTAGCTAATAAAAGCTAGCAGATGATGACTGACCAAGATGCCAAGATGTAAAAATGAGCAAAACTCAAAGTTGTCCAACTTGGACCATAAAGTTCAGTCGTAAAAATTTGTTTACACTTTGATGCATGATTTTTTTTCTAAGTGTGTTTTTGTGCACATTTCTAAATCTTGTGCAATTTAAAATGTGCAGCATTCTTTATTTGCATTGGTAGTACAGTATTCTTTATTTGCATTAGCCATTATTCAAGTAGTACATAAAAGACATAAAATCAACCTACTAAAATTAAGAGTATAAATACATAATCATCAAATATATATACATATTCTAAAAAGTTAAAAGATAAGTCTGCAAAAAATTACAGTTTTGAAACCATATTTAATCTAATTTTAAGTGCTGTTGCTAAAAATTTTGCAGACTGTGCCATCATCTGATCTGCAAGAATAAAAGATACATAAAAATCCAATGAATGGCCTTTATCTAAAAAAGGGCAAATTGACTCTTTTTCCACATCTTTGTAAAAAGGGCAAAACAGTGATACATGGGCAAGCATTCCAATACAGTTACGAGATGAATTCATAGGAATTCTTCTCAATGACCCCCCACGTAGTGCTGAAGGCATGACATTAAGATGTGCATATGAAAAAGCACTTCTGTATTCAGGAAATATTAGCACTTGCAGATACTCTCCCACTGTATTTGAATGACATGTTTAAAACTGTCATACCAAGGACATGATTTTTTGGCTTATAAATTATTTTGATGTTTGATGTCATGAAGTGCTGCTCTAGTAAATTCCATATCTTGCCATAACCAATGCTTAATAGGTGGTGCGGTGACAGTCTGAAAGTATGTATTTTGGTCTTAATATCTTTGCTCTCATGTGAGTCCTGCATGACAAAAGAAAGCAGGCCAAGAAGAGTGGGAGGAGCTAAATTCAGCCATAACCAAAAGTTAAATGTCCTGAACCAGGTCTGCTCAGACACTGAAGGAAGATTACTGTGGCGTCTGCCCAGGTCATGAATGGTAATAAGCTATTTTGCATGTGCCAATGAGAGTGCGGGAGAGGCGGAGTCACCAGATATAAGAGTATCTGCAGGAGGAGGAGTTAGTTAGAGTGTTATGGAGTAAGGAAGATAGAGGTAGGGAGTTGAAGAGATTGAGAGAGAGTTTTGGAGTTTGGGCAGGGTGGTGGTGGTTGAGAGTGGATAAAGGAGAATGTTTGTTTAAGAGTTAACAACACTGGTTGTTCTGTCAATACCTGTATCAATAAACAATTTCTATTTGGTTCTTTTAAAATGACATATGGTCTGGACCTCAATTATTAATAATAGGTAATGTTGATGTAATCAACTGGTGGCAGCTGAGGGGCACGTAGCGTGATCTCTTAGTTTGGTGAACAAACAGAGGCCACTTGGGAATCATGACAACTACCTTATAGCCTCAAAGAAGAATTTGGAGCACAGCCTAGTATGGCAAAGGTTTGCTTAAGAAACTTAGGTCGCATAGTTTCTATTTATTTTAAGTTTGTATTGGCCCGGATTTGAATCCCAGAAAGCAACTGAGGTAATGGGTTGGTGTTATTAACTTTAAGCAATGCTGGTGTAAAACTGTGACCACTAGTGTGGAAAAATGTCTCAGCATCTTTATGCTATGTGAAGCCTTTTCTGTGACATATTCTTGTTTAGCTGTCCATGTTCCTGATGCCTGAAAAATAATATCTGCATACTTCAAGATTCTGAATTGTTCAATTGGTTTTCCGTTTATAGTGTCTATAACTTCAAGAATACAATTGCCTTTGTTGTGCTGTAATTGACCTCTAGAAGTTCCTCCAGGCAGTACTTTGAAAATGTCCTTAGTTGTCTTCTCATACCACTTTGAGATAATAGTACTGCATTATCTATATATATTAGACCTGAAACTGAATTAATAGCCAGTTTTGGGGCATGAAAAGCTGGAGATGTCAAATGCGCAACAATATCACTCAAGTACAAAATTGAACAGGATTGGGTCGAAACCACAGCCTTGCTTAATCCCGTGGATGACACAGTATCTGTAAGATGCCCATTAGTAGTACACCATACTCTTCACCAGGTATTATGATAAAGACCTTTAATTTAAAAAATAAATCTTCTGTCCATAGTTGTTTAGTTTTTTTCCAAACTATGGAAATCAAACACTAACAGTATCTCCCCAGATTATTCAAAATAAAATTGGGATTGGTGCTGGAGGGTCTATAATTTTAATACCTGTAATTGCTTATTCAATTAGATGCAACATCATAATGCTATACATGTATTTTCTTAAACTAGGTTGTTGCTTCAGAAGAGAATCTTACGCCACCAAGTCTGGTGGTTCCAGAGCCACGTGAAGATGGACTTGATCACACCATTGCAAGTCATATTGTTTCAATCCTGCCCTCTCTTGCCCTTCCTGAGAGTGAAAAAAAGGTTTGTGTTGCCATGTATTTCTGTGCCTCACTGATATCAAATTTGCACTATTGTAAATATATGTTTTCTTTAATTTTACAGAATTTGTACAACTCCTACTACCCTGAAAATGAAGATAAAATGATGGCTGTCAGATGGCCTCTTATAATGAATTATCATGATACTTTGTCTCAGAAGTTGCACTTCCTAAAGGTATAATGTAGTGCAGTTTGGTTACACTCACAAATGTGGGATTACAACTGCCAGTGATTTCACATCAATGTCACATGCAGGAAAGCTAGTGCAAATATATATAGTATGGAACTGCAGTGTGAACCAAATATATTACAGCATTTGTACCATTTCCCCAAAATTCAAAGAGCTAGCTTTCAACTGATTTTTTTTTCCATTTCCTCCCTTAATAAAAACAATGGAATACTTTCAGTAAGGCCATTGACAAATGTTTATATTTAGTGTTTGTCTTCCCTTCAGGTACAAGATGGTCTTGACCCAGCAAAAATTGAAGCTGAATTGACAGACAAGTTGCCTTTGAGGGATCTTCTTAAATTTCCTCTTCCACCGCCTGGAAACAATACCAGACGCCTTGCCAGGATTCATGAGCTAATGCACTATTGTACTAATGGTAACTGTGTTCCTTTTATGGGTGTCTTTTCTGTGTATAATTTACTAGAAGTGCCAAAATCATTGTTCTAAGGCAAGGCTATACTCTGTGACCCTCTGGGTATTGTTGATCTAGACATCCTATCATTCATTACCATGGTCTGATAGGGATCCAAAAACGTTTTGAAAGCACCAGTATTATTGCAAGTAGCTCTTAACAGACAAGGGAAGTGGTAATATTTTCTTCTACATCCTAGTTTGACATACTACAGGCCTTTTCAAACTGCTGAAGTTGCAGATCAGAATATGTAGTGCAAAGGGTGCAGAGTTAGCTGTGGGGACAGTTTGTTTGTCTGAGCAGGACTTAAGACATCTCTTCCATTGTAACCAAAGAGAATCCCCACTATGCCACCTGGGAGAGGGGCCAGCCAAGATCTTCCAGAGCAAGTGTGACTAATGCAATTATATGCCCTGCCACATTTGTGAACTTGGACAAGTTTCACAGTTCCAGATTATCACCAGGAGAAGGGACCGGAAAAGTACTTTATACTTTAAAAACGTGTATTTTGATAAATCAGAGACAACTTGACAACACCATAAAAAAATTATGTCCAGCACATTTTGGCCAGTTTATTCTGTAGCTTTGTTCAGGAGTTCGTAAAAAGAAGAACGGGAAAATACGATAGTTATGATGAGACAATGAGCTGAGCATGTTTAATATCACATGTTGTTGTTGTTTAGTTGTTAAGTTGTGTTGGACTCTTCGTGACCCCATGGACCAGAGCACGGCAGGCCTTCCTAACTTTTTTAAGTGGCAAGTGGTGGGATCTTGGGAGAAAAGTCCAATATTGATAGATGATGATGATGATGATGATGATGAGTAGTAGTAGTAGTAGTAGTAGTAGTAGTAGTAGTAGTAGTAGTAGTAGTAGTAGTGTTATTATTATTGTTATTGTTATTAAATACAGCACACAGTCAATCAAAATTATGAAAACATTGACTGGTATTATTTAACAGATAACAAGTTTTAACCTAAACCTTAAGTATCTGTTAATTGTTCGTGCAGTATGTATGCTATTACTAATGTTGGCAGTTATGTAGCTCTGATGGTGTTTTTTCTGAGATTTGCAACTGCTTATAATACTGTGTGAAATTTCTTGATATGGTTCCCAAAACTTTGATGATGATGGGGACCACTGAGTGTGTTTCATCCATAAGTGAGATGTTACAGTTGCCAGATCTCTGTATATTTTAGTTTTTTCCAATTCTTTATCTTCAGCTTTGGCATCCACTGGAATTGCAGTGTATATGACATAGCCATTTCTTCCTTCTATCACTACTATGTCTGGTGTGTTATGTTCAAGGTATCTATCAGTTTGAATCTGGAAATCCCACAGGATCTTGACTTTGTCATTTTCTGATGTTATCTACCTGATGTTCCCATAGGTTTTGGAAGATGGCAAGTTGTATTTTTTTGCATAATGACCAGCGCACTATTTTTTCCACTCTACCATGTCTAATTTTGTGATATGTTTTGCAGTTTTTAGACATTCGCAGATGAGGTGTGACACAGTTTCCTCTTTTTCTTGGCTGAGTTGACATGTGCTAGTAGCACTTATTATACAAATGTGGTATCTATGAGTTATCTTAGAAAGGGGTTCCTGGCAAACAGAAAAAAATCAGCTTATTCTGCTCCAGTTGCCAGACAAAAGGATTGTCCTTCATCTGGTTACTGTTTATACTGTTGTTTCTTTCACTACTCCTTGAAATTCAGCATCAGCAAGACATGATCCTACACTAACTTCTGGAGAGCATTTCAGTTGTTCTGAGCCTCTCTAAGAGGGCACTCCAGCTCCTAAAAGGCTCTGCTAGGTGTTGGAGAAACAAGAATATTTCTGGTTGTGTGGTAGGGAAAGGGCTGAGATTTGTCTATCAGTCACCTCTTTGATAGTGTCCACTGTCTGTTTGATGCATTTAGTATACATTTGAAGAAATAATTATTCCTTTCCAGTCTTTTAAATTACTTTTTATTGTTCAGTATCTTGTTAGGCGTTAGTTGGATGCTGACACTGTCCAGAGTCTAGAGTAGGGGGCAGTCCCTTCTCCTGGACAAGATCAAGGTGATAGTATCCTGCTGGCTATTGAAAGGCATCAATGAAAGGATGGAGTTACCCTGAAATTTTGGAAAGTACTTCATAGGATATTTAGAATCAGGATTTGTGGTAAACATTTCTTTACAAAATAAACATATCTATGAAAAGTTGTCTATACCCATAAATGAGATGCTCATTAACATAGAAGTGTGTTGGTTAATTTTACAGAAATGCAAAGACGAGTAAAATTACAAGAAGTGTTTTCTGTCTGTGTCTTTGTTTTCTACAGAGCAGATGAACTGGGCAGAAGTTGAGCGAGCTTTTAAATTGTTTACTTTTGAAAGTTTGAGGCTGACAGAAGTAGATAACTTTGGATGCCTAGAAAGCCCTGGCACAATGCTTGGTGGTGATTATGAGGTGTCCTATATCCCATGGGATAATCCTGCTAGGTTTGCTAGACAACTGAGACAAGAGTTAGTTGGCAGGCGCGTGTCAGAAGAAAATAATATAAACAGACCAGGTAAACCTTTTTTTAATGTGTCAGTATTAATGCATTAAAAACATTGCATGCTATTGCCTAAATGATTATTGAAACTTCAATGTATGTAGTGACTAAACACAAAGCACAAGCAACGACGAAGCAAAAATACAAGAACAAAAAGGGCAGTTCAGCTTAGAAAAAAGCTGCCATTGGCACCGATAGAGTTCTTTCTAAAGTTGAAATTGCTATACAGGGGATGGCCGTACTCCATAGTGATTAATATGGAAGGGGGGGGGAACCAGTTGGAAGCATAGATCGTGGTAATCAGCCTCTAGAAGTCCTGGAGCCACATACAACCAGCCCTGAACTTAGAGCAGTTGCCTGATGCCAGCTTTTCATTTTTAAAAGTTGTTTTACTGAACAATGCTCTGTCAGGCCAAGGGTTCTGACACTTGAGCATCACCTCAAGAGCCCTACAGAACTTCATAGACCTTTAGGGAAAAATTGGAAGCTTGTGTTCATCACAGCTGGTATTTATCCCAATTAAGGGTTAATTCCAGAATGAAACCAGACATTTATTTCCAATTATATTAAAATTCATCTGAGGATCAAGGTATATGTCTTTTCATTGTTGCAATAATTCCAGGCAACACCCGTTTGTCTTATTCTACAAGCTTTATTTATCTACATTGTTGCCATGTTTCATAAGCACAAGAATGAAAACATCCGAAAGTCTTACAGCTATGGAAAACTGTAGGAATAAATGCTTAAAACCATATATAAACTGTAGGAATAAATGCTTAAAACCATATGTAAAAACTAAACTTAAGTTGCAGTTAAATACTTAGGTCAGAATTCAGTCCAAAATACATGAGTACAAAGTTTGAAAACATCCAAACGTCTTACGGCTATGGAAAACTGTAGGAATAAATGCTTAAAACCATATATATAAACTAAACTTAAGTTGCAGGTAAATACTTAGGTCAGGATTCAGTCCAAAATACATGAGCATAAAAAGTACAATAAAATGTCAAAAATAATGTTTACATTACATTATAAGAATGCAGGGACTTATAGCCAAAAGAGGCACAATTTGAAAGCGTGGAAAATATCAAAGTTGTTAAAAGTATAAATATATAAAGTAAAAAGTATTTCTTAGCTTTTAAGGATAATAAAAATGCCCACGCAAAATTCTAAGTAATGTTCTCAAACAACCAAGCTAGCCTTGTTGCCAATTTGCATCTATGAAGGAAAATCCATGTTGATTATGTTGCTGGCTTCTGGAAACGAAGCCTGCTGCTGTGTTGCAAAATGATTGCTGTTCTTTAATGGTTGGTGCCCAAAGTGGCATGGAGTTGCAGTTATGTGGTGATAAATTGAATTCCTGTACGTTAGTCTTATCTCCTTATATTTATAATTCCTTTCCTTTTCAACTATAAACAAACACTTTTCCTAGAACAAAAGGAGAGAGAGAGAGAGAGAGAGAGAGGAAATGCTATTGTCCCTGCAGTCTTTGTAACTCAAAAGTCTTTTAACCCAGAATATGGCAAGCTGCCATTATAATGATAAAATCATTGTTTTGATGTAAATATTGCAAAGTTTGGGGGACTAAGGTTCTGTCACACCAGAGTTCTAGCATGCCAGAATATTGTAATACCAGAACTACAACAAGTGCAAGTTATATGTGCCACCTCCATATTTGCACATTACAACATAAACATGTTAAACAGACAGGAAAGTTATTGTACAGTGATATTGCTTGGCTAGCTATTTTGGAATCACACTCCATATTTACACATTACAACATAAACACGTTAAACTGACAGGAACGTTATTGTACAGTGATCTTGCTTGGCTAGCTATTTTGGAATGACAATAGTAAACTATTGTTCAAGCCTTAATTTTAAAAATACTGTACTTTCATTTTCAGGATTACTTTTTCTATCACGTCCCCCCTCCCATTATTTTAGCACTTTATACATACAACATTTCATATCTTGGCAGATCCTTGTGCCCTCTGGTGGCAATTCCATGGTGGTTTAAGCCCCTTGAGTTATTTTAGATCCAGGAAAGCTGTTTCAGGTCAAAACCAAAAATAATCCAAAGTCACAGTTTTGAAAGAGAGGCCTAAACAGCTTGGGGGTGGAAACAATATGGTAAAATTGTCCTTTTAAAACTTTTAAAAATAATATTTTCGTTTATTTTTCTAAATGGGGCAGAGGCACAGGTGCTAAGATGCTACACTTTGCTATCATTCAATAGATGCTCAGGACTCTGGAGAATACATTTGGGGAAGGTCCCATGGCTCTGACCTGACAACATTTCTTGAATACTAAAGTGTCTAAATATACATAATGCTAAGAGAAATGGAAAAGATAATGCTTTGATTATATAGGGAGACCATCTTGAAAACTGGGGCACAATGAAAGCTACGTATACTTCAAACATTTACCCAATGTTAACAGCCAAAGAAATTAATGTAATCAAATTTAAAATATCTGAACATTGCATATACATCTTCATATATGTTTTTCAGGTTGGATTCCTGATCCAAATGGAAATCAGCTAAGAAGTTCTTTTGAAAATAAGGTAGGAAGTACCTTATTTTTCTCTCCTTACAAATACAGATAGAGCTTCCATGCCCATGGTTTCCTTCGCTATTGACCTACATCCTATACCAGCTTGTGTGGAAGCAAGTGATGGTCAGGATGGTAGAATATATGATATATAGGGACGTGGTGGCGCTGCGGGCTAAACCGCAGAAGCCTGTGCTGCAGGGTCAGAAGACCAGCAGTCATAAGATCGAATCCATGTGACGGAGTGAGTGCCTGTCGCTTGTCCCAGCTCCCGCCAACCTAGCGGTTCGAAAGCATGCAAATGCAAGTAAATAAATAGTGACCACCTCGGTGGGAAGGTAACAGCATTCCGTGTCTAAGGCACACTGGCCATGTGACCACGGAAAATTGTCTTCGGAGAAAACGCTGGTTCTATGGCTTGGAAACGGGGATGAGCACCGCCCCATAGAGTTGAACACGACTGGACAAAAATTGTCAAGGGGAACCTTTACCTTTACGTAACAACAACAAAGCACATAGTCGAAGGGGAACCTTTACCTTTACTTTACCTAACAACAACAAAGCACATAGTCACCAATAAAGGACAAAAGAGTTAAACAATGTGGAGGAAAGACAAATCCTCCTTAGTTTATCTATATACTGTAATTCCTCTTCTCTTCTAACCACAACCAAATTATTCCCATCTGTTATTTTTGGCACTGGAGAGAACAAAGAAAAAAACGGAGAGAAAGAAAAGGCAAAATATTGTGGCACTTTTAAGGCTAACAGTCTTATTTCAGTGTCAACTTTTTGTGCATCAGAATCAGTTTCTTCAGACCCTCCTCCAAGTATCTGAAGAAATGGGTTTTATTCATTCTGAAATAAGAACTTGTGTGAATGGGGCTCATTAGTGAAGGAAAATGGTTATTTATCTACATGATTCTGGTGGATGGGTGTGCACTTTTTATTTATATTGTGTTATATTTGGAGTTTCTTTGTGCTATCAAGATCTTTTTTTAAGGTACATTTTTTGTTTTTTTTGTATCCTTTTTATTTTTTAAATAAAAAAGAAAAAGATGAAATAAAAACTCTCACTGAAATAAATCTACAGTACTACCCCCCAAAATGCCACACTATTTTGCCTTCTCTCTCTCTCTCTCCTTCCCCTTTAATTTTGCGAGCATGGCATTTTGACTAGCATGGCTACTTCTTTGGAAAATGCTTTGTCTTCTAAAGTTCATTATTTAATTCAAAAAGCTGTGGGATAGTATTGTAGATGAGGGACATCCAGATCCTCATCTCTTTGGCAGACAGTTGCTTTAGTTATCCTAGATTTCTACTATTATGTTTATTAGCATTGTGTAGTTTCTGCATGAGCTGAATATATGAATCTGGTGTGATAGATGGGATAGTTTGAAAAAGGTGTAAAATTTTAGATAAGATAGACATTTTCATTGTAGCATAGTTTGATTTTTAACACTGAAGGATTTCTTTGCAACAATGGTTTGAAATGGAGAGAAATAACTTTGCTTTGATTATTTGTTGTGATGACACTTAGGTATTTAATGGCAGACATGGAGGTTGACATGTTAGTTGTACCCAAGAGGCTTTTAAAAAACTGTATTGTGTTAAAGAGGAAAGCTAGAAATTCCTCAGTAACTTTCCCAGAGGCTCCAGTAAGAAAAGCACATCAGAACAGCTTAACCTGTAGTGCAAACCTACTTTCTATACATACTAAAGTGTGCTGCTTATATGCAGCCCCATAAATCATTCTCTATGTGTTTTACAAGTTAATCATGCAGGCTACACATCCCCCCCACCCCGCTGGCTTATTTTACCGATCTCGGAAGGACAGAAGGCTGAGCCAACCTTGAGCCGGATACCTGAGATTGAACCCCAGGTCATTTGCACAGTTTTGGCTGCAGTACAGCCATTGATCATATTTTCCGTGTATAAAATGACATTTTTCCCTAATATAATTAGAGGAAAAATTGAGGGTTGTTTCATATACGGAGGAGGGAGGGATCAAACCGCTTTGATCCCTGCTTTACTCCTCCCATTTTACAAAGGAAGTGGAGGGGAAAGTGATTCCTACTTTCCCTCTACAGTTTCGTTCCAAAAAGCTGCAAAAAGTGTTGGGTGGGGAAAGCAGCTTTTTGCAAAGGAAGTGTAGGAGGAAAGCACTTTCCTCGCAAGAAAGTGGAGGGGGGAGCAGGAATCAAAGCACTTTGATCCCTGCCTCCCCCCTCCACTTTCTTGTAATGAAAGAAATTTTTGGTTAGAAAAGATTCGGGCGTCTTATACATGGGGGGTCTTATATACAGAAAATAGAGTAACCATGGCGCCACGAGGCTCTTGATTATGTGATATTAGTTTTTGTATCAAGCTTTCTTCTTGAACATAGAAATTATTCAGGAAGCATCAAATCTTCTTCAATTTGTGTTAGATAGCTGTAAAAGCTGTAAATTTTTATTTAATTTATTTTTAACTTTATGTATTACGTTGAGTTACATCAAATTAACACTAAGGCTTGGCAGCATGGGAGAGACCATGGTTCTTAATTAATTGTCCTAATTCCTTGTGGGCTAAAATGAATTTTGTAACATAGCAGAAGCTCCTTCTGCTTCTTCCACTAATGAAATGTATGTCTTTGAATTGATTTGTGGGGAAATTCATTGAAATAGTTCCAGAATTCTCTTGGATTTGTCAACAAACCCACAGACCAGTTCAATATACTAGATGAAACTAGATGTTCAGAGTACCTTCTTTCTAGACAGTATCTGTAAGTCATTTTGATGCTTCTTGGAGAAGAAACTAGTGGGGGTGAGTATGTCTTTCTGCAAGTGTATGTTCATGTTAGGTAAAGGTAAAGGTTCCCCTTGACAATTTTAGTCCAGTCGTGTTCGACTCTAGGGGGCGGTGCTCATCCCCGTTTCCAAGCCATAGAGCCAGCGTTTGTCCGAAGACAATCTTCCGTGGTCACATGGCCAGTGCGACTTAGACACGGAACGCTGTTACCTTCCCACCGAGGTGGTCCCTATTCATCTACTTGCATTTGCATGCTTTCGAACCGCTAGGTTGGCGGGAGCTGGGACAAGCGACGGACGCTCGCTCCGTCACGTGGATTCGATCTTACGACTGCTTGGTCTTCTGACCCTGCAGCACAGGCTTCTGCGGTTTAGCCTGCAGCGCCACCATGTCCCTATGTTCATGTTAACTAGTTTAAAATTAGTACTGTGGCTTTTAAGTGAAAGAAGATATGTTGCCCCTGATCTGGTGTGTTTGTCTAGCCCAAACATTTGTTAAATGTGATATGACAGTTACTTTTCTATATCACTTGATATTTTATAAGGTCATTCTGGAGGCAGATTTAGCAGCAATACAGAAGACCCAACAGCGATGTTTGAAAGACTGGAGTTTTGCTGAACATTTTCCGCCTGATGTACTCTTCCAGGTATTTTTTTTTAAAAAAATCTAGTTTCTATAGTACTGATTACGCTGATAAATCGTATTTTCAAACATTTTGTATATAGATTTTACTTTAGCATCTCTATTATCTGTATATCGGAAAATTAAGGCTCCCCTTGAAGTTAGAACAGAAACCAGCATGTTCAAAATGTGGTGGCCAGACTAATAACAGGTATCAGCAGATATGAACACATGTCTCCAGGCGTGCATTCTTTCACTCCCTATTAGTTTCTGTACCCAATCCAAGGTGCTGATCATAATGTAAAAAGCCCTTTAAGACCACTTTAAGACCTCATTATTTGTCAAAATATCTCTCCCCCAAAAAGCTACCTCTCCCACCTGCTCCTCACGATCTGTGATGGAGGCCAAAGGTCAACATAAGGAACTCTGTTTTTTCTATCATGACTCCTTCCCTTTGGAATGAACTTCCAATAGAGGCTCATCAGGTGTCCTTTCTATTTTTAAGAAATTAGCAAAAACTATTATTCAAAGCTGCAAAAATGCATAGTTGCACTTGTGTTATACTGAGCTTACACTTTGTGTTTCATAAAGTGTAATGTTAACATTTTAGCACTTAAATGCTTTAGTGTCTATATGCTAGATAGTTAATCAGAATTTAGGCTTCAGTATGAAGAAACAGTAATTTTTCAGTTCCATTTTTTTAAACAAAGGCCATTCTTTCACTCCAAATTAGATTTCTCAAGATATTGCCATAATTCTTACTACAGTATTTAAATGTTTCCCCCAGAATAGATGAAGCGAGGCACCATTGTATTTAAATGTTTCCCCCAGAATAGACGGGTTGATCAGATACTTTATGTTAAATCTCTTTCCTATTGTTTCTTCTGCCTTTTTTTCTTAACAGAGAAAATTTGGGGGGAAAGGGAATAATGTTGAAGTATCTTTTAATTGTGAGAAATCGGATGCTTCTTCTTCAAAGCACCAAACATTCCTTGGGCTGAATACACAATGGTTTGCACTGATTCCCTGTCCCTCTCCCCAACACCACATCCTACATCTCTGTAACTAAAGTTGGATGGTATTTGTTCGCATTTCATGTTCAGGTTCTTCACAAGGCAACCCAGCATTACAGGTGTATTGATTCCTACTATCACACTCAAGATAACTCTTTGCTGATAGTTCTTCACAATCCCATGAACCAACGCCATCAGTTTCAGGAGTTCTGGAATATAGCTTTGCATTCTGACGTTGGATTCAGGTAAAAGGGCCCTCTTGCAATATCTCCAGGAATCATAAGATTGTATGTATCAAACATACGTGGAAATGGGGTTGCTAGTGAATTAATATCAGAAAGGATGATTCTTTAGTAGCAGTATTATCTGAGATGAATTATGTTGACTAATACAAATGGTAACACAAATGATGTGCATGTGTTCTCCCTTGGTAACAGTAGAAATGATTTTTCTAGGAATTACTTGGAATTGGTTGCCAGCTCCATTGATGAATGGATACTAAGAGAAGAAACTAAATATCAGGAAGAAAAAATGGCAAAGGAGCTGGAAGCACTTAGATTAGCTGCAGAGATGGCAGAAAAACCACCGGTTGAAGTCAAGTCCCCTCCTACTGGAAAAAAAGGTGCTGCCTCTAAGAAATCCAAAAGTAAGTATTTTGCAGTGCAGTCATATGCATCTCCACTCTGGAATTACCTGTCTCAGTGGGACAACTCAAGCTCCTTGCTATCTCCAGACTGATGGTGGGCTGGTTAATCTCAGCAACATGAAAACTGGAGCAGGGCCACTTCTTTCCATACCTCCAAGTTAAAGTTATAAAGCTGTGGATCGTACAAGAGGCCCTTTCGGCACTGAAAGGAGGAGCATTACTGTGATGTCTAGCCTGCTGTTAGGTAACACAAAATACACACTCACAGTGTTGCACTGAGACAAGAAGAAGAGGCAAGGTTGCTAAAGCATCCTCAGTCCTCTCCATGTAGTCTTATGGCAACAGCAGAAATATCAGTGCACTCAGTAAGGCTTAATACGTAAATGGATATAGGATTGTACCCTACTTGCCTTTTCATTCCAGAAGATAACCTGTTGTTCTTTCCTTCATTCTGAAAGGTCCTCCCAAAAGTAAAACTGATGCTTCTCCAGAGCCTTCAGTTGAGAGTGAAAAAAATATTTTTATCAGAGATGACTCTCTGAAGGTAAATAAAATGAACATAAAATGTTTGGTGTGCAGATGACATTGTTTGCCACTGTTGCTCAAAGAACGCACTTATAATGCACAATAATCAATTATTAGGAGTAACGATGGTTTAGTGTTTGTGGGGTTTTTTGGGGGGGGGGTGCTGGTTTTTTCTGGCCAAGTTCTTTCACATTAGGGAAAGGGATGGTGTGTGTTTCTTTAGAGTTTTAGAACTACAAATTGCATAATTCTCCCAATTGGGAGTTCTACCAGACAGACAGACAGACAGACATCTGGACATGGCTCACTTGAGAGAAAGGGCTCAGATAGAAGGCTATGTGCCCTACCTTGGCCTAATACCCCCCAAGCTTTCTGTTCAGAGAGAAAGCTATCAGCTAGCAAAAGAGCGGGAACAAGAGGTTTGGGTGGTGGCAAGCCCTGTAGCCTTCCAGTTGAGGCCTTTCTTCCACAGTTAGGTGTCCATCAGCTACCCATCAGTCAGGTAGACCTCCCAAAATGGAGGATTAGGAATTTTTTTAAAAAAAAAAATCTGAAAATCTCATATTTATTGTTCATATATCTGCAGAAACCTTTGCACCATCAGGGTTTGCATGGCTTTAGTGTGAGAGCAAGAGGAGAAGGGGACGACAGAGGATGAGATGGTTGGACAGTGTCATCGAAGTAACCAACATGAATTTGATACAACTCTGGGAGGCAGTGGAAGACAGGAGGGCCTAGCGTGCTTTGGTTCATGGGGTCACGAAGAGTAGGACACAACTAAACAACAACAACCATATCACAGTCGAGTTACTTTCAGCAGGGCATGGAAACTGCCTTACGATCAGGACAAACAGCCATGGAAAACAAAACTATAAACACCTTCTCAACCAGTGCAAAAGGAGCTGTTCCTGAGCTTTTCTTGTTCAAACAGGCTTGGAAGGAAGAGCAAGAGCGGTTGTTAGAGGAAGAACGTCTGAAAGAATTAAAAAAAGCTGAGAAGAAGGAAAAAACCAGTGGCAAGAAAAAGGGTAAGGAGACATCAGGTAAGGAAGCATCAGCATCTGATGAAGGAAAGGCATCAAAGAAGAAGTTGTCCAAAGATAAATCGAAATCACCATCGAAATCACCATCGAAATCGCCAGAATCGGCAAAATCACCAGAAGTTGAAGATCATTCAAAGCTAAACAAACAAAGCAGACATAATATCCCTCCTCCGCCTCCAGAGAAAGACTATGAGGTGAGACAATTTATTACTGCAGGAATCCTGTTTGGAGGGGGGGCTGTTTTTCAAAAGGTGATGGTTCCTGTGCCTCCATATCTTAGAAGGCAATTAAACTGGTTAAAAAGTTGACATTTGAATCATGTTTACCTTAAACTGAATCAGTGTTCTAAAAGTTGACTACACAATGGGATCCCGATTCCTCCCCCCCCCCACTTGTGTTTTTCTGTTTGATATTTTTAACTCCTCTACCAGGGGCCGTTTATTTTAACATGAGTGCTAAATTGTGGTCATATGACTCAATCTGCACAGTGTGCAAACTTCTGCCAGGGTGAATTCCCAGCTTCACCACCCAACACCTGCGTGGTGCTGTACCTGCTTAGCAGCAGTGACCCGGCTTTGCTGCAGTCGAGGATGCAGCAGCTGACTTTGCTGTCAGAAAACTGTGGCATGACCCCAGGAGCTAGCTGAGAGGAGCTGCAGTAGCAAAGCTGGGTCACTGAGGTTGAGTATGCGCCACACTGCCTAGCTGTTGGGCAGTGAAGCCAGGCTGCTCCATCATGGAGTATGATGCTACTCCTCTTAGATGGCTCCTTGGACCCATGCCACAGCTTCCCTGCCTCTACTGCTGCTACCGTCTCTGTTGCCACCACCGCCACTGCAGCCCTCTTTACAAATGGCAGCAGCAGCTTCCATTTTGGCAGCCTAGCGCTTCCCTCTCTGCCTATGGGCCTGCCAATCAGCTGTTTTATATAACAATAATCACATGCCATTAAGTCAAGTCTGACTTATGTGACCCTTTTCATGGTTGTCCATGTAGAGAATACTCTGTTTACCATTCCCTTGAGTCAAGTCTGACTTATGTGACCCTTTTCAGGGTTGTCCACGTAGAGAATACTCTGTTTACCATTCCCTTCTTCTGGGGATGCCCCAGGACTGTGCAACTTGCCCAAGGCCACACAAGCTGCCTGTACTCACAGGATGCATAGTAGGGAATCGAACACCCAACCTCTGGCTCCGCAACCAGATACCTAATCCATTGATCTGTTTTAAATGTTAACTGCCTGGGATTCCTAACATGGGAAGAACAATGCTGAAATGGACTCTGTTAACCAAATGTTTCTTAATTTCAATTCTCTAAAAAAATAATAATACCGAAAATAAATAAATGTTAAGGGGAACTATTTGAGAATTTATATCCCTAAAGGGAAAAAGGATGCAAAACAGTGTGAGTATTTGATGAATCTTGCTGATTTGAACTATTAAGAGTTTAGCTGTGTGACTCACAGAATCTCTTCTGCCTAGTTATTTTTTCCCCCTGTAACTCCCCTCTTCTAGTTTCTTGGATACAATATGGGCGAGAATCCCATTCAAGTTGCTGGAACTATCCGATACCTCTTCCCTACCGATGGAGGGCAGATCCAAGCAGAAAAGATAACGTTTGAAAAAGGTGATCTTTCCTCCCCAAGTCGGTGTCTTTTCCAAATACATTTAGAATTGGGACAGATACATGAATTATATAATACAAGATGTAGTGATGACCACCAACTGGAGACTGTCAAAGAGAGATTAGACAAATTAATGTTAAATTATTATTATTTGTTGTTGTTGTTTAGTCGTTAAGTCGTGTCCGACTCTTCGTGACCCCATGGACCAGAGCACGCCAGGCCCTCCCGTCTTCCACTGCCTCCCAGAGTTGGGTCAGATTCATGTTGGTTGCTTCAATGACACTGTCCAACCATCTCATCCTCTGTTATTGGATTACCAGAGTTATTGGATTACCATATTACCAGAGTCAGCATTCCCCTTCTCTTGCCTTCACACTTTCCCAACATCAGGGTCTTTTCCAGGGAGTCTTCTCTTCTCATGAGATGGCCAAAGTACTGGAGCCTCAGCTTCACAATCTGTCCTTCTAGTGAGCACTCAGGGTTGATTTCCTTCAGAATAAATAGGTTTGTTCTCCTTGAAGTCCTGGGGACTCTAAAGAGTCTCCTCCAGCACCACAATTTAAAAGCATCAATTCTTCGGCAGTCAGCTTTCTTTATGGTCCAGCTCTCACTTCCATACATCGCTACTGGAAAAACCATAGCTTTGACTATGTGGACCTTTGTCGGCAAGGTGAGGTCTCTGCATTTTAAGATGCTGTCTAGGTTTATCATCTCTTTCCTCCCAAGAAGCAGGCATCTTTTAATTTTGTGGCTGCCGTCACCATCTGCAGTGATCCTGGAGCCCAAGAAAGTCAAATCTGTCAATGCCTCCATGTCTTCCCTTTCTATTTGACAGGAGGTGATGGGATAAGTGTCCATGAACTTAGTTTTTTTGATCTTGAGCTTCAGACCATTTTTGGCACTCTCCTCTTTCACCCTCATTAAGAGGTTAATTTATTAGTGGCTGCTAATCATTATGGTATATATTACCAGAGTCAGCATTCCCCTTCATACCAATCTCTGTAGACCCAAAGGATTAGGTACTTTTTATGTAAATCATGACTTTCTTTGGATTTTCCTTATGGAGCAGGTTGGCCACATGGGAACACAATGCTAAATGAGGGTGCCTTTGGTCTGAAAATATAGCTTTTTTGGTGCTGTTATAGCAATGGTTGAGCAAATTTAAACCATTTGGATCAGATCTAAGTTGGGTTGGAGTAATTAAAGTTGGATTCAGCTTGATTGAAGGAAAATGGAAAAATGTGTTGTTTTTTAAAAGCCAGATGGTACATTTTCAACAGCATCATATAACTAAAATGCAATGGTATGGAGATTAATAACCAGCTTCTAACGTGAAGGGAGAATCTCACCAGCACTCACAAAACACAGCATGTGCAGGAAGGCGGTATATGATGTCACTGAATTGTATTCATTCATTTCTTTCATGCTGTTTTGTATTATTTTGCTAGCTATAGTTTAGTAGCAGACCTCAGCAAAGTACTGCTGCCCCATGCCCAATTAGGCCCACTGTGCTGCATTTGAACACTGTGACCATTAGTTTTGTCTTTAATTGTTTTCTTGCCTCTAAATCCTGGAGGTTCTCTTAGGATTTCTGACATGGCACCTCTAATACAAAAGAAACTGTTCCTCATCTTTTTCCTCCTCCCTGCCCCCGCTTCTTCCTCCTTCTTTTCCTCCTCCTCACATCTGCCTGGACTTTGTGTCATTTTAGGCATGCAGTTACAAACACTCAACTGCATTAATAGGACACATACCATCCAGACACTTGAGTGCAGAAAGCATGAACTGGCGAGACTGCGCAGTTAACTGATTATATGTGCTTTTAAAAATATAGATGTCATCTTGTAGAAAAGACAAAAATCTTAACGACAGGTATAATGAAACATCAAAACAAAACCCTGAGTGACCTATCTGCCATTTGGCAGGAGTTATTCAATGTAAAGGGATTGCCATATTTCCCAATGTGTAAAAGAGCTGTGTAAAAAACAAAGCAAAAAAGCTGTAACCATTTGATTTCATAGTGGAAATTAATGGAAGATTTCAGAAACTCAATTTGGATTGAAAGGCAAAGGAGAGAGAGAGATTAAGAAGAGAGTGTTTGGGGATCTTTACATGTGATGGATTTATTTTCTGCATAAGGTTTAATAAATTACCAATGGCTATCTTAGATGTATGGAGAACAGTATTCAGCCTCCGTATGTACATATATGCACTTTGAACAGGGTTGTGGGGAGGGGGATCAAAGTGATAAAGTATAGAAAAAAATCACAATAGTATTACTGCCACTGGTAGAACTTCAGTGGGATGGGTGTACAAACATCCTAACAATATGTACAGTCTAAGTCTGAGTAAAGTCTGAGAGATGTTTTTAAATTGGATTGTTGTACCTTGTTGGTTTTAAATGTGTTTTTAAAACACATTTACCACTTTTAATATAGTTCTAGCTCTGCTGCCACCTGTTCCAGCCTAGCCGGCCTACCTCTCTGACCCTGGTGTTGATAAATGTCAGGTCTGCCCACAAAAAAATCCAACTCATCCAGGACTTGATGGTGTTGATAAATGTCAGGTCTGCCCACAACAAAATCCAACTCACCCAGGACTTGATCTTGAGGAATGGGCAGACCTGGCGTGTATAACTGAGACGTGGGTAGGTGCTGAGGGTGGAGCTACTCTTTCCCTCATATGCCCACCTGGGTATGCCATCCAACACCAGGGCAGACCGGGTGGGCTGGGTGTGGAGTCGCCATTGTTAATAAGGACATCTTTGAGGCTTCTAGGCTCTCTGCAATGGCAAGACCAGGTCTGGAGCTACTCTTTCCCTCATATGCCCACCAACATATGAGGGAACACCATCCAACACCAGAGCAGACTGGGCGAGCTGGGTGTTGAGTCGCCATTGTTAATAAGGACATTTTTGAGGCTTCTAGGCTCTCTGCAATGGCAAGACCAGGTCTAGAGGCCATCCACATGTCATTTGGGGCCAGGGATGGCTTGGGGATTGTGTTAGCTTACTGCGCTCCCCGCAATCCAGCACAGCCTCTGCCGGAGCTAGTGGATTTCATCTCTGTGGTGTTGTTGAGGTCCCCCAGACTATTGGTTCATGGGGACTTCAATATTCACGCGGAAGCTGAGGTTTCTGGCCCAGCTCATGAGTTCTGGGAAACCATGGCTTCCTTAGACTTGACCCACCAAGTTTACCCACGTGGGTGGCCATATGTTGGATCTGGTCTTTGCCGCTGAGCGGAGAGAGTGTGCTCTGATGGTGGCCGACTTGGTATCAGGTTCTTGTCATGGTCGGATCACCACCTAATTAAATGCAGCTTCGCAGTGGCACTTCCGACCCTCTGGGAGCTTGCACCCATTAAGATGGTCCGCCCCCACAGGTTACTGGATCCTGACAGATTCCAAGATACCATGGGAGGGATTCTGGCTGACTTGTTTGGCACTCCTGTCAATGCTGTGGTGGATGGCTGGTATACCATTGCCACCAGGGTGGTCGACATGATCGCACCTAAACTCCCTTTCTGTTGTGTTGATGTTCTAAGGTAGTAGTTTCCAACCTTGAATCGCCAGAGTAGTAAGAATACTACTCTGCGCCCCTGTGATGTGGGACAAAGGGTCAAGAATTAACCCAGGGCCCTCCTCCTGGGTGGGTGGGACCAAACCCCTCCAACCTCTCCCCATTGGCCTACAGGGCCATGGGGGTGACACGTCACTTCGGGGGCCAATTCTGAGGAATATACAGTCTGTAAATCTATCCAGCTCTGAAAAATATAGCATGCAAAAGGTCAACTAACTCTACCCAGCCACAAGGACCACTGATCACTGCACACAAAAGACCAGCTAACAACACCCATCAATCACAGTGACAGATTATCTCTCCCCCTTATCACAACAATACACCCACAACAAAAACACTTTGATTACCATAATCACCCAATCTCCTGAAAAGGACAAAAGCTGTTCCCACAGCTATAAATACTCAACTACCCAACAAACTGCAACAGAGCACAGATAGAATTCTGACTTCTGTCCTCCGAAGATGCTGGACACAGAGACTGGCAAAATGTTAGGAAGAAAAACCTTAAGAACACAGCCAAACAGCCCGGAAAAACCACAACATCGAATCCTGGTCGTAAAAGCCTCCGAGAATACATTGCCTTTAGGAAGAAAAACCTTAAGAACACAGCCAAACAGCCCGAAAAAACCACAACATCGGATCCTGGTCGTAAAAGCCTTCGAGAATACATTGCCTTTGGAGTGTCAACGTTCTGCTTAGTGGAAGAGTAGTATGTTCTGCTGAAACCATACTTTTTTAGACAAGGGAAAATACCTATACATAAAATGAAAGCAGTCTGTAAAACACCTGAATTGAAATATATTCACAGATTCCACTCTGTAATAATATGCTAAGATGCCATTCAGTGGGGGTTTCTTTGAAATAAATGCTTATAGGCTAAGCTGCGAATCAGGAAATCAGAGTCTGAATTTGACTCTGCCATTAATTCACTGGGTAGCCTTAAGCAACCTACGGCCTTTGAGCCTTAGCTACTGTCTCCACTAATGAGATTAATGAAACAATGCTAAGACTTACACTTTACTGTATGTGAAGTGCTTTAAACATTCACAGTACCTATTGCTTGTAGTTGTTACTCTAATATTCAACATTCTGTATAGAGCAGTGTTTCCCAACCTGGGGGTCATGACCTTCAAGGGGGTCACAGAATATGTTGAAGCCCTTGTTAAATAATTTCCTCCTTGGCCTTTTAGAACAAGATATTAAAGTTAGTGTGTATGTACCAGATACAGAGAAAAAGAAGCCTCTACTTTCTGAGAAGGAATGACTTTGCCCCATTAAAAATGCCATTTTAAGCAAATATGGTGGAGGTTGCAGATTGCTTGGCTAGTATAAAAGCAGGGTACAACTCAAAATACGTTGGAAACCATTGGGATAGAGCAAATTATGAGTTTTCAGTGTCAGAATTTTAAGGAAATACTTATTAGCAAATTTATTGGATGTCCTGCTTCCATTTTACTGTTTAAAAACCATATTGTAGATATTTTGGTATCATATTTTTGGATATAAGTTGGTGATGTTAATTTAAAAGGCATTAGCAGCTGCATCTAACATCGATAATCAGTGCAGAGTAAATCCTTCAACAAATATCTTGGCTTTCTGCATTAATTTCTTTCTGACACATTGTTTAACAACAGAAGCCTGATTCTCTGGAGGTCATTCTGACCTCTATTCTTTTTCCCCCCTTATTTTTTCCCTTCCCCAGGGTCAACCTTGGTCAAAGTGAAGGTCATAAAGGATAATCACAGTTTCTTCATTCATATCATAGACCCCCAGAAAATCCCTGAAGAAAGTAAAACTGAAGGAGAAAGTCCTGAGTGCCTAGAAGAACAACACACAGAGACAGGTTAGACCATCAGTAAAGTAAAACAACAACAGTTGATATCTTTTGTTAATTATGGCTGTTTGTTAGGCCAGTTTCAGATGTAATGGCTAAATCACATGTAGGAAATGTGTCATGGGTTTACATGCCGTCACTTCTGCCTTGGTGCACACCAGTTGCCTTCTCTGCTTCCTGGCATGCAATGCTCATGGGTGACTTCGGCATCTGAATCAATTTCCTTTCAAACTAGAATCAGAAATCCCAGTTTGAATCAGACCTTGGTGTGCAGTACTCTCTAGGAGATTATTCTATTACAGAGAAGCAAAGGTAAGTTAAAAGTTTGGAGAACATCCATAAAGTTTTTTCCAGAAAACGTGTATCTTTGATTTCCAAAAATTGTTTAGCAATAATAAATAGGGAGAGGAATTAAAATATGATATGTGTGGCTCATGAAAAACTGCATGAAAATGCACTTCCTGCGCTTTTGCTTATTCAGAATGTAACTATATCAGACATTTATGCCATCTTCATGTAGCAATTGCAGTTCTTTCTTCCATTAAGGAGAGGGAGAGATGGGAGAGGCTTGATTTTAGGTTACTTTGAATTGTCTTATCTAGCAAGGAAGGAAGGGTCAATGCTTGATGAAATTGCAAATGTATACATGAATCACAATTTAGGCAACTGTTTTAAAATATTTAAATATTAATGCACCTTCTTAACCTTTAGAAGAACCAGTGCATCAAGAGAAAGCTGTGAGCAAATTTGGATCATTTTCTGCAACTTTAGAAAATGACATTCATCTTTCCTTTAGTTACTATGGAGCTTCAGGAAGCGCACCAGGTAAAGCATGCCAGCTGAAGAAAATAATTAAAGTCAGTTTATAATATATTTATCACATCTGTTTAATTTTGCATTGTGTTTCGTTATTTCTAAAACTGGTTTGTACATTTTCATCAACCCAGATTATTCTTATGATGTGATTTAGAATGAGAAATGCCTTCCATTTTTTCATACCTATGCACAATAGGCAATAAAAATATACACAAATGACATTACAGTAGGACCCCCCCATAGCTGCTGGGGATTGGTTCCAATCCCCCCGTGGATACTCAATACGGTGCATAATAGGGAACACTATGTATTAGCATGGTAAAAAAATTAAGCACAGAACGATGTTTCACACAACGTTGATTTTTTTGGAACCAATTAACATCGTTGTGTGAGGCACCAGTGTATTAATAGTATTGATCTCTGGCTCCCTCTAGTGGCCCTTTTTGGTAATACATGTGAAAATAGTTTTTTTCTGGATTTTTTCTTTTAATATTTTTAATAATTTCAGACTGTGGATCAGTGAATCAGTGGATACTGATCCCATGGATAAAGAGGTCCTATTGTATATTTTTTGATTATTTATATATTAAAACAATTATGGACCTTCTTTTTAATGGGAAAATGGTTGTCAGTTTAGAGTGTCTCCTGCATTTGAAGGACTGTTTGCCTGAAACACATGATGCCTGTTCCTTTGACCAAAATTCCCTGTATCCAAATTGAGGTCTTATAAGGAGCAGATTGATTCAGGATAGGTTTAGGCCTAGACAGCAGATCAGACAGTTTGACACCTCAAGTTCATGAGAAGCATCCACCATTCATTCCTGTTTTTGTCACATTTCCCATATGCAAGAGTACCTGCCAAACAAATACCTATTACTGGCATCCAAAGATTTTTTTTCCTATAAATTAAACAATAAGGAACCCTGTCGTACATTTCAGCCTATTGTCCATTTTCTTCATTTACTCTCTGTTGTGTAAAGGGTTACATGGACCTTGTTGAAGTAGTAGGAACGGTGGGAAATATATATTAAAGGGAATGTTCTGCCCCCATCCATCCCGGTAACACTGACAAGGGAAAATTCCTCTGTCTACGGGGGATTTCTATATGATTTGGAGGCCTTGATTTTTCTGAGTCCTTACTCATGTGACAAGCATAGCAATCCTTTTCTTCAGCCTTCTTGTCTTTCTTGTATAAGAGGATGACGGCAGTGACAGTGGTGAGGGTTGGGCTAGATTAGTTCTTAATGCCTGAATAGGACTGCGGAGAAAGCTCTGTGTTCTGAATTGTGTGTAGACTGCCATTGCAACAATAAGTCATTTCTACGAGTGAAATTTTGCCTTTCTCAGGCATCACAAGAATGCTGGCATCCTACTGTCACATGGAAGGTTCTCCATGCACTCCTCTATAGAACTGTCATGTACCTGAACCAATACATGTAATTGCCTAATATTAATGTAGCCTTGTGGTCTGCTCTTAAAATCAAAAACTGAGTGAGGTAATAACTTTTCCTGGGCCACAAAAATGTCACAAATCGGTGAGCTTCATAAAATTTCTGTTCTCCTTCTTTTTAATGGGAAAATGGTTGTCAGTTTAGAGTGTCTCCTGCATTTGAAGGACTGTTTGCCTGAAACACATGATGCCTGTTCCTATGACCAAGGTGACAAAGATACTAATGTATAAACATAGTCTCTTCACTTCTACGAGCTGAAAGTCCCCACATGGTTTGGTCTCCAGCAAGTCCACATATGTCTAGGAAACGCTCCTTGTGTGAAACCAAGGAGAACTACTGCTTGTCAATTTCAACAGTGCTGAGCTAGATGGACTAATGAAAACATATGCCAGCTCACCATGCTTTCTTTCTCTGCTTGATCTAGAACTTGCCCCTGGTCTTTGGAGCAGAGCTCAAGGAGGACTACATTCTAGGTGTCACTACTCTTGGTATTTGGCACAGACCTTGGTTATAACTGCAAGGCAGACAACAGCCATATTATTAACACAATGTTTTAGGCACCCCTTGGTTATAACTGCAAGGCAGACAACAGTCACATTATTAACACAATGTTTTAGGCACCTATTTGTTTGTTTGTCTATTTATTTATTTATTTCAACTTTGCTTTGAACGATAACAACTTCTCAATAAAACATGGGAGTTTCCCAAAGATTCAACATATTTACTTTTGTGCGTTTGATCATTTATGTAATTAGTATATAAATTGTTTCTCCCTGTAGATGAAAAGGATCCGGATTTAGCAACCATTTTATCTATCCCTTCCGTAAATGTGCCTACTTCTGCTCTCGTTGCCTCGGCTGTTTCTGCTGCGACTGTTTCTCCTACAGGAAAAACTAAGCCTAGTAAAGAAAAATCAGCCAAATCCGTACCATCAGCCAAACTGAGCTCTCGCCTTACAGTGACTGGATCACCAGATGACTCTACAAAGCAAGAAGAAAAAAAGGTGTGGGGATATTTCCTAATGCATCGGGATGATGCAGAATAAGGGCGGACAGACAAGGCCTATGCACGATCATTGCCTGAAACAACATGGGGGAGAGCACTTCTTGGTGTTAGCTAGCCTAACCGATTGATAGATTAACATAGGCTTTGTACTTTACTTGACCGTTTTTAAGAGAATTGTCCTAAGAAAAAAAAAAAAAAAAAAAAAAAAGAGCCAGATGTGATTCCTGTGTTCCAAGCAGTTAGACTGCCAGGTGGAGTTTTAGATCCTACACGAGACAAGGTGACAAAGATACTAATGTATAAACATAGTCTCTTCATTTCTACAAGCTGAAAGTCCCCACACGGTTTGGTCTCCAGCAAGTCCACATATGACTAGGAAACGCTCCTTGTGTGAAACGAAGGAGAACTACTACTTGTCAATTTCAACAGTGCTGAGCTAGATGGACTAATGAAAACATATGCCAGCTCACCATGCTTTCTTTCTCTGCTTGATCTAGAACTTGCCCCTGGTCTTTGGAGCAGAGCTCAAGGAGGACTACATTCTAGGTGTCACTACTCTTGGTATTTGGCACAGACCTTGGTTATAACTGCAAGGCAGACAACAGTCACATTATTAACACAATGTTTTAGGCACCTATTTGTTTGTTTGTCTATTTATTTATTTATTTCAACTTTGCTTTGAACGATAACAACTTCTCAATAAAACATGGGAGTTTCCCAAAGATTCAACATATTTACTTTTGTGCGTTTGATCATTTATGTAATTAGTATATAAATTGTTTCTCCCTGTAGATGAAAAGGATCCGGATTTAGCAACCATTTTATCTATCCCTTCCGTAAATGTGCCTACTTCTGCTCTCGTTGCCTCGGCTGTTTCTGCTGCGACTGTTTCTCCTACAGGAAAAACTAAGCCTAGTAAAGAAAAATCAGCCAAATCCGTACCATCAGCCAAACTGAGCTCTCGCCTTACAGTGACTGGATCACCAGATGACTCTACAAAGCAAGAAGAAAAAAAGGTGTGGGGATATTTCCTAATGCATCGGGATGATGCAGAATAAGGGCGGACAGACAAGGCCTATGCACGATCATTGCCTGAAACAACATGGGGGAGAGCACTTCTTGGTGTTAGCTAGCCTAACCGATTGATAGATTAACATAGGCTTTGTACTTTACTTGACCGTTTTTAAGAGAATTGTCCTAAGAATCTAAAAGTGATAAAACTTGTTTTCTTTAAAAGGTACTCTTGCTAACTTCCCTTTGAAACTATAGGCAAAGAAATGGGAGCAAAACTGTTTTCAGAATGATTACATGCATAGTAAATTAATATTACCCAGTCAGGGGTGGTTCATGAACTGAAACAGAGGGTTCCTTCTCTAAAATTTGGGGGTTGAGGATACATACTTGTCCTTTGTCTCAAACCACTTTCTTGCCCAATACAAGTATGGATGTTCTTGATTCAGCCAGTTAAATAGTAGCTCCATCAGTCTTTATGAAAAGCTAGGTGTTTTTACTAAAGATTTTAAAAGCATTCCTTTTTCTGTGTTTCTTCTGTTCTCTAGATAGAAGCAGATGAAGCAGCCCAAAGACAATTTATTTCAGATAACCAGGATTTCAATACTTTGAACCTGTCCTGTCCCAATGGATTGGTGTTGACCTTTTTTGGTCAAAAGTTCACAGGTTGGTTCAGGAAATTATTAAAAGAAGTTCTGGAAGTTAAAACTCTCCTTAATATATATAGTGATAAAGATGGTTGATAATTCATATTTGGCAGAGACTTTAGGCCAGAGGGAAGGAGCAAATCCCTTTAGGTCCCTCTGTTCCAGTTGACAGAGAAGATGAACATTGGCATGAAGTGGACTAGCTAAGACATGCAAGGAGGAATTGGGTAGGAGGCAAATTTACAAATAGGGTATAAATAATAGTGTCCCTTAAATGTCTCAGGGGACCATACCAATCACTCTCTTGTGGGTTTCCCAATAGCACTCTTATAATATTTGAACACCCACAATCACGTGGCAGTCATGTGGGTTTTTCTCACAGAATCTGTCAGCAGGCATGAATGCCTAGCTATGATCTATGCAACACCCCTGCCAAAACTTGTATGTTAGCAAGTGTTTGCACATGTGTAAATGCTGATTTAGCATCTAACCTTAATTTTGTAGAATGGGCCATAAAGGTGAGGAGAACTTCTAAGCCACTACTCTGGAATGCTGAGGTGTCTTAAGAATCCAGACCATTACTCCAAGCTTAGGTGTATATTCGCCCAAGCAAAGATTGTATTTCTTCAGAATATCCTGTAGTTAGCAACAACACATGCCCTGATGATGTGATATTGCCTTAGTATCTGTGCTTTTCATGCCTTATGACCTATACAGGACTGATCATTGCGTACATTGAAATTGCTAGTTCTGCTCCTGCACAAAGCTGAGTGGCAGAATTTAAGGTCTAGTTTACTTGGTGTTCACTTTACGAAAAATCTGAATGAAAACTTGGTATAATATCTGCCTTATTGTTGTTCACTTATCATTGCTTGTCTTTTTGAGGCTTCATTTACCATAATTCACTTAAGAGTCACTAATGTTCTTGATAAATCAGTGAACCCATGAGATTATATATATGACTGTTGCTGTAATGATTATACCCAACTAATGGATGTCGTGTTTGTCTCCTATTTGAAAGGTGAGGAAAAGGGAGACAAAGTCAAGAATGATGACGATGAAAACAGAATAGATGATACTAAATTGGATGAGGCTAACATGGATGAAATCAAGCCACAAGAGATCAAAGCAGAACAAGTGAAGAGCAATGAGGCCAGAGAGAGCAAGACCAAAGCAAATGAAGACAAGGAGGATGAAGCCAGAGCTGCTGATGGATCTGTGGTGCAGAGTCCGACAGGGAATGAGGCCAACGAAGACAAGGCTGAGTCTGAAACAGAGAAAGACAAAGCAGATAAGGCTAAAGAATCTACTGTTGAAATACTGATTAGGCAGAGTTATCCCCAAAGAGTGAAACATTCACAGCTGCAGAAAACAGTGAACAAGCCAGTAGAACAGGAAGTGTCTAGAATTATTACCAGACAAGGGACTGTTATAAAGAATATGTTGGATGGATCCACCCAGGTATGTGAACTGAATTCATTTGACATGGATTCACATGCAGTTTCATTGCTGTTTTGGAGAGTAGGCAGCTCAGGGCCCAAGGAGTAGGTCAAACCTCTTGCCCACTATCTTTCTCCTGCTCCCTCTCTCTTTCTATGGAACTAGGTCATAATCATTTTTTATCTTGCCTCACACTGGTGCCTGCAAGTCAGATTGATTAGTTTAAATTTCTAGCTTTCAGTTATTTGGAAGTTCAGAGTATGGCTTTGGTTAAAAATGGGTTATTGAGGGTTTACTGTTTAATTGTGAGGTTTTTTTTTAAATATCTGTGGCAGTTTTCATAATGAATTTCTCTCTTGTTTTTGTCCTCATCTTCATAGTTCTTTCTCCTGTTTGCCATCCATATTTTTTATTAGAGCACTTTTGCTGTAGTTGCTACATGGAGAGTTACTCACTGTAGAATGTCAATATCAGCATTTTTTTTCTTGCTAAAGATATTGTTTGCTGATGGCACAGTGATCAGGAGCCCTGACTCTGGTCCAGTGATTCCACCCCCACCTGCACCTAGTACACCACACACAGAAGTTGTGCCTTCTCCTGAAATAAGCACGAAGAAAAATAGTAAGTATCCTTCTGTTCCAGGGGCTGGCACAGAAGCTGCAAGAAAACAATATTCTGTAAGTGTTCTTTTCCTATTCATTACACCCCATAGGTTTGGGGAAATTACATTGTTATCTGCTTTAAAAGTTGTTTTAAACTTTAATGCCCAAAATAGCTTGAGGTCTGCCTATTGAAAGGGTTGCCTGTCTTGTTATGAGCTTGTCTGGACTTGAAGATAGTCAGGAGAGGCTCCTTATAAAAATATGAACATTATTTTACAAGCCCATAAAAAAAGCATGGGGGACAGAACATTCATGTGTGTGGCTCCCCTACTAGGGAATGCACTCCATTCTGAGTTGCAATCCATTATAACTGATTTTAAGAAGAGAGTAAAAACATACTTTTGAGACTAGCACATGATATCTAACTCGCCCTGGTGTGTTGTTTTTAATCATATATTTTGCTGATTTTAATGGTTTTTAATTTATTTGCCTAATTTCAATGGTTTCTGCAACATAGCTGGTTCATATGATTGTGTTATTGTTTAGCTAAGAGTGATTTTTATCTGATTTTATTCTTTTAAAAGTTTGTTAGCGAGCTTGAGCACTAATTTTTAATGGAAAGTGGGGTATAAATGTAAAAAATATATACATTTCAAAATGGCAGCTCCAAATCAAAATAGCAGCCAAAATCTTCCTCTATTTAGGAAATAATTATGATAAAGTCTTCAAGCAAGCAAGCAAGCAAACAAACAAACAAACAAGAAAAGCATTAAAGCAGAGGCCTAGAAGAGTGTTTTAATGGCACTGAAGTAGGGTACTTACCCATAAGATGGAAGCACTTCTAATTTGCCAAATAGTCTTCTATTAAATGATTTCAGCATCTGGTTTTTGCCATCTTAGTTTTGCAACACAGATCTTAACATATGTAGTTTCCGTTTTACGTATTTGCTCTTCTTTGGCCCCGGCACACATGATGCTAGAAGAGGTTTTGAAACGTTTGATTGCATTTGTTAGTAGAAAAGAAGCCGAGATGTGAAATACAAATGACAAAGGCAGTGTCTGTCACTGAGCTGTGGTTTGATTAAAAACTCACATTGTATCTGAGGCACACTTAATCCAAGAATGTATCTAAAATACATCCAGCAATCACAAGCAACATCGCTGTAGTGGAAAATAAGGAATCCTAGACATCACCTGTCTTGAAATACACAGGTGTATCATTGCACAATGGGTTAATCAGACCAAATAACAAGTATGTTTGGGTGGAGACAAACATAGGGATATTTTGCCCATTTCGAGGGCATCCAAAAGTACTCATACAGTTTGCAATGAATGGGATAACCAAAGATCTAATATTTGGCAATGGAATTACCAGTAAGATCTCTTCAACCAGCAGGTCAAAGACATTAAGTGCTGTGGAAGGACTTTGGTAGTCCAGTTGTAATCCTTTGGGGAGGAATTCTGTATCTCTTTACCTGTCTTTTGGAGCAGCTGAGGCTGGTTGAAGACCCCTTCTTTGGAACAGATCAGTCCAGGGGGAACAAGTAGCAAGGCAAGAGCAAGGCCTTCAACCTGTTATTCTGTGTAGGTTTGCTGGGATAGCATGGCCTGGGAGGATTAATGGTCATTATAGCGCAGGTCATAGTAGAATACCATGAGAATACTATCACTGTATGAGTATAACTCATTTTTTGTCCTCTGATTCTTTAGGGAAGAATACTAAGGGTGGTCTTGCACCAAAGGCTGAAGCAGTTGAAACAGTTGTTCCAGATCATCTGTCTGATTCGGAACATTCTCCTGAAGTTCTGGCAGGCACATGGATAACCACTACTCCAATAGGTGTACAAATAGGCACCAAGGGATCCGAGATACTTGATCTGAAGCCACTATTGGCATACCAGGCCACTGACCCAGTTAATGGAACGGTAATAATCATGTTGTCATTTATCATGGCAGTCATGGTCACATATTACATTTATTTTCATACGGTTCTCTTTTACACATGAAGATACTGTATTCTTTTTAAAAGACCAGAACATGCAGTTCTAAAATATATGTATTAAAACATCCTCAGTTTGTATTTAAAATGTGTCCACAAAATTTCATCATTATTAATTTATTATTCCAGGTGATGATAACAAGAGAAGATAGAGTAGTTGTGGTAGAGAAAAATGATAGTTCCAGAATAGTAGATCATGCTGATGGCACCAGAATAACCACGTTCTTCCAAGAATGTATTGAAACTGTGGTGCCTAATGGGAGTGAAGAGACAGGTATGAGTATAATTTCTATCAAACAATTTTTCATCATAAGAAACAATGATTGAAATCCAATAGTAAGCCATAACTATAGTAGGTCCATTGAATGAGTGGAAATTTGGTGAATCTGCTCCTGTGTAAATTCCATTGATTCAGTGGCCTTCCTCTAGTTATGATGTACTACTGAATTTTGCCCATTGTGGATTTTAGTTACTCCTGTTGTTACAGGATTCCCTCAAATACAAATTAATTTCCACTAATTGTTAAATGAGCTATGATTTATTAAATGCAGCTAATTTTGATAGAGTTCTGTGAAGCCAACAATCTATTTATTGCAAATATATGCAATAAAGGGAACAGAAATGAAGCAGGAGAATGACTCATAGAGTTCTGCAAATCCAACAATCTATTTATTGCAAATACATGCTTTAAACAAAAGAAGAAATGGCTGTACATCTGGACATCATCAAAAGGTCAGTGTAGAAAAATCATAGAGTAAAGCTGAAGAAGAACACTAAAGGGATTGTAATGCCAAAATATAATGTAAACAATTTTCCTGATGAATTTAAAGCCCACAAAAGAAACAGATTTACATTATTAAACTCCATTGATCCTGAAACAGCAAGCAAGTAGATTGAAATCACAGATATTATTAAAGATAATATATGTTATTCCAACACATAATTCCAATAGTAAAAAGAAAAACCTAGATTGATGAGGAAAGAAATACTTAAATTTGTCAAGGACAGGTGAAATATAAAACTAAAAGACAACAGAAATAGGATAAGAACCCTGAATGAAGTTTTTCAGTGACTGTCACATAAAGGCAAAGAAGATTAGTATAACCAGTACAAAGAAATAGAGGTCGATAAAAGGGGAAAAACATATCTCTTCCAGAAGATCCAAGAAATCAAAGGGCAATTTAAACCTAGATTAGAAATGCTAAATGATCCACAGGGAAGTGCACTATCTAAGTAGGAGAAAATAAAGAGAAGGTAGAAACAGTATATTGAAGATCTACTGTATACAGTAGAGCTAAAAGGATGATAGACTGTTTTGAAGAGGAATGAAGTACTTGCAGTTCTAAAAAGCGAAGTGAAGGCTGCTCTGAAATTGTTAGGAAGAAATAAATCACCAGAGATAGACACAACACCAATAGAACTATTTCAGGCCATAGACACTGAATTTATTAAAATCCTAACAAAAATATGCTGACAAATATTGAAAACAAAACAATGACCTACAGACATGCTAGGTTCAATATATATTCCAATCCCCAAGAAAGGAGATGCTAAGGAATGCAGTAACTATAGGGCCACTGCTTTTAATTTTCCATGCAAGCAAAGTGATGCTCAAGGTGTTGCAAGAAAGGAATTTACCCTATATGGTGTGAGAAATGCCTTATGTTCAAGCTGGATTCTGAAAAGGAGGAAGCATTTGAGATCATACTGCAAATATCTGCTGATCCTGATGTTCAAGCTGGATTCTGAAAAGAAGCATTTGAGCTCATACTGCAAATATCTGCTGACTGCTGGAGCATACCAAGAATTTTAGAAGATCAATCTATGCTTTGTAAACTGTAGCAAAGCCTTTGACTGTGTGGATCATGAGAAATTATGGGTTGTTCTGATGTGCTTCAGCACTTGATTATCCTAATGTATAACCTGTATTATGTACAAGAAGCTACTGTTAGGACAGAATATGGAGAGACAGAATGTTTTCCTTTAGGGAAAACTGTCAGATAAAGGTGTATTTTATCTCCTTTTCTTTTCATCTGTACACAGAACATATCATATGGAAAGCCAAACTAGACTCAGATGTAGGAAGAGTTAAAACTGGTAAAAGAAACATCAATATTTTAAGATATGCAGGTGACACCATCTTATTTGCAGAAAGCAGCAATGACTTGAAATTACTTTTAGTGGAAGTGAAAGAAGAAAGTGCCAAAGCAGGATTGCAGTTGAACATTAAGAAGTCAAAATTGTGACTACAGAAGACCTACACAACTTTAACACTGACATGACAATAAAGAAATTAAACTACAGTGGGCCCTTGACTTAGACACACACAAAAAAAACCACAGAAACATAACCCCCCCCAGTCCAAACCCACTCTCCAAAACCCACACAGAAAAGTTTTTTTAAAAAGGACTTACCAGTCCGAAGCCTCCCGGCCCTCCGCTGGCTCTGCACAGCCGGGGGCGAGCGGCGTCACGCCCGGCCTGCTCTAGCTGCCTGGCGCTCCGCTGGATCCGCCCAGCGCAAAGAGGACTCAGCATCGGGTGAAAGGAGGGAGCCGATTTCTCCCCAGCTGCCTGGCTTGCTTCCGAAGCAAAAAAGGAAGGGAGAAAGCGCGGGAAGTTCGAACTTCCAGTGCTTTCTCCCTTCCTTTTTGACTTCAGGGGTTTCAGAAGGCTTCCTCCTATGTCGGAGGAAGCCCTTTGAAAGCACCAAAGGCAGGGAGGAAGGGCAGGAAATTCGAATTTCCCACCCTTTCTCCCTGCCTTTTGGGTTCGGAACCCGATCTGCGTTCGCAAGTAGGGTGTACTACTTGCGAAGAGATCAGGTTCGTAACCCGAAATGTTCATAACTAGGGCCGTTGTAAGTTGAGGGCCCACTGTAGTGGAATTTTTATATACTTTAGTTCAATCACCAGTGCAAATGGAGACTTTAGCCAAGAAATTAGGAAACTGAGACTAGGAAGGGCAATAATGGAAGAATCAGAAAAGGTCCTCAAGTGTAAGGATGTAGCACTTTAGATCAGGAGCGTCCACACACTTGTATTTCCAATCACTCTGTACAGGTGTGAAAGATGGACAGTGAAGAAGGCTGAAAGGAGAAAAATCGATTTCAGCTTTCACACCCTTCCATGGTAATTAGAAATACAAGAGCATGGATTAACTTGGTCTTGCTCTCCAATGACACTTGCTTACACTTGTTGATGATTTCTAGTTCCTTCATTGCTGCCTTTCCTAGTTCCAAAATTAGGGATAAAACATATGTCAATAAATGGTTTCATCCATCTTTTGAGTTCTTTATCCACCTAAAAATATTTTGTTTAGCTTTTCAAGTAAATATCAAGAACGCAGAAGTCCTCCTTATGATACATCCATCCCCAAACTGGTATCCACCAGCAATTTTAGACTACAACTCCCATCACCCTTCACCATTGGCCATGGTGACCAGGGCTCATGGACATCTAAAAAGCACTAGTTCGGAGAAGCATACAGAAGAGAATTAATAGTACCACACTGTGTAGTGCGCTTTCTCATAGGTCTGTATAGTCTTCTGCGCTATATTATATTGGATCTATTTTGTTCCTAGAAAATAACCCTGAATCCATCACAAGGAAAGTGAAGTGTATGCGTGTAGAAAATCCAGATTTTGCAACGGTCATAACAAACTGTGAGGATAGCACCTGCTGTGCTATCTTCGCTGATGGGACATCGGTTATATCAAAGCCACAAGGAACATACCAAGTGAGTAAAAAAATAATAATAATAATACAGTTCAGCTTTTCCAACTTGTTCTATCTTGGCATCCTGTTTGCATTGCTTCCCAAACTCCAGCTTTCCAATTACTTGGATTAATATACGAAATCAATAAACACCAGCTTTCCACATGCAGCTCCTAGAGATGATCCTGAGCAGCTGCTTTTCTAGAACATCCTTGGCAGGGTGGCTACGTTACCCCCAGCCACACTTTACCCCTGACATCATTGCTGCTGAATTGGCTGCTGCTCATTTTGCTGTGGACACTGTTGTATCTCCCAACATCAGCGGCACAGACAAAAAAAAAGAGGTTGCGATTTAAGTTTAAATCAAATGATTGGGGGTGGTGTGTAATTTTTATTCATGCCAAAAGCCTTTCTGGAATTTTTTGTTTTGTTTTGTTTTAAAGGAAAATAGGACATTTTTCCCCTCACTGCCACCACACTGAAAAAATGTGGCAGAAGAATTAACAGAGGTAGTAGTGGGATGCAAGGAGACATGAAGAGAGAGATGTTGGCCACCCTATTCGGAAAAGAGAGAGTGAGAGAAAAGATTCCTTGAGAGATCTGATCTGGCACATGTGGCACATGCCTTAGTTACATTTCACCTGGCTTACTGTAAGACACTGTATGTGGGGCTGCATTTATAAAGTGGGTCCAGAAATTCAAATGGGTCCAAAATGCCACAGCCAGATGGTTAACTGGGGCTTGCTATAATACATATAATTCCTGTGTGGCAGAAGCTCCACAGACTGTCAATCTGTTTACAGTCACAATTCAAAGTGCTGGTTTGATCCTATAAAGCCGTAAATGGCTTGGGTCCAATCTGTCTAAAACAGTGGTTCTTAACCTGGGCGATATCGCCCCCCCAGGGGGCATTTTTGTTTTTCACGGGGGCAATGGAATGAAAAGGGGCGACTCGGGGTGAAGGAACAGAAGGGGGTGATAGAGCTGCCGCTGCCGTTGAGGAAGATATCATTGCCCCCCTCCCCCTGCTGCCACCGCACCGCCATCACTGGGAGGGGGGCGATGATAACTTCCTCCATGGCTCAAGAGGATGTTTCTTTCAAAAAGGTTAAGAACCACTGGTCTAAAAGACCGTGTCTCCTATTATGAGATCATTAGGAGACGTCTTTCTTTCAGTCCCATCACCCTTCTTTGCTGTCCTCCCACAAGAAGGCAAAGACCTTTCTCGTCAGGCTGGGATTCCTTTAAATGAATGGCTGACCAAGGGGATTTTAAAAATAAATTATTTTATTCTGTTGTCTTATTTAAACTTTTCATTTTGCTATTCTTTATGAACTTTAATATATCTGTTTAATGCTTTTTTAAAATATTGTAACAATTTATTACTTGGATTTTATCTTCTTTTTTTAATACTGTAAGCCACCTTGGGTCCTTCAGGAGAAAGGCGGCATATAAATATTTTAAATAAATATAACAATGAATAATAAATAAAATGATTAAAACAGGTACACAAGAAGTAATTAATTATTCTGACAGAATTAACTGTGATTGTATAAGGTAAAATCCTCTTGAGCGAAATTCAGAGGGAAAGGTCAGTAATCCAATATTTCTTTGCCCCTCTGGTGTGTTGTCCTTTATGTGACCACTTGCATGCTGATTGTAGAATTGTAAACATGACCTGGATGGAGGCAGCCACAGTACAGGTGCCCTTGATTTTCTGCAACAGGATCCTCTTCATGGTTTTCAAATCAAATCAACTTTCATTTTTATATAACTCACAGTTACGTTTATTTTATTGAACCTTGTGGCGCAGTGGTTAAACTGCAGTACTGCAGCCAAAACTCTGCTTACAACCTCAGTTCAGTCCAGGTACCTAGCTCAAGGTTCACTCAGCCTCCCATCTTTCTGAAGTTAGTAAATTGAGTACCCAGCTCACGGGGGGTTGGGGGGCAATGTGTAGCCTGCAAAATTAAATTGTAAACCACCCAGAAAGTGCTTTAAGCACTATGGGGTGGTATATAAGCAGAACATTTTTGCTTTGCTTTTTTATTGATAGCTGAATCTTTTTATTTTTTATGGTAGATATTGCCCATGAACAAAGGCTGCCTCTTTATCGATGAAAATTGTTCTGCCGTGTATTCTCCAGAAGCATTTGAAAAAAGTGCATGTGAACTTATATCCAAAGTTGAGGATCAGCAAGTGGGGAAATACATTATGAAACATAATTCCAGCATTGTCTGTGAAGTGGTGGACCCTGAGGGAAATATTTTCAAGGTAAAATACAAGGCTTTATTCATGAAATAATGGGGGAAATTTTGTTTATATGTATTCATGAAGGCTTTCACAGCCAGGATCTGATGTTGTTGTGGGTTTTTCGGGTTCTTTGGCCGTGTTCTGAAGGTTGTTCTTCCTAACGTTTCGCCAGTCTCTGTGGCCGACATCTTCAGAGGACAGGAGTAGCACCAGAGCACAGAGTTCCTACTCCTCTCCTCTGAGGATGCCAGCCACAGAGACTGGCGCAACGTTAGGAAGAACAACCTCCAGAACACGGCCAAAGAGCCTGGAAAACCCATAACAACCATCTATTTATATGGCTTTTCTTTGTGGTCTTTGGAAGTTACACACCTGAGTTCTGCACCTGTGTGGAGCCTTCTTGATAAGATTCTAGAGCTGAATAAAATTTTGGTGGGAGCCATCCATCACTCTTCAATCCTCCTGCTCATGGACAATGGACATACTGCAGTTCCCATTGTTCCCACACACTTCACTTTTGTTTACTACTGCAGCAGCAATTTTAGGAATGTTTTGTGGCTCCTAACGTTCTCTTCTCCTCTTTCAGAGCTCCTCCCTCCCCCGCTCCCTTGTATCTCCCCTTTCATTGTACTTAGTATTTTGTTTTCCCTTGTGATGTATCTTGGGTAGCTTTTAGACTTTCCTAAGGTTTCATTTAAGACATGTATTAACTGAGGAGGTGGAATCATTCATTCCCATGGACAGTCACCCCCAGAACCTATTTTGTCTGGGAGAGGGGCATCTCGTTGACTCCTGTCACCATTGTCAGATCTTTCCTTGGCAAACCCAATGGCAGCGATTGTCATCCTGCGCAAGTGTAATCCTTCACATTCTTTTCTGGGTGCAAGCCTGGGAGAGCTGCAGATTCAGCAACTTGGAATTACTCTGACCACGCTGGGTTAGAATTTGTTTATATCAAATCAGCCCCTTCCATGTTACACTAAATGTTAAATTTGTGCCCAGCTGGAGAGTCTCCCTTTGAAACCAAGCCTGCTGCTTGATCTACAACCATGGAGTCCAGAGTCTTCAGTGTCCGTACCTGGCTCAGTGGTGACAGAGTTCACATCTGCCGCTGCACGCCATGCCAAGGCTTCCCCTTGGCTACTGTTGGTATTCAACAAACTAAAGGAGGCAAAGTCCAAATGACTGTATTCTGTGACTGGCAAAGGGTCTGAGAAGAAAAGGAGACATGAGGCAGATGTTACAACGTGACTACAAAACCAGTCAGAGACAAGTAATTGTGCTGCATTGTTAGGCTGACCTTCCCAGGTACTCCACTGGTCTGAGTACAGTATTTCTACCTCCACCATGAACACTTCTGCAACGTGTTGAGTCATTCTTCCAGGTCCATACCACACAGCGGTTGCTCCAACCGGCATCAGTCTGTCACCATTATCTCATTTCACCTGGCTGGAGAAACGGAGGGGTGGTGGTGGGTTATCAACATCAGGCACAGGCAAACATTCAAAATGTTCCATTTTTTGTACCACAGCTCTCAGAATCTCCAAGCCAGCATCATTAGGTTTTTAAGGGGTTTTTATACATGAGTTTAGATCAGAGGCCAAAGGTTTAAGCAAATATTCAGAGATGTGCGTAGTTCTTGGTCTCACATTTTCCTTCCACTAACAAATCTCTTTTATTTTGTGTGTTGACACAAGCAGACCTACAAAGGAACCCAGAAATGGGAAATTCTACTGATGCTTCTGCTTCTTGTCACGTTGTAACATCTGCTTCTGTTTCTTGTAGAGCAGCTGGACACTTTTCAGTAGGTCTGGACAAAATGTTCACGTTTGAACATTTTCAGAACCAGAAGATGTCTTGGGAGGATATCTACTTCACCCAAAAAGAAAGAAAGAAAAAGCCTCAGAAACTTTCTCCAACTTGTTAACGGCTGTTGTCTCCACAGTCCATTGCTTTTCTGGTCTTCTTGTCTCATAATGTGACCCCACCAATCAGAGATGACCTCATATATTCAGGGTTCAGATTTGTATATTCAAACAAGGCTTGTTCATTCTCCCCAATTTTGTGTCTCATCTGCTTCTATCTCTTTGTGCAGTACTGTCTCAGCTTATTTGCCTTCTTCGGCTCATTTGGAGCCCATTTATTGGGAGGTGGTGGTTTATTTTTGTGTTACAAATATGTTTGCAAAAAATGTCACTCCCAAACTTTCTTACCTTAAGAAAAGTCTTGCACTTTTACCCTACAGCTAATTGTAACAGGTGATGCTTAGGGAGAGAGGAAAAGGCTGTCATGTGTTAGAATAGTAGCTCCTCCTGCATGCAATTATGCTTGCTTGGACATGGCTTCTGCATAAAGGTGACTAGATTGACCAGAAGGGATTTGGGAGGGTAAGAGTTAAGGATAAGCAACTCTTTTGTTGCAGGTCATGGCTGATGGCAGCACATCTGAATTCATTGCCACAATTGATTCTGATGAAAATAAACCAGAACCCACAGATATGCAGATTCCAGTCATATATGGGGAACATGCACCCAGGTATGTAATGAAAATCTACCATGTGCTCTGAAGGGAATGTTATCTGTATAACTCCATTGTGATCCTTCAATGAGTCTTCTTTCAAGCTACATGCTTTGTGTACCCGAGCTGATCAGATCTGTGGGCTTGATTACGTATTTAGATTCTTCATTGTCTACGCTGATGGCTCAGGGACCGAACTCCTTCGTACCAGGGACGCAGAAGAATACCTGGCTCTGGCATATGGCAATCCCGTTGTAGCAGTTCTGCAGGAGCCAATACAAGAATGTCCAGGTAGGAATGCAGCATTTCATTCATGTCACTCTTGCTTTTGAGGCCTTCTTTCTCAATTAGGCCTCCATATTAAATACCCGTGTTTATTTATTAGAAGCAAATTTAAATTTGCAGTTCAATTTTGGATTGTTCAGGTACCTTCACCATATACTACGATATGTAATACTTACAGCAATAACAATATGTCACTGTTATTATGTCCATATGGCCAATGAGAAGATGCAAGCTGCAAGAAATATTCGCAAGGCTGCTTAGTGAGTTTATGGCAAACAAAAAATTGACATCAAGGCTCTACTATAGCTAACATTCAGGGAATTGTTGTTTTTTTCTGGAAAATTAGTGTATTTCCCCTAGACTTTCTATTTTAAAGGCCTCTTTCATTTTGGGCACATGTTTTATTTTAAGCAAACTTCAAAAAATGTGCAAAACATTTATTTGAAGAAACTGTAATCTGTAGTCCTGCAGCATAGGATTTCTCTGCTTTCCTTGTTTTTAATGCTGAATAGCATTAAAATTCTTCATTACAGCTCTTTCTGACCATATTATTGACCTTTTGTTTATACTTATTGGCCAAAATCTTGTTGTGCAGTTCTGTAAAAGATGTAACATTTAGTAGCGAATTGTTGTAAGTTAAAACTTCTCTGTAAGCATTATCTATTGTATATTGAGTCACACAACTCAGTGTAGAAGAAATAAGCTCTGAGTAAATTTTTTAACTTGCACAACGCGATGTCAACTGTTTGTTTTTGTAATTTTGAAAAAAAAAACTTACAAGTTCTTGTATGGAAATAGCCATCTAGCTATGTGTTCATGAATCAAGAGGAATCACATAGATGTATTCCACAATACAATTTTCTCAGATGTTGTTGTCGTTTCTTAGGACGATTATTCTTGTCCTCACCTATTTTGAACAACTATTTAGATGCATATCTTTCAAAGATATATATGCTCTTAGAACGAGTGTTAATTGTGCAAATGGGCACAAACTGTCATGAAAATCTCATGCATGAAATTCTGCATAGGCGCTAGTTTTTTGACATCAGCCTGTTTGTTGTATTGATTATGTAATGTAACAATTATATAGCCCAGTCATGACAGAGAAGACACCTTCATTCTTATGTTTAATATAGATTTGGGTATGTAAATTTCAGCTTGTGCTAGATCTGAATCTAGACCCTTTAACAATCTTTTGTCTGTATTTTCTCATGCTAGCTATTAAAACAATAATATTTTAAAATATTAATGATACATAAAACATCCTCTTGCTTTCAAAAGCAATAATTGTTCAATTTTTAAAAAATTTATCTTAAGACATGTTTCTTGTCTGTAATCAGAGTGATTTCTTTCATCTGACTGAAAGCAGGTATGATAAAAGGCAGATTCTGAATAATGTTTCAAAGAACATTCCTTGAGAGGCATAAGAAGTAACATTCTGCTCCATGTTTCATCATTTCGGTTCAGAGGAAGACTCCAGGTCCTCCATTTGGAATGCATGCTTGGAAAGGTCTGTCCATAGAGTTCAAGGCATTAGCAGATTCTCCTGCACCTGTACGGAAATGTCCAAATGTACTCCAGATTCGCCGGTTGATCCAGTATGAGCCAGTCACTGATGAACTAAGGCACAGACTGCAGCTTTCTGTCAAGGTAAATCTAACCCTGTGAATACCTGGTTGTGAAAATCAATAAGTATCTAGTATCTACCTAAACAATAATAAATGCAAGTAAATCAAAGAAATTTTAGAGTTATATAAATGTTCTCAGATGCTTTGGTTGCAGCGTGCACCTCTCCATCTTTAAAATAGTTTCCAGAGAAATAGCCATTTTAGTCTCCTTTAAAATGTTGGAATGGGTGGTAAAAAAAAGCAGAAGAAAACAACAACAAAAGATTGCTTAGTATGACTCTTCTCGAAGTTCAGCGCCTTTTGGGTCTTATGGCGTCCACGACGGCTGTCGTGCAACATGCACAACTGAAGATGAGGTCTCTTCAGGCCTGGTTCCTCTCACTGTTTTCAGTGACTGAATACCTCACATCCAGACAGCTGCAGGTTACGCCAGAGCTTGCCACACAACTGGATTGGTAGAGACTCCCTCGCAACTTGTGGGTAGGAAGACCTTTTGGCCTCTTGTCACCTACTGTTAAAATCACTACAGATGCCAGCCCAACAGGCTGGGGTGTTCACTTGGGCCCCCACACAATTCACGACACTGGCTTTTGGTGGAAGCTGGCCTTCATATCAGCCAGCTAGAACTCTTAGGGATTGCCAAGGCTTTTAGGGCCTTCGAGACCTTTCTCCTTGGTCGAGTAGTCCAGGTGGCAACAGACAATACTACGGCAGTTTATTATATAAACAAACAAGGTGGCACTCATTCGCTCCACTTCTTATTTCAAGCCATTGACCTTTGGAAATGGTGCTTTGTTTGACACATATACCCAGTAGCTGTGCATGTAGTGCGCAAAGGAATTCCCTTGCAGGCCACCTGAGCAAGCTTCAGTCCTGCTCGCACGAATGGGCCCTGGACAGTGCAGCCTTTCATCAGCTCTGCCGCCGTTGGGGGACTCCAGAGGTGGATGTTTTCGTGTCCCAAGTCACCACAAGTGCACCAGTTATCGTTTACGGGCCAGCATTGGTCACCAGTCCCTGAGGGATGCCTTCATGATACATTGGTCTACCTGCCTGCTCTACATGTTCCCACCCATTCCCCTTGTGCACAGGACAGTGGTAAAAATCTGACACAAAAATGCAGATGCGATCCTTATAGCCCCTTGGTGGCCTTGCCAACCATGGTTCTCAGCTCTACTCACCAGGACAGAGTACATCAGGCTAAAGATAGTTCCCCACCTGCTGTCTTGGGATGATGGACGGATTTTTCATCCAGATCTCGAATCCCTCCACCTAACAGCTTGGCGGCTTCCCCGACTAGCAGAAGTGCTCAGCCATGCACACAAGCTCTCAACCTCCTTGGCCTACTCCTATAAATGGAAAGCGTTCTGTACATTTGCCATGATCTGCCATTTACCTCTCAGCCCGACTTCTCTAGATTCTCCTTCGCCTGTTCCACCAAGGGCTTTCACACTCAACCTTAAAGGTCTACATAGCAGCCATCGTAGCCCATCAACCTCCTTCTTCTCAGGCAGGTATGCTCTTTAGACATCTGACCTTGAAGCAGTTCTTGCGAGGGCTGAAGAACATGCGCCCGGCCTACAAGCCCCTCATGCCGCAGTGGTCGCTCCAGCTAGTTCTCAATTGTGCATGAAGCCTCCCTTTGAACCCTTGGCTTCCGCTTCGCTCCGCTTGTTGTCCTTCAAGACCGCATTCCTCCTTGCAATTACCACCGCATGTTTATTTCCATGTTTTCCACTGTTAATTGTGTTGACCATTAATAATGCAATCTTTATGCATGCAAAAGCAATGTCCCTTTAATTAAGTGGAGCTTACATCTTGGGTAACAATGCATAGGATTGCAGCCCTAGAGATGTTTCTTTTTTCTGTTCTTGTCCATTGCCCTTTTAGGAGTACATTGACAAAATCATAAAACAAGAAGATGAAATGCAAGAGATGACCATTAAAGATCCAAGAATGGAAGAGGAGAAGGAAAATGCTGCAGACCTTCTCAAGCTAGTTATGGTAAGGAGTGTGCATGTTCCACTGCTACCTTTTCGGTATGAATTGTTTAAATGTAAGACTCTGTACTGTGGAAAAGGAAAACGAAGTCTTTTGAAAGCAAAACCTGTGGTACCAAGCATCAATTAAATTGAGTATATTTTTAAAGGATTTTATCTTCTGCTGATTTTTGTATTGTATATTAACTATTGCTATGTTAAAATCATTTAAACTGTAAGAAAAAAATGTTTTTGAGTATTTTCTTTGGTTGAAGATAAATGAAAATATGCCAGTTTCATTGCTATACTTCTGTAGGAAGAAAACATATGTAATGTATAAAAGTGGTTTTGTAATTTTAAATATTGGGTGTATGAATAGATAGAAATTTGAAGTTTCTGGAAGATTTGAAGCTAGAGAGGGAATGGTTCTTCCTCTTTTTATGAGGGAAAAAAATGGAAAATTTCAGAAATTTTGAAATGTATGCAGCATTTTTTCTTTTCCATCCTGAAGCTATTTTACTGCTTTCACAATATAAATTTTAAGTCATAACTTATAGAACAATTTTATATAAGTTATGACTTAAGAATATGTATGCTTTATTATAAAAGTTTTAGTATTTTTCTATAGTACCTAAGTGCACACATCTTAGTTTGAGCCATTTGAGTAGGAGGTAGAATAAAACAGAAACCACAGATTTTATCGTAGGCAAAAGAAAGCATGCTATTTGGACAGAAACAGATGTGCATCAGGGCTGTTTTTTTCCCACTGGAACTAAGTTGAACAGAGGTCTGGCACTTATTCTTCTATTAATTATCTACCAGAATGGTATTCCAGCACATTTTCTGGTTTTAAATAAGATGTGTTTATTATTATACTGCCTAGTCTACAAGCTTGTTTTAAGGTCTGGATTTAGTTAGTCCTCAGAGACCTGTATATAGTGTTTGTCTTCTATATTCTTCATTACAATTTAATTACCATCTACTCCCAAGAAAACATAGCCCAAGAGTTCTGGTACCTTTTACTCCAGTAAAAAAGCAAAACTTTTGCTTCCACTGTGATTGTCCTCACCAAAGTAGAACAGAGGTTACCAGAAGAGGCCAAGCAGCCTTTCACAACCAGTGAAATCCCTTCCCTCATTTCTCCTCTCCGGAAGGTGGCAGCACCTAGGTGTAGATAGATGTGTATCTTGGATTTGAGCATTGTATATGTCTACATTGTGCACAGGAACTAGAGTTTGTGATTCTATATACAGTCTTACATACAAAAGCTGAAATTCAGCAGTAAGTTACGACTGAAGTAGGCCCACTGAATCAGTAGGAATTAAATGAGTCAATGGCACTATAAATTCCAATGATTCAATGGCCCTACTCTCATTGCAACTTACTACTGGATTTCAGCCAATATTTTGTACTATGCAGCTCCTGGCATTCTGATAATAAAAGTCAGTGTCTTTAAAACAAAACAAAAAACAAACAAAAACGCAGTTAACTCATTCCAAAAGAGAAAATATTTTACCTCCTGTTTTTTCTTAAGCCGCCTCGAGTTTCTCAACTAGAAAAACTGAAAAATTGTCCTGGAGGAAAACCAGCAAAAAACTGGTGTTTTTTCCCCTTTTTTTCTGCAGTTTTTTTTTCAGGCCTTTGCATGTTCGTGGATGGCATTTTATATATTTCTGTGATGCATAAATGTGCTCAGATGAAACTCTTCCTTATTTTTCTGTTACGAGATCTCACAGTTATCTTCATCAGCCATGTAGCTGGGTTACAAACAGTAAATATATTTGATTCTTTAAAAAATACCAAGTTTAATAACGTGGGATATTGTGCTTCTGCATCCGCAATTCAAAATACCAGGAAATAGCCAGATATTCTTGCATAATATTGTGCCTACATTGCCAGCAGGAAAAAGGATGCCAAGCTTTACATAGCAAAGGATAGCCTGAATGTTGACAATACCAACATCAGCAGTCAGGATGGTGTATATGATATCCTCTTATGCTCACCATCATTCATACCTGTCAAAAAACACCCCTGACAATTGCTTTGCATTTGAGTGATAAGTGGTTAACTGAGTGGCAGTAATTTCCACAACACTAAGTAGTTGCTAAAGGAGTCAATTTCTGGGTTTTTTCCTTGCTTGGTGTAACTTAGTGAATGGTAGTGAGCAAGAGGGTTAGACTATCAGATGCCTGTTTGGCCAGGAAGGAGTTAAAACGGTCTCTTCATGAGAGTCAGCTAATTGCTGATCTGAAATCTATTTTTTTGTATGGGCAGTCTCCATTTTTAGAATTGTCCTGTAGAATGTTGATCTGCTCTGCTGCACAATAACACAGACATTGCACAACAGAGCAAATTAAAATTCAACAGGGCAATTCTAAAAATAGGGACACCGCCCCCCAAAAATTTTAACTTTGAAACTGGGGATCAACAATTCAGTATCTGTAATGTCTTAGATCTTAGGTTAATGGTTGTTAATGTCTATGAAACTGTTAGCTAAATGCAAAGCTCTGTTCAGGTCTCATGTCCATGTATGTAGCACTCTAGCCCCACCCCATCCACTGTTGTTTTCCCATGTGAAAGTGATGTATCGAAGGAGGATATCTGGTTGTGTCCATCGAGGCATCATATGTGAGTGAGAAGCTTGCTTTTTTCTGGCTTGGCTTGTATGAAAATTCTTCCTATATACAACCAGGTCTCCTCTTCAGATTTATCACTTTCACAGGAGGAAAGGGACAACAAAGGGGGTCAAGGCCAGAGCACTCCGCTTCTTGAGTGTGGAGTACTGTATACATGTGAATATTTGTCATTGGTTAGCTCCAGTGAGAATGAATGAAATAAATCTGTTAAGTCAACACTTACGTAAGCCTTGTGGGTCTAATGGGTTTATTCTGCTTAGGCCTGACAACTGGATGTATGTTCCACAATGGTAAGTAATTGCTAATTATTTTGACATCTGAAACATGTTAAAAAATTTGCACTGAATCATACAATTCAAGCTATTTGTGTGCTTTGCAGTCTTTCCCTGCTCTTGAAGAAACTTCAGATCTCTGTACTAGAGGTAATAATTTGTTCTTGTGTTTTTAGAGGTTTAAAAACTTTGTTTGGCTTAAATCAGTAATGATCCATTTATATAACATTTGCCTTCATTTACTTCAACTATTTTGCCTTCCCTTTCTTCTCTTTTAACCTGAAGTTTGCGTCGTCTCTGAATCAAAAATTTAAAACATAAGGAAGCAGTGTAACCGTTATTCAAATATAATTTAGAAAACTAGAAGTCAAATCAGTAAATCTAGTTGCAAGTGCTTAAATAACAAATGTTCAGATATGAAATGTGCAGATCCAAGAGACTGAAAGATTAGTGGGGGAAAATGAGGCACTCTATGAAGACAGACCAGAATGGTTGAATTTGAAAGTGGCATGACAGAGCCATCACAGCCTTTTCATTTCTGTTGTTTCACTATCAACTCTATTTACACACATTGTGCAAGTTGTAGACTGATGATCAAGAGCCCGCTTTTTTTAAGCACAAAGGAATCACTCCCTAATGATATGGTGATCCTATAACACTGGCAGATAGATGGAATGGTCGGATAAAGTGTAATGTGGGCGAATTTGGGGAACTCCTACCATCTGATTAGTATATCTCATTTTACTGTTGCCTTGATGTGTGGTTGTCTATGGTTTGGATGCTGCGTGCTCCCCGCATGCCCTCCCACAGCCCAAAGTAGTATGGCCAACAAAGAGGCAGAGTGCTGAGAGGGAGAAGGGAACAACATACCCCTCCCTATATAAATATGGGGGAGGTAGCAGGAGAAAGTACTTTACTATGAGGAAAAGACCAGTGGCAACACCAATGACCTCAGCAGTCAAGTCCTGTCCTGTTATCCAGATTCCATAGTTATTCCTTGGTTAGGGTAGAGGCAACTGGGAAGGAGTGGACATGTGTTATCTGTTCCCACCACTAGAGGAGAAAACAGCAGCTTAGGTGTCTGCATGCCTGCTACCAAAAGCTCACTGCATATAGGGCAGGCAGTTTCGTCAGTATTGGAGTCCGAAGGCTCCTCCTTGCCCCAAGGCACTATGGGAAGAGTGGTTCCAAAGCTGGCCTGTTGGGATACTCATGGGAGATAGATAATCAGTTTGTCTTGGTCAGCAGTAGGACAGCAGTGCTTCTTTTCTCTGACAAACATGGTCTTAACGGCAAGGGGGAAGGAGCTTCAGTGTCTGTAGGACTCTGCTGAGGTGTCTGCCCCAATTAACATTAATCATTATAAAGAGAAACACTAACATTTACCGATACCCCAAAATTACAAGGGCACAATGAAGCATTCTGGAATGCTTTGTATAACTGCATTTGCAATACTTAAATGAAGTTTGTTAGGATAAAAAAATTATATGAATTCCTTCAACAATTAATGTTTTTAAGTATGTGTAGAGCACACTTTTAACACACCAAGAATCCCATGATGGTGTAATATTATATAACACACTATAACTACAGTAAAGCTGAACAACAAAATACTTTTAAAATCCCATATAAGAAGCAAATGAAGCAGATTAAGCATAACTTGAATTTACAGTTCTGAAATGTTGAAATACACAAAAGGGTTAGTTTTTCCAATTCTTCATCTTCAACTCTGGCCATCCCCTTGAATTGCAATGTCAATGATCCAGACATTTCTTTGTTCTATTACTATTATGTCTGGAGTGTTACGTTCAAGGTGTCTATCAGTTTGGATCCAGAAATTCCACAAGATCTTGACCTCGTCATTTTCTGACACCTTCTCTCCCTAATCTTCCCAGGGGTTTTTGGAGGCTGGCAAGTTATATTTTTTGCATAATGACCAGTGCACTAACTTTGCCATTCTAAAAAAAGTGTTGCCAAGTGAAATAGGCCTGATTTGATATAACAACTTCTGAAATTGCAATGTTTATATAATGTAGTGCTATATTGGAAAAGAGCACTGGACTGAAACATCTCTGTACACTTTTTTTAAATGTACATATTCTTGTATGTGCACTGTTCAGTTGTGTGCCTTTTCATCACTCCCCAATATCTATGGATTTCTGAATGCAAACGGTATCCAATCTATGCCCATTTCAGGATGGTACAAACACTGGAAAACCAGCAAAAGAAAGCAAAAGAAAAGACACAAGCAACAACAATTATCAGCAACTCTGTTAGGGAAAAATTCTTTGCAGAACTCTATAGTCTTCCACTTTTCAAAGCTCAACCTGCTAAAGAAGCCTGGCTGTACTAAAAGCAGAGATTGGGCAACATTATTTCCCCTCCCTCCCCTACTACTGGAATATGAAACAACCACTGTAGAAGGAAGGGAGCTGCCCAACATGGATCATTCAGTTACTCCCCAGAAGAATCCCCCATTTAAGGATCATTGAAATGTTGTAAGCTTTTGTGACATGCTGGTCTTGTCAGCCACTTTTAGCACATTTGTGCAAAGGCTAGTAAAAGGAACAATCTGTATAGGCAGATTATATAGATTATCATGTTTTCCATCAATATTTCTCAGGTGTTGTCCATGTAGTGGTTTACTTTTCCAAGTGTTTAATTTATTTTCAAATTATTGTTTCTTATTTTGAAACTTTGTTTATGTTGTTTTCAAAATATTCTCCATTTTATACTAATATAATCATTTAGGCTTTTTTCCTCTTTACTACCTGCTGTATCATGGCCTCAAATTTTTCGTGGTTAATATAATCTGCCCACATCACTTTTTGTCTGTAGTGCATGATGTGTGCTCATTGGTTTTTGTAGTTTTCAATCCAATTATTCTAATTCATTTTGGGTCCAATCTATTATTCTATAAAAAATGGAATAGAAACAATATAATAAAGTAAAAAACAACAATAGTAATGTGGCACAAGATGGGGAAAAGAAAGGAAAAAAGTCTTTTGGTATCTTCTCTTTCTGTCAGTTCTTTAATTTTTGTGTGGAAGATGTTGTCTGCTTCTAGTATTCCAAGGTATTTACAATTTTCATCATAATAGTGATTTTATAATATTGCCGTTTTTAAATATATTCTGTATAGTTTTTGCCACATTGTATATTTGTCAATTCCAAATTTCATTTGAATGTATTCTCTAAATATTTGCACTTTGTTTTGCAATGATTCTATCTTGGTTGAACTTTTTGCATATAGTTTTAGGTCATCCATGTATACAATAGATTGATTTTTCCTGCTTGTTCTGAAATATGATAACCCAATTTAGTTTTGTTTAAAATTGTTGATTCGTGAGATGTTAAAAACTAGTGGAGACAAAGAATCCCCATGGAATATTCCTCTTTTTATGCTAACTTCTCCATGTTCTTCACAATAGGTCATTAAGATGGTTTTCCATTTTTCCATGCTTTTTGTGAGGAACTTCTGAATATTTTTATTAATCCCATTTTTTAATGGAAGGCATTAATCCATCTGTGTGGCAATAAGTAAAATGCCTTTTTATAGTATATCCATGCAATGTTAAGATTTGTTTTTTCTCTTTTTGCATTCTTTAGTATTTTATCAATAAGCAGATGATCTTTCATGCCTCTTGTCTTTTTAAAGTTCGTTTTCTGTTCAGTTGGGTATAGGGAATTTTCAGTTAAGTAATTATATATTGATCTTGCAAGTACTCCCGTGAGAAGCTTGAATATTATTGGAAGGCATGTAATTGGTCAATAATTACTGGGTTCATTGCCCTTTTGATGATCTTTTATTAACAGAAATGTACTGCCTATTGTCATCCAGTTTTCAGTTGTAGAATTTTTATGTGATTAAATTGCACTGCTGTGTGTTGATGGAGACTTGTTAAATTCTTTAACTAAAATCTGTGCAGCTTATCTGGTCCAGGTGCACCTTTTATTAACAGAAATGTACTGCCTATTGTCATCCAGTTTTCAGTTGTAGAATTTTTATGTGATTAAATTGCACTGCTGTGTGTTGATGGAGACTTGTTAAATTCTTTAACTAAAATTTGTGCAGCTTATCTGGTCCAAGTGCACTCCACTTTTTCTAATATTATATAACAGATACAAGTTTTCACAAAAAACTGATGATGATGATGATGATGTTCCAGTGCCACCTTCCAGTACATTTCCATGGTTGAGTGGGGATTTGTGGCTCCAGTACTTTGGCCATCTCATGAGAAGAAAAGAGTCCTTGGAAAAAACCTTGATGTTAGGAAGGTGTGATGGCAAGAGGAGAAGGGGACGACCGAGGATGAGATGGCTGGACAGTGTCTGCGAAGCAACCAACATGAACCTGACACAACTCCGGGAGGCAGTAGAAGACAGGAGGGCCTGGCGTGCTCTGGTCCATGGGGTCACGAAGAGTCGGAAACGACTAAACGACTAAACACACACACAGCCCCAGGCAATATTTCTGTTCTGGTAATATTTGAGAAACTGAGGTCATGGTTATACTGTTGATTTAAACCTAGGTCTTCTAATTCCTACTCCAATGCTGTATTCATTCCACTGCATTTATTCTCATGATAACTATTACTGGCTCTCAGTTGCCATTAAGATTTAGTACTAAGATTCCCACACGGCAGTGCTCCTTGACATCAAAACTGCTAGAATTCCAGAGGGAGTGTAGTTTAAACTCACATTTGCTAAGCAACTAATTACTACAATTGTCTTAAGGGAAAAATACACCACATTACCTATTATTTATGTTGTTCATTTTGAACCAGGGGCATCTAAGAATTTCTACTAGTAGATTGTTAAGTGTTTCCCCATAGAGAAACAAGTCTACATCTATAAAAAGACGGTTAAGCATCCACTACAGTGGTCTTTGATAGGCAGATGCTTTAGTGGGCCTTACAGTCTATTTAGTAGGGCCCATACAAGATTCAAGGATCATTGCTATTTAAGATATAACATATAAGGATGACCTCCTCCTTCAGAAAAGAAAGCAATGCTAGCATTTACAATGTGCCTTTAGTTACCTTCTATGACCCTGAAAGAATAAATGTGCATGTAAAATATCTCTTTCTAATAGATAGGATGAAAATTGGCAACTGAGTTTGGTGCTTTTGAGTTATGACCAGTAATTTTAATTTCCTCTTGTGTCCTTGCAGCTCAGATTGCAGAGATATATGAGCATGCAGTAACTTCTCATCTACAAAATCTACCAGGGGAGACACTCCTAAGGAAAACAGAAGAATATTGGCAGACGTTTCGGTAAGAGAATTTGTCAGAAATCATAACACTATGTATTTTAAATCGATTTACAGTCACATGATTTTGTATCACTGTTCGCATTCACTTTAAAAAATATTACTTCAGTATAAGGTAGGGGCTTAAAACCACTTTGGGAAACTACGTGAAGTTTTAAATCATTTCATTAACCAGCATGTTTGCAGATCATATTTTCCATGTTGTATAGTGTTTCTTTGGTTTTTCAGGCGTCCTTTTTTCTTTTAAAAAAATAATTTTAAGTGCCATATCACTACAGTGAAGCAGTGCTAAAGTTTTTTTTAAATAAATTTAAAAATATATTTTAAACTAATGGCAGTGTCCCTGCCATCTGCAGCCACAAGGGCTTCACATTGCCCAAAGTGAATTGATTTCACAAGTGTGTTAAATTACATAAAGAATCGATGTCACAAGTGTGTTAAATTACATAATCGATTTCACACGTGTATTAAATTACATAATCAATGTCACAAGTGTGTTAAATTACATAAAGAATCGATATCACAAGTGTGTAAAATTACATAAAGAGTCGATGTCACAAGTGCGTTAAATTAAAAAGCTCCTGTAGGCCTCTAATTACAAAAACTTGGTTTGCGGTCAAAAAGAAGTGGGTTTCAATGTTAGTCATGTACGTAGCTGTGATTTTTAAAATCAATTTTAATTATGCAAAACCCAATCCAACAGTGGTTCTTATTTGTCAGTGTAACCACACACTGGATTCAGGCTTTCGGGCAGTAGGTTGATAATGGCCAGGGGCTTCTTTCCTGCCCTTCCGTTCTCTGCTGTTTTACATGTCTCATAATTCCACCTGTATTCTAGACATCATGCCTGGTTAACCCTTACACGTAAGGAATAATAGGTTAAATATCAGATATGGAATGTGCAAGGTAGGTAACTTTCGCCCCCTTGTTGCTGTTGTTTGGCAAAGTAGGAAGGGGTAATGTTTGAGTCTGAAATGGGAGATCAGACTAAAGTTTAAAAAAAAGTTTGAGAAGCTTACATTATCTGTCTGCGGGAGAGAGCCAGATATGCAGATAAGTTCTAGCATTGCTCTGGCAAGGCAGGGGGTCAAATGATTCCAGGGTCTGCAGTCAGTATGGTAAATCCCTGACTCCTCACCCCACTTCTTCACCTGTCTTATCCAAGAAAGCTTCTAGCTCCTCTCTTCTGTTCCAGTCCTATTTTAGTGTCTCCGATTATTGTTCTTTTAATCTATCTTCTCTGTGCTTGACTGGAAGAATGGTGGGAAGAGCCACAAATCTACCATTACTAAATGCAGATCTTGGAATCATGCAACCTTGTCTTGCCTGAGCAGCACTAGGACCGTGTACGGGTGGCACTAGAGCTTAACTCATATATAGATTTTTATGTCTTTATGGACAAGAACCGACTGACACACGAAGTACCTTTTTTAAAAAAAAAAAATTAATCAAAAAAGTGGTACTTAAGAGGACATTTTAAAATGTTTTGGATATTGCTTATTATTTTACTATTAATATGAATAACAATTTGTTTTATTGTAATTAATATTTTAACCGTATTTAAAAAAATGTTGTGCCATTTTTAGAAAGCCGTGTTATGTGTCCCAACAGTAACATTTTACGAACATTTTTGTTTTCCTTCATGCAGCCAGGAAGGGGAAGTGCAGGTATCTGTCTGGCAGGTCAAGTTAGCACAGACCAGGTAACAGTGTTGTTAGCTTTAGTATATGCTTTAGAAGCCAAAAGCTGTGAGGATGTGGGGGGACAATCTTGCTGAGATCTGTAGAGAACTGAATGAAGCTCTTCATTATTGTACTGTGTTTATAGAGCATTTCCTGCAATATAAATACTAAAGTAGCAGTTCTAACCAGAATTCTACAGCTTTGCCAGTGGTGATGAGTGTCCTTTCTCCAGTAAAGGCACTGCTTATATGAGAGACATTTTCTTTTCCTCCAACATTTGAGATCACCTTCAGCCTGCAAGCAATGGCTTGCTGATGCCTTCTGAAAATACAAACCAAAGAGACACACTACATCTTCTTTGTTTCACTTACTGCTGAGCAAAGGGAATAAGAGTTTTTGTTGTTGTACTATTACATGAGGCAGTATCAAAGCATTTTTAAAAAGCCCACCTTTCAAGAGAAGAAGAAAAGAAGAAGTAGCTTTTAAATTTTTAACCAGTGAGTTGGCTTTTGGAGAAACTACAGACAAGGAATTCAAAAGATAAGAAGGGAATGAAATTTTTCTTCCTTATTTTCTGTAGAAGGGAGTGAAAGTTAGGGAGGGGCCTGAAACTTTTTTCTTTGCCCTTGCCTGCCAGTCCTGCATATTTTTATCTCATTTTTTGATTGGACAACCTCCCTGATAGATGGTGGGAATGCTGCAGACATAATATATCTTGACTTCAGCAAAGCCCTTGGCAAAGTGCCCCATGATATTCTGATTAGCAAAATGACTGGGTGTGATACAGTAACTATCAGGTGGATCCACAGTTGGATATAGATTTGTACTCAATGACTCATACGCAAACTAAAACTGGAAGAAGGTAACAGGTGGGGTACCACAAAACTCAGTCCTGGGCTCGGTGCTCTTAAACATTTTTATTAATGACTTGGATGAGGGAGTGCAGGAATATTTCTCAGATTTGTGGATGACACAACATTGGGTGGAATAGCTAATACTCTTGAAGACAGAAACAAAATTCAAAAAGATCTTGATCAGCTTGAGCACTGGGCTCAACAAAAGAGTGAAATTTAACATGGACAGGTGCAAAGTTCGGTACCTAGGGCAAAAAACACAAATGCACAATTACAAGATGGGGGATACTTGGCTCAGTAATACTGTGAGTGAGAAGGATATTGGAATTGTTGTAGATCACAAGCTGAATATGAGCCAACAGTGCAATGTAGCGGCAAAAAGAAAGAAAGAAAGAAAGAAAGAAAGAAAGAAAGAAAGAAAGAAAGAAAGACGAGTGCTATTTTAGGCTGCATTAACAGAAGTATAGTTGCCAAATCATATGAAGTATTAGCACCCCTCTATTTGGCACTGAATAGGCCTCTACATGAGTAGAGTTCTGGACACCACACTTTAATAAGGATGATTGTCAGCAAACTGGAGGAAGTTCAGAGGGCAACAAGATGATCAGCAGACTGGAAACCAGGCCTTATGAGGAAAGAGTGAAAGAACTGGGCATGTTTAGCCTTGAGAAGAGAGAACTGAGGGGAGATATGATAGTACTTTCCAAATATTTGAAAGGCTTTCATACAGAGGAGGGGCAGGATCTGTTCTTGATCGTCCCAGAGTGCAGGACACATAAGTACTGGCTCAAGTTACAGGGAGCAAAATGTCAGTTGAATATCAGGAAAATCATCCTAAGTAAGTACTGGCTCAAGTTACAGGGAGCAAAGTTTCAGTTGAATATCAGGAAAATCATCTTAAGTGTTAGAGTAGTATAATAATGGAACCAATTACCTTGAGAGGTAGTGAGTGCTCCAAAACACGAGGCATTCAAGAGAAAATTGGGCAACCATTTGCTAGATCTGCTTTGATTTGGATTTCTGCATTCAGCAAGGGTTGGACCTGATGGCCTTATAGGCCCTCTCCAAACCGATTATTCTGTGATTTTATGACTGGTGAAGGAAAGAAGTAGTCATTTCTTTCATTTCCATTATATTTCTATAGGAGAGAGTCATTAGCTCTGCTGGTACATCCTTCATTTTCTAATGCGAAGAATGGGAAGAAAAGGAGAAATTTTCTCTTTAATCGTTTTGTTAAAGTTCTGAAACAGTGATGATGTCCATGTCAGGATAAGAAGTCAACATATGCAGTTTTTCATTTTTAATTATTCTAAACCAGGCCACGGATAAAGAAAGCTCTGGATAAATTACTTGAAAATAGTGTGAAACCATTACAACATAATTTATTTTCTTTCCTTCTCCTGTTTCAAAACTTGATAGGCAAGAACTTGAGAATGGAAAGGAATGTCTTACGAAGATAAGGAACAAAGTAATCCCTCCCTACTTCAAATCAGAATTTGGCATGGAATTTCTACAAAAGGAGGTAATTGGGATGTTGGAGGCTGAGAAACTTAGATCATCGCAAACCATTACATTGTGATCATAAAAGATTCCTTACAACTGGGAATGCAAAAATCCCTTAATCTCTGTTGTTGTGTTTCTTGGGACTGAACATAAAACTGAACCTCAAATACGAACCCCATTTCTTCTCACATTTGTTTCTTACCAAGTTGGGAGACTTTTGCACTGCATAGGAATTCTTGCATGTTTTGTGTATATTCTTTTCCCAATATACACACTTAAAAAAATAATTTCTTAATATGTACGTGTATTTTCTCCTTTGGTTGAAGTGAGTTTATGTGCATTTTTCAAGAACTGTGGTGTACGTTTATTTATGTATGATCCAAAAAGGAAAAAAGAACATGAAATTCATTATTTCTTGAAGATGACAGGAAATTTGTTAATAGTCTTGTGACTGAAACTGAAAAGAAAGACTATGGAAATTATGTGGCCATCCCATGCTAGCATACTCCCTTGGTCCGTGTACTGGATGTACCTTTTGGCAGTGAAATAAACTAACTCTGTCAACCTCACCACCTCACTTGCTTCTATGGATTTGCCTTCAACCTCTCAGAGAGAATGAACCTCCCAAGTGAACATTTATATCACTTGCAACAGATATAACTTTATATTTTTGAGGTTTAGGATCCAATGACATTAGAAGGCCTTGGAGAATATGAGTTAGTATCAATGCTTGCATTCTTTGAAGCTAGAATATGTTTTATGACAATTGATTGCTGTAGATTTGCAATCTTGCTGTCACCTGCAATCACACAAATCCCGTTAAACTTGGCCAGGTTCTTACTCTGTTTTCTTCATCTTCCTAAATAAAAAGAAGAACTCTGTTGTATTGTAAATTTCAAGATATCTGTATCTGGAAACACATTTTTTATCTATTGTGGAGGAACTTTTTTTGGACTGTTATTTTGAAAGTTTCTCTTGGTAACTGCATTTCTGGTTTGTTTTTGTTTCCTTTTTTTTCATTAAAGCTTCCTGATATCGAGCATCTTTCAAAAATGCTTCCGCCATTCCCAGGGAAAGAAAATAAGGAACCATTGCTGAGTACAATTACAGAATCTATTGAAAGCAAAACTGCTGGATACAGTTCAGGTAATACAGATTCTCTGCTGAGTTTGTTTGGTACCCTTTTTGCTCACACAGTCAGCATATTTGAACATGTTGGCGATATTTCCAAGTTCATTGAATTTTTTTCCATTCTGCTGTGCTACTGAAGAATGTATTGGCACACAGGAGACAAAATAGAAGGTGCTTCCCTCCTTCCCAGGACAGTTGGAATGATCACTAATACAAACACAAATGGATTACAAGGGATCATTTTGTTTCCCCCCACAATGGACAAAATTCTCTTCTGTAAAGTTAATATGGTGCAAACCAGACAACATTGTCATCTGGTGCTAGTAGTATTTCATTCAAATCAATTGAAAACTTCCTATCTCTACCTTTCAGGTTCTGAGGTTTCCTAGGGCTCCTTTTTTCTTTCCTTCTGTTTTGCATGAGAAACCTTGGGGAGCCTTGGGATTGGCGAGTGGAAGCCTTTAATAGTGCAAAGTTGAAATTTTGCACTATTCCGCTTGCCTGTCCCAAGGCTTCTAAAGGCATTTCATGACAAAAGGGATCCCTAGGGAGCCTTGGAACTTATAATATCATCCAGTATGTGCCATGTAACTTTATATGAACAGGATTTTGGACACTGTATAGACTTGACTTTCTTTTCCCCCCATCACCCGAACCACACATTGCCTCTTCATGTGCTAATGTTATCAAACACCTGTTTTAGCCATATGCACACATAGCAAAGTAGGCTCCAGCATCATAAATATGTCCTCTGCCTTCTGTCTAAAGTATATCATGCTCCTTTTCTTCGCTCACCACAGCCGAAGTAATAGTACGTATAAGTCTCACAATGTGTCTTATATTTACTTCATTGGTCTTCCTAGAGAATTTTTAAAACATCAGGACTCTTCGTGTCTCTTTATGTTTGTGTTACTACCAGAACTAGTGGTTTCAAAATTAATTTTTTCATGGCTATAGCACTGATCATGAGTCTTTTTAAAAGACAGAAAATGTTTGTCCCTGGCTACAGAGGCACATAATTAGAAAGTTGCTTATCCACACATGAAAAAAGGAGTATTCAGAAGAACCCCTTGGCCTGAGAGATTTTGAAGGGAGAAGCAGTGATGAGAGTGTAAAATTTTCTGATGTCCTAAAATCCAGTTGTAATTAGAAAACTTGAATGCTAAAGGTTTAGCAAAAAATAGAAAGCAGGCTATGTGCATATCTGTGTACATGTGGTAATTCAGTGTGTCTGGAGGAAAAACATAATGCACTAACCAGCATTTCACTCTACCATTAGAATGTCGGTTGTCTTTTTAAAAGCATGTGTGCAACACCTGGTGAAGCCATAGGGTGGACTGGGGTAGTTTCCAGTGACCATACACAGGGCTTCAGAATCCTAAATAGCTTCTCATCCTTCATAACTAGCAGAAGCAGAACTGAAAAAGCAGAAAAAAGGATTTTTTTTCTTAATTTGCATAACTTATAGAATTCATTTTTTTAAAAATGATGCTCAGAATTTGGATTACCCTGGTACAGAATCAATGACTTCTCAGTATAGAGGGGCATATGATACAATCCCAGCTAAACCCCCTTAATGTTTATGGATGCATAATTCAGAAGACTTCTGTGCTGTGGTGCTTTATTTAGAAAGCTGGCCATCTGCTTTGACAACTGATGGTTTATGAAGTACTGTAAGATCTTATTACTGTAACATGTACAGATTTTTTTAAAAGTACAGTGGTGCCTCGCTTAACGAGTTTAATTGGTTCAAAAAAATTGCTATGGGAAAACATCGTTAAGCGAAACACGTTTTCCCATAGAGATGCATTGAAAATCGGATAATCCGTTCCAATAGGAACGGATTGCCATCCTTAAGCGAAAATCGCCATAGGAAACATCTTTAAGCGAAACGCGGTTCCCCAATTGAAACGCATTGAAACCTATTCAATGCATTTCAATGGTGAAAAAAAAATTCACCAAAAAATTAAAAAGACTCAGAACAAAGCCAAATTAATTTAACGAAGGTTTTATTAGGTGCATTAACGATTCCAAGCATTTTAAACATTTTTAAACATTTTAGAATATTTTAAAAATAGCAAAAAACGGGGCTGTCAAAAAAAAACGTTAAGCAAAACGGGGGACTTAAAACCAAAAACGTTAAGTGAAACATGGTCCCAAAATCGCTAAGTGAAAATCGCCCATAGGGAAAAATCGTTAAATGGAGCGCAAGATCACTCCGAAAAAGCCATCGTTAAGCGAATTTTTCGTTAACCGAAGCAATCGTTAAGCGAGGCACCACTGTAGTTATAAAAATAATATTTAGCCTTCACACTTCTTACTTTTCATCTCCCTTTATGAGCTTCCTAGAGGAAGCTTTTCTCTCTGTCTCGCCCCATCACAGCTGGTGAGAATACAAGAGAGGCCTTCTCTGTCACTGACCACCCCACAAAGACCTTTCTCCTCAGGCAGACTTTTCTCAGTAACTGGCTGCCTAAGAGGGGGTTCCTAAAATCCACTTTGGGCTTCCTAAGGAGAAAGGTGTGGGACAGAGGGAGAGATAAAAGCTCACATTTTCCCCTCTTGACACACTCAGAAAATCTGCAGCCTTACTCTGTTATTGGTTGCCAGTTAGAACTTGTCACTATCTTGTCAGGCTTGACAAGAAATTATTGTCACTAAAATTCAAACTGCACTTCTGTTGTCGCTTACCCTTCATGATACACTGGTGAAAACATACGAGTCTGCTTTACAGTATATAGATTCAGGTCCTTTGTTCATCAAGTCCTCTGTTGTCTGCTGTAGTTGGCAGCAACACATTAAAGCTTCAGGCAAGACCACTCCCAGCTTTCCCCCTGCAAGATACTCCTTTGGTAGAAGTCACTACAGAGTGATCATAGGAATTACGATGCGTGAAAAGTATTCTCTGTCATTCAGCTATGAAGCTCCATGTGTGTGAAAAGACCCAGTATCTTTTATTGTAGATAAAAGGACCTGGCTGTGGAATACTTCTTTATTAATGCACAAAATCCTGAGTTCTTCTGTACATGCCCTGTTAAAATGGATAGGGACTATTCATGAGCCACAGTGTTGTGTATAGTTCCCTTTAATTTCACTAGAGTTTACCCTTTGTATTTAGAATGTAAAGCCTTTTTTAAAAATTCAAATGACAAATTTATCTTCATAGAAGATCACTCCACCAAGCATTCTGGAGATTTACACCCTGATCTATCAGTTGGCTCTTCAATCTGTGCTGCGGTCTATCCAGCTCTCTCTGGAACAGGTAAATCAAAGAGCTTGAAGATCCATGTTGGATGCTCAGAACTTCTTGCTCCTGTTTGCCCTAATATCTCATTATTTATTATTAAAATGTGTAGCATGCTGCTTTTCACTGTTCGTTTTCTCTGCTATGTGTGACACACTGTTTGAGTGAAACAATAGGACTTGTCACAGACACACACACACACTTGAATCATTCCTGTTTATTTTAAAAATCCTGATCATTTTATGTACTGATATATTGTTCAAACAACTGGTTATTCTCAGGCAGGACATGATTGAGAATCTTGAAATATAATCATGCAGTCGATGGGCTTGAGATCTATGACGTGTGTATCCAAAGTTGCTGATGATTGATATAGAACTATAGGAGCTTTACTGAAGGGGGCAGAGAAATAAGGGATGCATCCACACTACACAGTTAATAGCAGTTCAACATCATTTAAATATCACAGTGCTGTCTTGCAGAATGCGGGGACTTGTTATTCGTTGAGGTGCTTAGGATACTCTGCTAGAGACCACAGGTGCACTCTCCTGAACTACTACAGAGAATTCTAACTATCAGGATCCCTCTGAGGGTTAAAATAATATCAGACTGCTATAACTGTATAGCATAGATTTGCTAAAAGTCTGTTAGTATCTCTGTATTCCTAAATATGGCAAGTCTCGTGAAAAAGTGGCCCTCTAGTTATTCTTGCGTTGAATTCCTATGATGCCTACTCACTGGCTCTGCTAATTAGTGTGGACAGGAGCAGCATTTGGAGGGTCACACATTTCCCTTCCCCTACCTGGCAGTGAGATCCATTGTTGTATTTCTTGCGAGTCTTATGAGAGGGCGGAGGGTCACACATTTCCCTTCCCCTACCTGAGAGGGGAAGTGATTTCAGCATTCTGCACTGTAACAGTAGTCCCTTCTTCCATGCTGAACTCCTGTTTGAATCATTCTGGTTTTCCTGAACTTTTGGCCAAGCTCAGAAAGTGGGGATATGGTGGTTTGAGATCTTGAAAAGGCATGAGGGAGTTTGAGAAAGCACCATCAGAGGCACCCTCCAACCTCTCCATCACAGAAAACTAGCTTAGTCACTTCTGACTGCATCATCTCCCCATAAGAATGCTGCTGAGGTCTGCCGTCATCCTTGGAATCCTTTCTTTCTTCCACAGAAGGAGACACAACTGACAATAAATTGGAGCTCCTCATCCAGCCAAAGATCCAGTCTCTTTTGGTGAATGCGGCAGGATCACCAAGGAAAGAGAAGGTGAAACTGCCCTCATCCATACAGAGGGTCAAGCCACTGTCTCTGCCCAGGCAAAAGGTAAGCAAAATAATCCTCCACTCCCTGTGAATTCACACTGTAGGAGTATAATCTCTTCCTCATGTTTCCTGAAGAGGAATCCATCCTTATTTCCAGTTGTAGCTGGTTGTAGGTAAAACTGCATTGTAGGTGATACATGGTTCAAGGGAGGAGGGTGCATGACTCTAGAATCTGGGGCTGAGCTGCTCAGACCATAGGCCACACTGAGGTGTATCGTTGCATTGGCTACCTCTCTTTCTTCATGGGATTCTCCAACTTTTGTAGTGTATTAGTAACTTGTACAGTTTACTGCAAGTAAGATGAGCTTTTTGGGTCTGGAGTGGTCTTCAGATTAAATAGTATAGTTAAAAGTGGTATAATTTAAACTCCGTTGTGTATCGTTGGCAGCCTGGCACTATGAGCAATGGACAGCACATCTGTAGACAAATTTTACATTCTTGGTAAAATTTTGCTGATCTAATTAGGGTATTGCTCAACCTTGAACTTTGCTTCTGTGAATGGATCATGTAGCCATTCTTGAACAATGATAAATTGCAGAGCAAATAAGCAAATGCGCTGTCAAAGTACTTTTAGCAGATAATTTGCATCCAAAAATAACATCCTGAATGTATAATCCAAAGGATCAACAATTATATATGACTAGAAATAGCTAGCATAGCTGGGGTGGCCCTAGAAATGGGCCACAGTTCAAGGGCATAGCATATGTTCAACCGCATATGCTTCATATGCAGTTGCAGTCTCCGAGTTCAGTTTTTGCTATGCCTAGCTATAAGATATCATATAGCAAGACTGGGAACAAGTAACAGATATTGAAAATGTAAGGCTATTCATCATATGCAGTTGCAGTCTCCGAGTTCAGTATTTGCTATGCCTAGCTATATCATATAGCAAGACTGGGAACAAGCAACAGATATTGGAAATGTAAGGCCATTCCGAATAAACAATGCTTAGCCAAATGGACCAGTAGCCTGCCTGATTCAGTTTAAGGCAGCTTCACATATCCATAGAAGTTCGTTTCTATCAAAGCTTCTGCTGAAATTTTTCTTTCCCTGCTAATGCCAAAGACACCAGGCTCATTTTAGATAATTATCTTCATACTGAAGTCAGTTGAGTTCAGCGCATGGACATGTACTGAATGGCACACACAGATCATATGGGAAAGACATTGTATATAGTTAGATAACAAGATGGCTCATATGATGAATAAATGAATTTTACTATTGTCAGATTGCCTTCAGATTAGGAGTACAACTTGGAAGTTTGGCATTTCTAATTACTCCCTCTCGTTTGTGAAGGATGAAGGCCCTGTTTCTGGCAAAGTCCGTACATGCTCTGTTGCAGCAGCTTCCCAGCAACTGTCAGGTTTCCTTCTTACCCCACCTAAGGTGATATTTGGAGTTCTTAAGGAGGGCTCCACCTATGCAGCTACAGTGATCTTGAAGAACATCGGAATGGATTTCTGCAGGTTTGCATATATTATCAAAAAGGTTCTTACTAATTTTGTGCTGTCAAGTCAATTCTGATTTAGGCTGAGCCCTTTTCCAGAGCTTTCGACATATAGAGTACTCAGAAGGGGTGTATCATGGCCTCCTCCTTTTGGAGTGCTCAGGGATTGTGTAGCGTGGCCAAGACCACACAGAACACAGTAAGTTCAGAAGCTGGGAGTTCAGTTCCCCACTGTGCTTTCCAGGGTAAGATCCAGCCTGTGTGGCCTTGGGCAAGCTGCACAGTCTGAGCATTCTGGACCTAAGAAACACTGCCAAGTGATAATCAGCAATTATTGTTATACTAAGTTCTTATATAAGACTAGCTGGAGGTCACTTGGCAAACTTTGTGTTTCCAAATGACCACCAAGTTATTTTACCTCAAGTCCTTTGCTTAACTATACTGTTTGCATACAGCTGGATACATGTCAAGTCACTTCATTAGGAATATCAGGAGATCGAAGCTGAGAAGGTATATTTATTTGATTACATTGGGGCAGTTTCTGTACTGTTACCAAATAATGTCTGAAATTCAGCAGCTCTAGGATTCATCTATGTGAACACAAAGTTTGTTAGCATGGATAGCGGGAAAAGCATACAGAAATTTAAGTTGGTTGTATTGCTTCAAGAGAGTGGTGTGAAAGACACCAAAATATACCTTTATCTGGAAAAACATAACAATGTCACAAACCATTGTACAAGCTTTTATGTTCAGCATGGGTTTTTTAAATTAGATTAGTTGTCAAACAGAATGGGAAAGGGGAGTGACAGATAGTTCAGCATAATGTTGGTGCACTGAAATCTGCAGTTCCTAAGTCTTCAAATAACATGCAGAAGCCTTCACCCCTAGCTGTGTTGGCCAGGATTTCCGGGAGTTGTAGTCCATGAGCATCTGGAGACCCAAAGTTGTGAACCACTGATCTACACTGACAGTAGTATTTATGGGAATGTTGAAAGAGTGACAAGATACTTAATGCAAAGTGCTCTGAGATGTGAAACTTGTAAGTGCTACTTTATTGTTGTCACAGGTACCCTTCCCAATGTTCGTTTGAGCAGAAGTCACAACTGCTCCTGCTAAGAGTTGTGGGTTTTTTTAAAGATACAGTTTTATGAGAAGAATCATTGTTCCATGAGGTTAAGCCTTTGAGTGATGTCCCACACAAAGCAGCTGTTCAGAGGAAAGGGGTACAGATTCAGAAAACTGCAGTGGGGAAAAAGGAAATCATCAGATTATGATGCCTGTTATTATGCTGGAGTTGAATGGAGCAGTCCGGCTTAGATCTGATTTCACTCCCACTAATCTTTTGGCCCTCTGATTCCACCATTTCCCCATCCCTAGCTGTCCCTCTAGATCTACTCATAGGTAATCTTAGGAGCTGATCATAATATTCTTGACAGAAGTAGAAAATGATCAGTGCTGCAATAAAAGTGCAGATTAGAACATGCTCTTTTTGCAGAAAACTAACAATCAGATGCTTTCTGAATGGGCACAATTGCTGAAGAATTTTGTAGGTATAATAAAGTGCTGTAATTTCTGAATGGGCACAATTGCTGAAGAATTGTAGGTGCTGTAGATATAATGAAGCATTCTGGGAGGAAAAGTACTGGCATTAAGGACAGCGAAACATATTATAAATGGGATACTTTTGTATCTCCCAGACCAGTAAGTCCCATAGAAGATGCCAACTCTCCCTGTTACTTGACAGGTTTCGAGTGAAACAACCACCTCCTTCTACTGGATTGCGAGTGACCTACACCCCTGGACCTGTAAGTTATGTAACTGGGCTGGGTGGTCAGTTGTCTTTTCGAGTGAAACAACCACCTCCTTCTACTGGATTGAGAGTGACCTACACCCCTGGACCTGTAAGTTCTGTAACTGGGCTGGGTTGTCAGTTGTCTTGTTCTAGATAGTGGCCTGTGACAAGTTTCCAACACTAAGCTGCAGGAGTAAAGGCTGTTAAGCCTTATAAGGGTTTTAGACGTCATGACGTTCTGTCTATAGTTAACAAAATTAGCTTTTGTAAGGAACTAAGAGACAATTTATACCAGCTAATTTATACAATTAATTTTATCTTAAGGTGGGCTTCTTCACACAACTAGACAAGTTATTGCCTAGCATGACCACTTGTCTGATGAGCTGATGATTAAGCTGAGAAAGTGAAATTAGTAGGTAAATCTGCAAAACCTACCTTGATTCCACATCGATGGTCACATGAATCAGAAGATTAAACCTAAGAAAAATTATATGTGGTACAAGAAGATCTAACATTAAAATTATTCATCTGTGCAGGACAATTTAAAAAAAGATATGAAGAATACATTTCTTCAAATCTATACTTTTCTGGTGCTCAGCATGCACAGGTGATACTACGTGACCGGTCAAACATTCCATAAGCTGTTTCTGATAGGAGAGGGCAGTCTAAACAAAGTTTTAATTCCTTAAAACAAAGTTTTAATTGAATCACGATACATGGCAGGATTTATTACAGGCAGTATGGACTTTCTCTGTGCCAAATTTGGAGAAGGTTAGACAAGTACCTTTAAAGTTTTAATTTACGTTTTAATAAAACCTTCCTAACTTACCCACTATAATTGCATTTTGTTACTTTTTTGTCTCATAGCAAAATCAGTAGTTATTTTTCAAATGCCTACCACTGCTTCAGCCTTATCACAGGACTAAGTATCTTTCAACAAAGAAACACAAATACCCACAGAGTAGCTGGGTGGGGGAGAGGAAAGAGAGAGGGAATGGAGAGAGACAGACACATGGGGGCGGGCGGGGGGAAGCAGAGAGAGAAGCTACATGGGGAGAAAGAGAACAGAGGCATGAAGGGTCATGAGCACAAGAGTGGGTGCACTGAAATCAAATAAATAAACAAACAAACAAACACAAATACCCACAGAGAAGCTCCGTGGGGGAGAGGAAAGAGAGAGGGAACGGAGAGAGACAGAGACATGGGGGCGGGGAGGGGGGAAACAGAGAGAGAAGCTACATGGGGAAAAAGAGAACAGAGGCATGAAGATAAAAGGGGGAGCCCAGAGAGAGAAAAGAAAAAGAAACAATGCTTTCATGTTTGGGTAAGATGTTGTTAACTGATGCAACAAGGAGTCCCTTCTAGGATTTTCTTTGCTTGGGGTCCGTTTGTGAAGGGTCATGAGCACAAGAGTGGGTGCGCTAGGCCAGTGGTTCCCAGCCATGGGGAACCCCCAGGTGTTCTTGGATGGCAATTCCCAGAAGCCCTCACCAGCAGCTGTGCTGGCCGGGGTTTCTGGGAGTTATAGCTCAAGGACATCTGAGTTCCCAAGGTCGGGAACCACTGCACTAGACCATCTTAATTGATGATAATGGTATCATCAACATTCAAGCTATCTTTTGCCTATATGTAAAACTTGGTATTTTTTCTTTCTGCTGGGAATACAGGCACAATATTGCAAGGCAAGGTTAGATCATTTCATGGTGTTTTGAATCTGGCCTACAGAAGCAATATACCACAATACACAAGCCAATCTTTTTTTTTAGGTTTTTTGTGGGTTTTTTGGAAGGATTGAATACATATGATGGGGAATATAACATTCTGTAACATATACACTCCATATTTGTCCTTACTCTCCATAATTTAGCAGAATCTAACAGTTTGCATGTGGAATGTTTCCCAGAAGAGTCTGTTCATTCTCTGAAGTTTTATGAGGCACCTTATCCATATAATGTTATTGTGTGTTTCTCTTGTACTGCTTCCCCACCACCACCACCATCATTATTTTCTTCTGGAGCTCAGAAAACATTGTTAATGTTTTTAAATAGTAACACAGCAGCACGAGTGTGAAAAGGACATTGGACTTTCTTATGTGGTATCCCTTCACAGAATATCATTGCAAGCATGAAGTCCATGCTTCATCAGCCTAAAATATGCAAAGGTGTCTTCAGGAGACACCTCTCTCCTTTCCATTACTTTCATGCAAGGAGCTGTCTAGATTTTGTAGCTGCTTCAGATATGACCTGCTGTCAGGTTCTTTGCTTTCCGTGTGTGTTGCACCAACTACAGTGGTGCCTCGCTTAATGATTACCTCGTTAAATGATGATTCCGCTTGATGGCGAGGTTTTTGTGATCACTTTTGCAATAGCAAAACGATGTTTCAATGGCCAAAAATCACTTTACAACGATCGGTTCCCTGCTTTGGGAACTGATTCTTCGCATTATCATGATCTTAAAACAGCTGATTGTCGGGATTCAAAATGGCCACCCGCTGTTTTTAGGAGGCATTTTTTGCTTTACAGGCACTGGAAAATGGCCACCCTGTGGAGGATCTTCGCTGGACGATTAGGTATTTAGCCCATTGAAACGCATTGAACGTTTTTTTTTATTTTCGCTTGACGAGGATTAAGGATTTCGTTCTGCAGTGATTTTGCTGGAACGGATTATCCTCGTCAAGCGAGGCACCACTGTATGACTTTGTGAAATAGCTCAGTTGCACAGGGTTCTCTCTGTTTCTGAAGATAGCACGGGCAGCCTGTTCATCTCTTAACCCACTTTCAAAGTTCCTCCTTGTTCTACAGGATTTCTTCATTCTAGATAGGTTTAAGAGACGCTGGTCTCACATATAACCTATCAGGTGGCATAGATCGTTAGAATTTTTTTCCTGCTTTCAAACCTTTTCATGGCTTTCTGTTCAAACATGTTAGCCAGTTTCCCCAGATAAGCTTCTGCTGCCTAGATTCAGGAGCTCCACCACACTATCCTATAATTTCTTTTCACCTGAACCATCATCTCTAGGACTGCTATCAGCAAGAGTGGAATGTCAAGGGAGTACAGGAGCTGATCTCTGAAGACCATAAGACTACCAGTTATATATATATAAAGTTAATATCAGCCTGAGAAAATAGGAAACCTAGCCTCCTATCAAGCATTAATTTCGCGGAGTACTAGTAAGCATGTGCAGAACCAGTTATATATATATAAAGTTAATATCAACCTTAGAAAAAAGGAAACCCAGCCTCCTATCAAGCATTAGTTTCCTGGAGTACTAGTAAGCATGTGCAGAAGGGATGTGGAACATCTTTCCTATTTTGTTGTTTTCCAAATGTGCTGTGTGACAAGCCCCATGGCCCCTAAGTGGCTGTATTGGCTGAGCTGATGAGTATTGCAGACCAGTACACCCTGGGAGCAGCATATTGGGAAAAGCTGGCTCAACCGAACAAATAGAGGTTGAACCCCAAAATCAAGTGGAATGTTTTGGGTTTTTTTTATCTCTGGAATTTTTTCCCATGTCAGTTTGAACATTAAATAGCGGGGTTTAGATGAAATTTATGGTGCATTTATATTTAAAAGTAGTTTCCACAGGGTTTGATTGTATTTTGGACTTACTGTATACTGATGTCATTTTATTGCATTTTGTAAACTGCCAAGTGGGAACACTAATGGCGCGGTACAGAAATGGAATTAAATACATTATATGTAACTGTTCATGGCCGATAATTCTCTGTTTTTCCTAGATAGCTGCTGGGCTGCAGACTGAGCTGGAAGTAGAGATTTTTGCCATGGCCATTGGGGTGGAAGGAGATGAGGGCTTTGGGAAAATCAGCCATCGGGTTGAAATTTACACAGAAACAGAAATACTTTTCCTTCCTGTAGAAGCAAATATCCTTTATTGCTTTTCCCTGCAAATGATTTTTACAGGATACAGTGCTGATCTTCAACCCACTGACACCCACTACAATGTCCGTCTCTATTTAGCTCATACAAAGACTGTATCAGGCTAAAATCTTCCCAAGGCAGCATATATCAAAACCATAATATGCAGTGCCACAGTGTAAACTAAAACAGATTCAAATATCAGACCATTAAAAATGGAGCAGTAAGCAGGGCTCTGTTTAAAAGCCAAAAGACTTAGAGCCCTACCAGTCGTCTTCTTGAGTTCCTTAGATACAGCTGAAGTGTTCAAACGCAGTCCGGTTGGCTTTCAGTCTGCCATATTACAAAATTCCAACGCAACAATTGAAAACCATTTTGGAAAAAAGAAATTATTAAACTTGGACAAGAACAAGTGGCAAGATCCACAGGCGAAAAGCACTGTTCAGTGTCGATAAGGATTAGGATATTAAGTAGCTGGCATCAACTGCCTTCTCCAAATTTCAGAATCTTATTTCTGGCAAAAGGTACTCCTCTTCATCTATTGGTGAGTACAAATTTGGGGCATTGTTCTTGCAGGGAATCAAGCTTTACATCCTAAACAAGAATTTTCTTTCCTACTGAACTGTATCTAGGTTATTACCCTCTCTTTTTTTGGCTGAATTGAGATCTTGTTACTCAGTGCTTCTTGTTTCACCCAGAATTAAGTTTCAGATAGAACCTAGCGGCCAGTGCAGTCTCTTGTGTTTGAAAAGATTCTCTTTACCTTTAGGAATAACACCCATGGTCAAAACATTAAAATGCATAGCAGAACTTTTATCCTTGACGTATCACTCACCAGTCTTAACAGGCAACCTCTATGACCAAAGATCACCAAATTTCCCACAAGGGACAAACACCTCCACTGTCCGTCTGGTTTCAACAAGTCCAGTCTCTCGTTTTAGAGTTACACTACCTCACAAGCTTCCTGCTTAGTGTAAGTAAATATATTTAAATGTGGATACTTTCCTTTTTATGTATTACAATAATGGCTTTAAAGCAGCAGTAGCAGCTGTGACATGTATTTAGCCGTGTGCATGTGAACAATGAATGATGTTGGTAATTTTAATCCAGTAAATGTCAGCATGAAGACTGAGCCTCACAAGGAAAGAAGGAAGTACTTTACAAAAGGTATTACTAAGGTTGTGCAAAAATAACTAGAAGCCATTTTCAAAAGTGGATGGGGAGGAGTCAAAGCCTGTGTAGACCATGTGACTTCCTAGCCAAAGGTTGCCTTTAGCACTCTACCTTCAATTATTAAAATTTTGAATTTGATATTTTTGATCCATTAGCATGCCATCTCATAACTGCTGGTGCAGAAGCTGTATGTATAACAATTTGCCTATACAAACATTTTTACCAGATCTGGCAGAAGGAAAATCTTCCTGGCAGATCCCCTTTTACCAGATCTGGCAGAAGGAAAATCTTTTTTTACTGGCAGATCCCTTTTATAACAGTTTCCCCTAAAAGAGTAGGGCTCTATTAGTGAAGTGCTTGCAGACAGGTGCTTGCTATCAGAGTCTGTCCAGAATCACAGTGTGGATTTCGAGCTAATAGATCCACCACTGACATGATATTTTCCCTCAGACAGTTGCAGGAGAAATGTAGGGAACGACAGCCACTCTTTGTGGCCTTCACAGATCTTACAAAGGCCTTTGATTTGGTTAGCAAGGACAGCCTTTTAAAAATACTTCCCAAGATTGGATGTCCACCTCGACTCCTTTCATGAGGAAATGAAGGGCACTGTAGTTTTTGAGGGCTTAACATCAGATCCCTTTGACATTACTAAGGTTACATTGAAGCATGTACTGTAGGAAGTACTTGACATTACTAAGGTTACATTGAAGCATGCAGGAAGTAATTTTAAAGCTGATACATTCTGGAGAGGGATGAATGGACCTTTCACACTCTTATCAGAGATCCAGGTTGCATTCATGTGGTTGGGAAAAGCACTTAAGTCACAGATTCTGTGCTGGATCTGAATTATCTGAAATCAGAGTCAGCTGGTTTACTACTGATCAATTCTTTCATTTCTTTTTAAAAATTAAAGATGGAAGCGCAAGTATCCAGTCATCTAGAATTCTTCCTAATTTTCCTTGTTCAGACACTTCGTTTCACTCTTCCAGTAGATATTTGCATCTTTACTGATGAATTGCCTGTGTGCCAAATTGCCTTCTGAGAAAGTTTCAAGAAGATGTATAATAAAGGTGTTCATATTTTGACAGTTTTATAAATTTTATTTTGCAGAAAAAACTATGGCATGCCTGGAGCAGTGATGCAAGTATCCTGACACCCATGGAAGACTATAACCTAGAAATACAGAAGTCATGTTTTTAAAGTTTAATTAAAATTCCCATTTATTTCTTTACTGGGATGACCCGCTGTGTATGTATGTGTGTAACACAGAACTTCTTACCATATCTTCAACTTAGAGGGAAAAAATGTAAAATTTACTTCAGCATTAACTGTGGATTCTGTTTGGAAGCATGATTGGGATTGTGCTAAACTCAGGAACGTTACAAGATCTCAGCCCTGTGGAATTACTATATAAGATGAGAGCAGAACACAGATAGTGGCCTGTTTTTCTCTCTCCCTTTTCTACACCCTCTACTGCCAGAAGGGGAGGAAGGGACTTAACCATCTTCTCCAACTGAGTTTATTGAACTTATGGTCCTCAAAGCATTGGCTTGGATATGCAAATTAGTACTATAGAAGACTTTATCCTTTATCTGTACATCCAGGTAGCTACTATTTAGGTATTAAATAAATGAAGGCTATTCCACTGAACCAACAAAATAGCACTGTCAGGGATTTAAGCAATTATTAAGTTAAAATGTAACACATGAAAATCTAAACTATATTACCATGGTTCTCTATAAAAATACTAATTTCACAGCCCACAGAGAGTGAATGTCACTGCTTTATTTGAGAGAACAGCAGGTGGAAGAGGCTGGGAAGTCTGGATACTTTATTTTTAAAACTAGTTAAAAAATAAATAAGTGAAATGCAAAGAATAATTATTAAGGGGAAAACATATTTTATAAACAAATTCACATACAATGCTGTCATTAACAAAGCACCGAACAATAAGAACTATTGTTGGAAGCATTATTTGGTTGAGAAAGAAATTCATGAACACCTCCCGTCTGTTCAGATGAAAGAAAAAGGCTCATTTTCAAATGGATATGACAGCAAAACAATTTAGTTATTGTTCTGATTTTGGAATGTGTGCACACTGCAGCACTTGAGGTCTTGCAGATGTTTGGGGTACATACACACATTGTATGGTGGCTGAGCCCAACATTCACATTCAGGAACAAAGTTCACAGATCACATCAAATTTTGACAGATGTTAGATGCTTGTACATGTTAGAAACCAGGGCTAAAATGTTTGCCGATGCTGAATTAGGTTAAGAAGGACTTGTCTTCTTTATCTGGCTTTGTGATGTCAGGCACAATTAGCTGCATGACGCTGCCCCTGCAGTGCCTATTCAGCCATGCAGAACTTTTTTAAGGTGCTCAAGTCACGGATCAGGAAAAGCAGCAGTAAAGAGAAAGTGAATAATAACCTTAAGGTGGTGCAGTCTTGAACCTTTCACTACCTCTCTTTCGGCCTGAAAATATTTGTAGGTGAATGTTTAGCAGTTGTATGAAATTTCCCACGAGTTTTCTTACATATAGCCCAAACTCGTATTTCCACACCACTGCTGCAGCTGGACAGCACCCCACTCCCGTTGGTGAAATAAACTCTTCCATGACCTGTCCCAGCTAGACCACTGTAAGAACCATCTTCTGTTTCTTCTTCCGCTTCCGCTTTTTCTCTTCAAACTGTTCCGTCGCATCAGCAAAAAACATCACTTCGTCTTTTGACTCGATTTCTCTCTTTAGGAACTGAAGACCGGCCATATTGAATCCAAGTATATCCTGTGGACAGAGCACGGGCATTAGTGTGTGTGAGGGGCAGGGAGGAATTTGACCCTTGGGAGGCTGGGTCAAGGGTAGGCTGGCATCATTTGCTGAGGACCCCATCTCAGTCTTAGGTCAGTGATTACAACACTGGTCTCATGAGGGGAAAACTTGTTTTACCATCAGATCAGCCATTCAAAAGGGATTACAACACTGGTCTCATGAGGGGAAAAGTTTTTTACCATCAGATCAGCAATTCAAAAGGATTTTTTTTTACTGATACTCCTTGCACAGCACTATGAAGCAGCTTGCCACATGCCTTACTATAGTTAATATAGCAGAATAAATGCAATGAGTCCAATTCCAGTGAAGGGTGTACGACACTGTTTGAGATACTCGCCCAACCCATCTTGAACAGCCACTCGTAGCCTGTGTCATCAGTGAGCTGTAGACTGTGGAAGAGGCAGACTGGCATCCCAAACATGTCATTTTCACATTCACAGCACTTACCCTTACTTGACTGACTTTGGAGATTGTGGTTTTCTTCAGGTTCTCCATCACCTTCACGAGCAATTGATTGCTTGTGATCTGGCCAAAATGTATCCTGCAGAAGGGAGAAAACAATGATTCTCAGGCCACCAAGCATTTGCGTAGTTCTTTTTTTCTGCCTAGAAGTTCTAGTTTCTCCATGTCATCTTTGGGAGTTGCCATATGTCTTCACCCTAATGACAGTGCGCAATCCGCGAGCAAGGTAGGAGACAGCTGTTCATGCATATTGTTTGGCCTGGGGAACAGTGCTTCGTAATTCCTGGATCACAAGCAGTTGATCGTTTTCTCAAATGAAACAATATTCACAGAAGATGACAGTAGTGAATGCATCAGGGGCAATGATGGCAAAAAAAGATGTCTGTAGCTGACCTGCCTTGGATTCACATACAGAACTGCATTCTACATCAAGGAATAACACAGCAGAAGACAGGCCCTTATATAAATGGCACTTTGTAACTAGTTCTAAAAACCTACAAAGCTACGCACAAGGCACGTGAAACTACAGTCTTATAAGGTTTAGGTTTCTCCACATGGTATGCAAGGCTTCCCTGTGACCCTTCCAAGGAAGCAAAACTGGTTCAGGTTTAAGGAAAAATAATCATTGTCAAATCTGGTATAAATGTTCCACACTCATTTCCCTGGTGATTCCACTGATCAGTTCTGGGGGAACAAATGGAATGAGATGTAGCAGAATAGGTCACTGAGCTGTCTGTCTACATTAAACTTGTGATGAACTGAGACTGTTCCTAAACACACACTATGGGTTCTCCCACTACGGAGGTTGAAGGAGCATTTGTAAAGATACCGGGTTTCACAAGTCAGTTAATTGCACATCTGGAAACTGATGTCTGCACTGAGTACTACAGAAGTCATGGTTCCCGCCATTTTGACAATTACTTTCAGACACATGGCTATCAATAGGTTAATGCCACTGGAAGCAGTCTGCAACATGAAACCTATATTTTAAAAACGGTCCCACACAACTCCACACAACTCACACACACACACACACACACACACACACCCCAATGTGGTTAAAACCACTCATGTGCAGGTCCACATTACGAGACAGGGATAACCGCAGGATTAAAACTGATTACGTTTCTCTTCGCTCAGCTGTAGGGTTTACCTGAGCAGAAACAGGAGAGCCCGACAGAGCAGCTCTACCTCTGAACCCAACTGGAGAAACTGATTGAAGAGGATAAGGAGGTCTGGCACATATGAGAAAGGCAGCACCAACAGAGATTCTTCCAGTTCACTGTAGAAAAGGAGAATGTATAAAACTAAAATTTCTCTCCCTGGAGGCATCAACCCATAAGAGCAGCCTCCTTGGAATGAAGCGACGCTGAACAGTTATTGTTGCTGCCTGCTTTTTGAGAAAGGAAATTAAAAGTGATTCGTAAGGAAAGGAAGTGCCCCTGGAATGAGACTTTATTTCACCTAGTCTAATTTCTAGACACAGCCCATTAGCATAAAAGGAGATCTACACAAACCACTGGCTGCAGTCCTCCTCCAAAGCAAGGGAAAAAGGTACGACTCCCTGTTGACTCTGTAATGAATGGACAGCTCTGCAAAGCAGTCACAAATGAGATGAGACATGCTAAAGTGCGAGTCTCCATCACGCATGGCACGTGTTTTATACTGTGCAATACAAGTAGGAGAACCACAAGACTCAAAAGTCTAATGGCCTTTGAAAACCAGCTGGTGCTTAGAAATCAAGAGGTTGAAAGGGCTGTAAAGCTTAGCTAGGTAAGAAGGCAGGATGGGCTGTGTGGTTAATCTGGCAAATACAAAAGGGCTAACTACAGACATCCTGAAAGAAAAAAATCACCATGAAAGCTTGATGCAGTAACTTACTTTGAGTCTGATGAGCCTTCATAAATGTTGAGACAGAACATGGGTCTTTCTGTCCAAAGTACGCACAGCTTGCTATAGCCATTTTGTTTCCTACTCTAGACAGGCCTATTAATACACACAAAACAGCAATGTTTCTAAAACTCACCTCGACTTCACCTTCTTCAAAACCTCTAGTACATACGCAGAAGGCTATAAGAAAAGGACATAAGTGGATGCCATTGTTAGCACTGGTTGGTCAGCTCTTACGGAAAAAATCTGCTGCACAAATTTAGTAGACAAGAAGGCATCATTTCAGGATGCGTATTGTTTATCCAGTTCTTAGGATTATCAAAACAAAAATACTGCTATTTGTGACAAGGTTTTGAAGAGAGTGCATGAGGGAAGACACAGCATGCAGAAAACACTATTTACAGAAAGACTATTAATTTTCTCAAAATTTTAGAAAGCAAACAGACAAGGCATGCAGAAACCAGTATTTACACAAAAATGATTGATTTCCTCAAAATTTGGGAAAGCAAACAGTCCAACTGACATCTTGCACCCCGACTCTCACAAAATAGAGGCTATAAAAAAAGAAAAGGCATTTGAGAAACGAAAGATGGAAGACGTGTTTAAAAAGATAAAAAAGGGCTGAATTCAGCACAGAAAGGAGGAAATACAAAGGCACAAAGACTTGTTACCGAAGAATCACAATTACTCATAGGTACCCTAATCATTAACACAATGTCCACTCCTGACATTACTCAATTAATGCACAATAATGAACCCAGGGTTTACTTAGCAGATTTCAAAAGTACAAAAAGCAGTCACACATCATACTTACTGAAATACTGCCATATGCCTTAAGAATTGGATTTACTGGAAGAGGCACCTGGAGAAAAGATGGATTACAATTCAGATGTATTTCTTCCTGTATGCAGATGAGACTGATTGACATCCTTTAATTTCCCAACTTTGATAATTTGATAACTCGTTGGTTAACAAAAAATTAAATCCATGTTGCCAACACCAATGTTCTCCCATCTTGTCCCTAAGCTATATTATTCCAAAAGGAATCTATCCTTCCAACCTCCTCCTTTGAAAGCCTCAAGAGCCGAGAGAGGATTTTTCCTCAAATATATGAGATTTTTGGCATAACTGGAATTGCTGAGAAGGGCACAGAGAAACTGATAGCTCACTTCTTTCACAGCATAAGAGGTCTTGTTAGAAAACAGTGCTAGGCAAAGAAGGTGCCACAGCCATGATTTTGTGAAGAATCATAGGGTGATAAAAAAATCAAAATAAAAGGACTCAAAATTGGCCGGAGTCGGAACCCACAGTAAATCAAAACTGATATATAAATTTATGAAAACAGGACATCCTGAAGCACTGAAAAACAAAGTATTTGTCTTTTCAAAAGAGGAAGAATGCCTTTCAGGGTGACAATGTGGAACCTGGTGGTAATAATGAAGTTGTTCGCATTTTGGACATCGGTGATATGGCAGATGCCTCCCCTCTTCTTGAAAAATCATAAAGATGAGAATAAAATACCCAAATAGCATTGCAGGAACAGGTTTGCTTGGACCTTTCTCCAACACAGTAGAATCCTGGCCTCTTGCAGGAGAGTGACATAAACTTCAGAGATTCTCTGGAGGCAGGGGTAGGGATTCTGCAACCAGCTCAACGAGTAACCCTCCTCAACACTTAGGCCATGGTGGCCATCTCCATGCTAACACTGACTAAGCCAATCCTGCCTCCTGGTTTTGGGTCAACAGACACCAACATTTTAAAAAATGACATCCACCTGCGGCTTTTTAAGCATATTCTGAGAACAGGATGGTCACTCTCCACGGAGTGCAACACACAAAATACTTCCTCCCTCACCTCTTTTCCGGCAGCTTTGCAGATAGCTTTGTGCTCTTCCAGTTTTGCCGTCTCCTCTCTGTAGAGCTCTATGGCTTCCATAATCCGTTCTGCCTACAGACACAAAATTAGCTTGTGAACAACTGAATGAACCGAGAGAATTTTCCTAATGCGGAACATAGAGATTTGCACATCAGGGTGTTGACACGTACAGTGCTGGGATAACAAGAGCATATTTTCCACTTAATCGGGGAGTTGGGGGGAGCATCCAGAGGAGAGCAGATCTGCTATACTATCCTTTGGTAGCTTTAAGTGTTGCTGCAAACAGGAGCTTCTGCTCTGGTACAAGACACTGTAACAGATGGCAGAGGGTGGCCGAGTCTTTTCCCCCTTGGCAACAGAAATACCACACGGATCATTCTTCAGCTCATTTCAGCTAAGGTCAATGATGAATCTCAAGCACAGAAGATATGATCTGCATGTTACTTTCCATCTCTTGCTGAAGCTCCACTGAGGTAAGTAGGTATTATGTATATTAATTAAATCTATAAAAGCCTGTGCTTTCATATAACCAATTTCAGAGCACTTACAGATACTGAGAACTTCAAAATGTCTGGGATTTTTGAGGTTTTTTTGGGGTGTGTGTGTGTTTTTTTTGTTTTTTGTTTTTTAAGACTAGGACCTCATCTAAGCCATTCTCCCCATCCACAAGGGTGAATGTTCATCAGGAAGGATTCCAGGGGGTGTCATATTTACCGCCTTGATTGTTTCAATGGTCTTTTTTCCAGCTAAGCCAGCCTCTCCTTGAGTTTCCCCAGCAACCTGAGAAGAAACAAAAATACAATTTAAGCAAAATACTGCTCCATCCATCTTGGGCAATATTGAGGGATGAGAGAAACAGTAGAGGTTCATCAGCCCTGGAGCGTCACAATTTCCCTAACCCTTCCCTACAACATCGCTGGGACGGCTGCAGGGTAATTTCCACTTCACTTCAAACACCTATACAGTTCCAGGGAGTTGGGTGGTTGAATGGTACAGGGCAACCATTGTTTTCAAGCTCTCAGGTTTTCTACAACAATAGTGAACATGCTTCTCTATTTTAGAGAAAACTCTGCAATTCACAAAAAAAAGCCTGGGGAGCAACAGAACACTGATGTTTCAACACAAATTACTTACCACGGGCTGGTCTTCCTTAGCTATACTGTCTTCGTACTCCATTTCTCTTTGCTGCAGAGGGAAATGGTTCAGTGTGTTAGGGTTACCAAGTACACTGCAACACAGCAGTTCCAGTTTCAGAATCTCCAGGAACCAGACTTTCTACCATACATTTCCTCTTCTCTCAACTCTGAGGTTTCCAGGCAATTGTCCTGCAACCGCCATCTTTACAGCCACAACACTAGGTACCAGCACTTTTCTGTGTTGGTTCCCACTTAGAGGAACTCTGACCACTTGCTGTATTTGTTTTAGAAAATGGTCCACAAATTCCACTTTTGTCCTACCCTTCACCCAAAATGCTCACAACAGTGTACGTGGTTCTTTCCTCGTCATTTTAATCCTCACGCTAGTCCTGCAGGGTATGTTGGCCAGGTATCAGTTTGTTTTGGGACAAAGCAGAATTTGGACCCATGACTACCTTCGCCATATGTGACACTTTCCTACATCACACTGGCTTTCAGACTTAAGCTGGTTAAATCATCCAATTCCCTGGGTCCTCCAAAAGGGAGAAAGATGGCTGCGAAATGAATGAATGAATGAATGAATGAATGAATGAATGAAAATAAATAAATAAATAAATAAATAAATAAATAAATAAATAAATAAATAAATAAATAAATAAATAAATAAATAAATAAATAAATAAATAATTTTGGCCAGCACCTATGGCTTGTTTGATGGTTGTGGGAACAGAAGTATACAGGAAGCTGCATTATTCTCAATGAGGCCCTTGATCTGATTAGTCAGGTACTGCCAGCTCTGATGGGGAAAAATACTCCAGGTTTGAAACAGGATTCTTCTCTAGCCCTATCTGGAGATCTCTGATCTCTCCCCCTTCCCTAGCCCTATCTGGAGATCTCTGGTCTCTCCCTGTGTTAAAATAGCCCTTACCCTGCCTAGCTTCCACATCTATACAAGACTGGGTGCACACAAATGGTGTGGCAGTACTGGACAGAACGACATGCTGCTATGGCCTTCTGATTTTGTTCTCTTGATTGCTTTAAGGATCTCTGTTTAATACCATCCTACCATTTTGCAATATAAGGTTGACCTTTTGTTAGAAATCCAGAATCCAGGAATCAAGGAGCCTCGGGGCATTGTAATATCACCACAGCTGAACAGTGGATCAAAACACAGATGCCAGGCATTTAATTAAGTACAATATAAGAGTCTGTAATATGGAAAGCTCATATTTCCATATTATAGGTAACTTTTGCATGGCTAATATTTATCCTGTTACTCTGTACAATAAAGTATCTTGGTAGATACCACAGTTTGTTGACCTATAGTGTTGCCTTTAAATTAGAAGACCACTAATCAGACAGTGTATAAGAACAGGCTTTCTTTAACTTGGATTTTGTCCCTCCTACCCTTAAGCCTTTTTTTTTTAAAGTGAAGGGCAGAATGTTTTTAAAACAGATAAAAATGGAGCAACTTCCTCTCACAAAATTCATGTTGTTGTTTAGTTGTTTAGTCGTATCCGACTCTTTGTGACCCCATGGACCAGAGCACGCCAGGCCCTCCTGTCTTCCACGGCCTCCCGGAGTGAATGAATGAAATTCATAGCTCAACATAAAACACTTGCTCAACAATGCAAAAGATACAAGTGTCTTAATCTGATGAAAGGAGGCTTGCAGAAAAGTCTGTCTTGGGATCCTCTTCAACAAGATTAATAATGGAAATGGAACTTATACATGAGGCTCTTTTTCTTACCATCTCCCTTTCCTCCTCCAGAATAAGCGGCTCCCTTGTCCTTTCCCAGAGACGCAACGACTTATCGTGAGAGGAGGACACAAGATAGTCCCCACCGGGACTGAGCGCCAGACACCACACTTCCTGGTGATGCCCCTACAAATTAGATAATGGGCACAGTGAACACTTGGCATCCTAACCACCAATCTGTACAAGAAATCTCAGCATCTGCCATTTTCATATTTTACCTCCAGGGTCTGAATGTGTTCAAATTTGTCTGCATCCCACTGTTTAATCTTGTGGTCCTTCCCCGCTGTAAAGAAGAGGTGAGACTTGGGCACAAACTGAAGGTACATCACACTGAATGGGGAGAGAAGAATATCGTGACATAACAAAAGGGACAGAAGATTGCTGCGTTTTCCAAAGCAACATTCACAACAACATTATCTGAAGGCATTTTTAAAAGAAGAAGAAAATACAAATATTTTTATTACTAAAGTTCCAGCTGCTATTTCCTTTCATTTTTCTGTTTATATTCCAGTACAACCCTGCCCAGGGATAGCCACTGCTTTTATCCCAATTCCCCACAAATATTACAGAAGCCTCACTGTAACTGCTCTACACTGTTAGGAAAAGTGTGTTGTGATGCCATCTTCAGCAGGCACTAATCACAGAATCATCGAATAATGGATGGGGCCTATAAGGCCATCGAGTCCAACCCCCCTACTCAATGCAAGAATCCAAGTCAAAGCAGATCTGATAGATGGTTGTTGAATTTTCTCTTAAATGCTAAGAAACACAAGACGTTGGTAACACAACTTTCTATGTAACACAATGGATTTATAAAGACTTTCTGGTCTTTATGTCGGTATGGAAGTGTAAAAGTGCACACAAAATTCTTTCTTGTTCAAAGGATTTTCAAAAATGCTACCAATCAACACTTTGTGATAAGAACCCTGAGGATGGTGCAGAGAGGTTCTCCTCAATTTTATGCCCCAAAGTCCTGCACCGACCAGAAGTTTATAATTCCACTGTGACTGTAACAGTCATTGTAGGTAACTCCTGCTGTGAAGATACAGAACCTCTATCTCCTCTTTAAATTGCAAAACTCTGTTAGAAATGGAAGCAGCAGAAAAATATGGTTCTTCCTCTCTTTTTTTGTTTTAAACACCTTTGTCAGTGAGCCTAACTTGTCTTGTTTTGCGACAGACTGCTGACATTTGCCGTCTCCTCTGGCTGTAAAGGGGTCTACACTCTGTAGCCCGAGCAAGCTCAACTATCATCAGATTCCTACTCTTTCTTCTCCTACCTAACATACTGCACAGGTGTGCATTTCCTAAAAAAGAAAAAAAATCAGAAAGCAAAGTAGATGGTTCTGGGCAGATCTGGACCTCCCCCTAAATAAGGCAACTGTTCTCTTAAAGTAGTCCCTCAGGCACGATCTTCATAAAAAGAAAACACCACATGAAGGAGGAAGAAGAGTGAAGTAGCTTTGATAAATGACAGCTCAAGCTTCCTACCAGTGAATTACTTTTATCAGAGCCTTCTTTTTTATTTCCAATCAGTGCTTTTGGAAAGGATGTGGGGGAAAATGATCAGAAGCTGCTGCAAAGTTTAACTGTTTTGCATGATGGTTGGTGCGGTGGTAGAGCCAGCGAGCAAAAATCACCACTAATGGGAAGACTATGGGTTCCTGCTAAGTGGGCAGCTGACCCTAATTCCTCAAGCACATGTGTGGGACTCTATGGCACAACTTGACTGAAACTGCCCCAGCAGATTCTCAGCAGCAGATGGCAACCACATTTAGAAGGACAGCATAGGTATGTAGAGATGTATAAACTCTGCTCCCTCTGCTTAATGTAACACTGAGCTTTCATTTCTGAAAGCAAAAGCAAGAAGCATCCTCACTTCTATCAGAAAGAATGGGTGTTGCTGTTCCGAGGGCTTTACAAGAAGATATAATTGGATAATCTTACTCGAGTGGTAGTAAGCAGGGGTAAAGGAGGCAGAGAAGGGAGCAAAGGAGAAAGATTGTATAAAAATAGCATAGAGCCTTGGGAGGCTGTAAAGACTAACAAGCTTAATAGGCCTGAAGATTCTTTGATGGCAGCCCGCTGCTTCACAAGAGATCCTCCAGTCCATGTAAGACTGTGGGTGCAGGCAGAGGGGTCACCCCAAAGTACATGCTAACATTTCAGTCTTCTTGTTCTCAACAAATCACCCACTTTCCTGCTGAGCAAACTTTCATGCTCAAACAACAGATCTTCAGTTCCAGATGTATCGTAACTGGTGGAGTAAGCAGTCCTCACACACATCAGCCTATTCAATCCCAGAGAGTGCACTTTGTCCCTGAGAGTGCACTGCTCCACAGGTCATAAACCCATATACAAAAGAATTAACACAGAATAAAGCATTTCCCTTACAAGCAAAATAAAAATAAAAATTAAAAAATAGCCATGTTGCGATTAACGTCCCGTCCTACAACAGAGCAGGAAAACTACCACAGAGATGCTATGACATTAATCTACTTCTGATAGACGTTTCAAGCCAAGGAGATTTTTTTCAAACAGAAAGAGCCAATGAGTCCAGATGTTCTTTGAGAGATCTACCCACCTGTCATCATGGGCAAAGAGAGACCGGTGACAATCCCCAAAGTCTAATCCCCAGATCTTCACATTCCTGTCAGCAGAGCCGGTTGCGATTAACGTCCCATCCTACAACAGAGCAGGAAAACATTGGGGTGATCATCATGCACCTGGGTGAAACAACGATAATCCCTGGCTTTCATCTCTGACTGCCTGGATATAACCACAAACATCTTGCATTTTGCTCCCTTTCCATGAAGGGCATTCATTCATTCTTTCTTTCCCTTCCGTAGACAACCAACTATACATGTCTTGTTTCTGGACAACTAATACGTGCATTCACTGGCATCAATAGCAGCAGAGAGACAAAGAACTGAGTTTACCCAGGCTATGAGAAGCTGGCCAAATTCACTAATACAAGAAATAGTTAACATTAAATAATGCCACATAAGATAACACAGGGCATACTTACATAAGAAATATCCATGCAAAGCACTGGCAACTTGTGCCCATACAGTGAGAGGAAAAACTGGAAAGCAAGAGGAAAACATTACATACTTCAAGGATTTTTAAAAATGTCAAAATGTACACTGAACCATACAAGTACTTTACAAATTTTCTGGAATCGTCTGACAATAACTGACTGGCTTTTAAAAATACACACTAGATTTACTTAAGCAAAGCATGCTGCTTATATACCACCCCATCAAGCTTAAAGCACTGTCTGGGTGGTTTACAAGTTAATTATGCAGGCTACCCATTGCCCCCCTCCCCTGGTAAGCTGAGTACTCAGTTTACCAACCTTGGAAGGAAAGAAGCCTGAGTGAACCTTGAGCTGGCTACTTGAGATAGAATCCCAGGTCATGAGCAGAGTTTTGGCTGCAGTTACTTAGTACATCTTAGGACTTAGTGATATGGCTGGGGGAAAATAAGTGTCTGTACCATATCAGATCAGATTGCTTGTCCATTTGTATTATCTATTTTGAACAGTGGAAGCTCGCTCCTCTGTCTCAAGTGAGGTCATCGGCTGCTATGTTATCCTTCTAAATTGAGATGCCAGAGGCTAAACGTGGGATCTTTGGCTTGTAAGCCACGTGTGCTACTTCTGAGCCACAGCCCCTCTCCTTTATTCCACGTTGCAGTGGAGGTGCTGTTTTAAGATCTGCAAAGATGTCTTGATGAGGGCATAAACAAGCCATCAAAAGGGGCAAATTTATATCTACATGGTTTTCACTCAAGAGAGTGCAGCAGCAGCATCAACAAGCTGCTTGTATGTGTGAAATTGTCACCACACTCCACGGGGCTTACACTTTTCAACAGAGATATTGTACCCATTCTGCTGAAGGTCACACAGAGACTGAACAAGCGTGTTCAAAAACAGTTATGAATCAGACCAGAGTAACACATAAGACCTATTCAGCCATGATAGCCTGTAAGCAGCTATGGCTGTAAATATGGTGCAGATGTGGGGACACAGGGAGGTCCTGCCCCCTCCCATCTTGGAGGCCAATCAGGCCTTCATGCTCTGAACTTGGAATGTCTGAATGACCGTGGGCGTCTATAATTCATCATCCTTCTACTGCATCTATAACTGGAAGCACTGCCACCCAAGGGCACCCGATCACAAAGATCCAACGTCTGCGCTGCAGAACGTACAAGCACTTCTTTAAATCTTCCTGTGAAACCTATGAAGATTTTTTTTCACATTAGGTGTGTGTGTGTGTGTGGAGGGGGACACCAGACAGGAGATCTTTGCCCTCTCCTGCCCCCACCTTTACAACCCTACTTACTTTTACACTATAAAGCATAAATCCTGAAGTGGGGCAGGGACTGGCAAAACAGACATTATGTATATCTGAATATGCGTTTCACCAACATTTTGGCTTTGACCTTTAGTCAGTTCTTCTACTGTAGAGGTGTAACTGCTCCACACCAAGTACTATAGAAAATAGTTGGCTTTGACCTTTAGTCAGTTCTTCTACTTTAGAGGTGTAACTGCTCCTCACCAAGTACTATAGAAAATAGCTGGCTGGCTGGCTCAATGGTTTAGGTCTCCGGCTGCAGAGTCAGAGGATGGGAGTTTGATTCCCCAGCTGTGCCTCCTTTTAGAGCCAGCCTGGGTGGCCTTGGGCAAACTGCCCAGTCCCAGGGCTCCCCCAGAAGAAGGGAATGATAAACCACTTCTGTGTATTCTCTACCTGGAAAACCCTGAACAGGGTCACCACAAGTCCGAACACGCTTGATGGTACATCATGATGATGATGATGATGATGATGATGATGTACAATTAATCTGTGTGTCTATCATTAATCTTGTTCTGACTCTGCCATTCTCGCAGAATTCACATTATTGATCCTTCACCCACACCCTCATAAACAGGGATGGCCTGGGAGTTCAGACGTCAGGTTTTAGAGTTTACTACCTTGAGTGTATCCGTGTAGAATATTTTCACAGTGCAGTCTAGTAAGGCAACAGCCAGAAGTTTTTGGTTGGGGCTGTACCGGACGCAAAGGACATCTTCATCCAACTGCAAGATACGTGCTTGCTTCACAGACAGCCTAGGACAGGACAAGCAGAAGAAAGCGATGGCGTTCAGATATCACAGCCATTTCAGAAAGTTTCACAGAATGTACACAACTAATTCGTAATGAAAGAGATCCCAACTGTGGGCATTTACTGACCATTCAGAGGTTCTGTGGGCCCTACAACTCTCAGAGTATTCTTTCTCCTTGTTTGTGCCGTAGAAGGAAGCCAGCAGAATCTATATTAGATTTACAGTTAAACTATGGGAAATCTACCCTGTTTCATTCATACAGCTAGATCCCATATCTCCTTTTTGACCTTTATACATGGGGTTTTAAAAAATCCATAAAAAGAATATTTTAAAATATTACTTTATAGCATGTACTGTATATTGCAATCAATTCCCTGGCACACATAAATTACAAATCCATAAAAAGAATATTTTAAAATATTCCTTTATAGCATGCATATTGCAATCAATTCCCTGGCACTCTTAAATCAGTTAAGGGTATACAAGACAGTATTATCTAGAAATGAAATCACACAAATAGTGAAAGCAAAAAATGGCAAAACAGAGGCTATTGTGCCTTAGGGCACCTCATGAACCTGGGAAGACAAGACTTACTGGAAAAGACCATAAGGCTAGGAAAATTTGAAGGCAGCAGGAAAAGAGGAAGACCAAATGTGAGATAGACTGACTGCTTCAATGACACCACAGCCTTGAATTTACAACAATGGAGCAGGACTATTAGTTATGGAGTATTTTGGAGTTACTGGGCAGACAAGTTTATTTTCATCAGCTGAAAATGAAACGTCTATGTTTGGTAAGCAGAGTGCAAAAATTAAAAGAAAATGAGTATTCTTTAAAAAAAACATTAAAGACACAAGGGATTACGTTTTATAAAAGCATCAAAATTAAATTTAAAAAACAGGAAAACACTACATCACTGGAGAGGGGATTATGAAGAGTTACAGAATAAATATTATATGTGTTTATATAAATACTAGTTTAAGAAGACTAAACATTTCCTAAATCAGAACTTTAAAATAAAATGTCCCACATTCTTATTTTTTCAGAAACTGCATACACTCCAGTACATTAAAGGTAAAGGTAACAGTTTCCCTTGACAGTTAGTCCAGTCGTGTCTGACTCTAGGGGGCAGTGCTCATCTCCGTTTCCAACCCACAGAACTAGCATTTGTCCGAAGACAATCTTCCATGGTCACGTGGCCAGCACGACTAGACACGGAACGCCGTATGTATTCCTAGAATGGCTTATCACAATGAAGGGCAATTTCAATCCCAGATTATACTGCATTTGTTATGAAGCCTTAAGGTCCAGAAGAAATGCAGCATTCAAATAGGTTCTCTCCTGTGAAGAGATGGGGAGAAACTCCGGGGGGGAGCACGTGGGCCAGAGATATAGAAACTGAAGCATCAAAGATATACTCCAATTCAAACTTTGAGAAGAAGTTGGCCAACAGATGGTAAATGCACATTTCAAAGTGCCCCGTTGTGTACGGGCTTGTGAAATCCCACACTTGGGGCAAAATAAGTCAGGCCAGCACTCCTGGCCCTTGATATGTAAACAGGATCACCTCTGCCTTTAGAGGCAGCTCAGGTCATTGCCTCTGGCAAAGGCCCCTTCGGCAGTACCTTTTGGCTGGAAGGTCAAGAACAGACAAAAGAGCGGAAGAGTTTGAGTCCCGCCAGCCAGAAACAAAGAGGGAGATTCATCTCCTGCTCTGGACCTCAGAAAACCTCCAATGCACAGCTCTTAAGAGGAAGCGCCACTTAGCTTGTCTAAGTGGAAGGGTTAGTTAGAATTTAAGATAGCCACTTTGTAGATTTGACTAGGATTTAGGATAGCCATTTCACAGGTTGCCTTTACCAAGCTGTATCCTGCCTAAGAGACAGGGAAGCAAACTGTATTTTTTTGACTTAGTTTCTTGGACAATGCCTTTTCTGTTTTATGTCCTATCAAGTTCACTCCTTTTTTAAACTGTCCACTCGTGCTGTGGATGCAGAACTAATCTGGTTCAAATCTAAGTCTAAACAATTTTACCACTCTTGGCTCAGACTATCAAGGGGCTGGGTCTCTAGAGCATGTACAGAGGGCTCCATTCCTGTGACCAGTAGAGGGATGGTGGCAAATTTCTACCGAGTAGTTTGAAGAAAAGAGAAATCTGGGGGGGGCATTTAAGGGGGGCTGCTGGGTTTTCCCTGTCCCCAGCTTTAGTGAGCCAAGAATTCAGCCCCAGAATCATGACACTGCCCCCCAAAATACAAACAACTCCTCACCTTTTCTGGACACTGTTCTCATCCTTCACCAGCTGAAATTCCCAGAACTTGACACATTTATCCGCACCACCTGTTACAAAACCACGCTGAAGGAGAACAACGCTCACATTAAAACTAGATTCAAATCTTTCCTGTTTATTTTTCAAAAATCTTTCCAAGGAGATAACAGATTTTAGATGTCTTCACAGGTGCAGCATCAAAGTGGAATTAACTATGGATGTCTCTCACCTGGTCAAGCAACCTGGCAGATGGGATGCGTCAGACATGCATCCTGTGACATTAAATAAATATAAAGGCTGGAACACAGCTGGTTGTTTCAACTAGAGCAAGGCCACTGAATCGATGGGATTTCAATGAGTCATCCATCTTCAAGCAATTGATCTAATGGGTTCGAGGTCTAGTCAGGCCTAGCAATTGAATTTAAAAACAAGGCTGTTGGGAGAAAATTCCTCTGAGATTCTGAGTTGTCAATGCACGAATGAAGACAATGCCACATACAGGGCAAGAGTCACCAGTTCCTTGATTTCAGCAATACTTGTCTCCAAAATGGGCTGCAGTGGAATTGTACAACAGGATCTTTGGACCCTATTCACAACAGCGCAAGAACATAGGCTTGCAACAAAAACTAAAATCTACAATATTCCGTACTATAAATTTAGGTACGCATAACATCTATCATGTTGCTTGACCAGGTGAAACAAGTCCATATTTAATTCCACTTTGATGCTGCACCTGTAAAGTCATTCAAAAACTCCCATTAAACACAAAGTCTACAGAAAGCATCATGGGAAGAAGCCAGAATTGTTGCAAAAGCTGAAATTAATCAGGCTGTTTTATCATCTGGCAGAAAATGGATCAATAGCTCTTAAACTCAGTAAAAGATTTATGTGCATGTTTACTGATAATAGTTATCCCTAAACGTGGTGCAAAGCTACTGCTGATTGCGCCTCCATCCACTGGTTCAGGGGAATAAGGACCACAGGGAATTTTAGGGTTGTGCATGCATTACTATAGCCTATTTTATAGCTTTGAAGATAATTTAATCAACAAGCAGGAGGAGATAATTTCTAGAGAAGGATTTTGAATAATACTGATAATAAAAAGGATTGAATTACCTGATCTGAAGAAAGAGATATGGACCAGAGAGCCCCATCATGAGCATCAACACTCTCCAGCAGATTTCCTGAAGCCAAATCAAACAACTGTAGCTTTCCAGTCTGCAACAAGTAACGAAGATGGATCATTAGCTACACAGACCATCCAAGTCCCTGTATACATTCTCCTTCCTTTGCATGTTATTCAGGTAAGCCACCTACTGCACCATCATGTATTACAACAATGTCTGAAGCACATCATAGAATAACGGCGTTAGAAGGGGCCTATAAAGCCATCAAGTCTAACTTCCTGCTCAATGGAGGAATACAAATCAAAGGATATCTGCCTGGTAGCTGTTTAAATTTTGCTTGAATGCCTCCAGTGCTGAAGCACTCACCAAATCCTGAGGTAACTGGTTCCAGTGTAGTACTGTCTAAATTTCGCTTGAATGCCTCCAGTGCTAGAGCACTCATCAAATCCTGAGGTAACTGGTTCCGGTGTAGTACTGCTCTAACAGGACGTTTTTTCTGACATTCAGTCGAAATCTGGCTTCCTTTAACTTAAGCCCATTGTTGCACGTCCTGCAGTCTAAATTTCGCTTGAATGCCTCCAGTGCTAGAGCACTCATCAAATCCTGAGGTAACTGGTTCCGGTGTAGTACTGCTCTAACAGGACGTTTTTTCTGACATTCAGTCGAAATCTGGCTTCCTTTAACTTGAGCCCATTGTTGCACGTACTGCACAGAGGATCAAGAACAGATCCTGCCCCTCCTCTAAATGACAGCCTTTCAAGTATTTGAGAACTGTTATCCTATCTCACTGTGTGTAAGAGTGGCACTAACATAAACTATCCATTAATCTGGACATGATCTGATGTTATCAGGGAACTGAATTAGTGTTGAAATTTACTTAGGGATGTCGCATCTATATTTCTGTAGCCCCCTTCCTCTTGTCCTTCTGTCATCACGCAGGTTTTTAAGTAACAAGTGAATACTATATTTATTAAACACAGAGATTTTCAAATGTTTTTCAAAATGTTTTAAAAATTGTTTTTGCCTTGGTTTAAATCTTTTTAATTTTTATTATTTATTAAAACGATATTGAAAAAAAATTAACCAAAATTTTTTTTACATTACCTTACACAGCAATGAGCAGGAGGTTGGACTCGATGGCCTTATAGGCGCCTTCATTACTCTGTGATTCTATGATAGCATGAATTCCACTAACATTGAATTACATTTCTCACAACCACATTTCTCCGCCCGGGCCACCTTCACCCTTGGAGGTAACCTTTCACATTTTACTTTTTTTCCCCATTTCATTCTGCCCCATTTCTCTCCAGGAACACAGTGATTTTTCCCTCTCCCTTTCCAAAATGCATGTTCCAGAAATACATTCCATATTTCTTTTTGATAATCCTCTTCTTAGTTTCATTTCACAAGTTATTTTATCATTAATTGCCATATTCCACATATCTGTACAGAATTCCTCATTATTTTGATTATCACTTTTCCAGTTCTTTGCAAATAAAATAACCTTGCCATTGTGACCATTATAATAATTAGCTCGTTTTTGTCTCTCTTCAACTGACTATTGTGAATCATATTCAACAAAGCAATCATTGGGGACATCTGGATATCCAGTCCAGTTATATCCCTTTTTCCTTAAAAACCAATATCCATTCTTTCTTCCTTATGTCTCATAACCACCAAATATCTAAATACACCCCCTTTTTCTTTTTTTATGCCTTCAGCCCAGAGATAATTTTTATTTTGCCTTATAAGATTTTAAACCCTTACAGATATATTCTTCATAAGTCTTTTATTCCATATTTTACTCCAACCATCCCCTTCAACTACATTAACCAAATCTTCCTGTCACTGATGTTTTGTCCCTTGTTGTTCATATCCAGCTTCTATTAACAATTTATAATTTTCACGTACAGTTCCTTTTCTTTTTTCATTCCTTCTCGTTTTGGTCTTTTTGTTTGTTTGTTTGTTTGTTTTTTGATAATCTCTTCAAATTTCTTCTGTCCATCATTTCATTTGGAGTAGATTTAACCAAGATATTCCCTCTTCCCCCAATACCTCTTTTATGCTGTTTGTTCTCTTTCATCTTTTCCATCCAATCCTTTATCTTGTTTACCCCCTTATCCTTTAATACTCTTTTTTTTTTAAATTAAGGTTTTCTGGAAAATTATTTAGCTGAACCACCTGGATCAAAGGGGAAATCAGAGGACTCAATACTCCTCTATACTTTTTCCAACTTTCTAGCACATTTTTCCGGAAGGGGTTGGCTATCTTCTTAATCTCTTCCCCAATCTTTTCTTTTTTAAAAAAAATACTCTCACTTCCCTCACTATTTTTTAAATACACTTCCAAAGTGTACTTATTTTCTTGCAATTATAACTTTTTCCATATTAAGTTTTTATTATTTGTTATAGTATGTGGAATATGAAGTTGATTTGCTATATAATTTAATATTGGGCATACTGTAACCTCCTTCTTTTTGTGATATATACCAAAAACTCTTAATGATCCTGGTGAGCTTGTTATTACAATATTCATTTATCAGCACTACCATTCCTTCAACTGCTTTTCAGTAATATTTACTGGAAGCAGTAAATACTTAAAAATGTTAAACTTAAAAAAGTTTATCCTTGGTTTTAATCTTGATATACATTTAATTGTTTCTCAATATGGCATTTCAATGGTATTTTAGGGCTCATGATGCTTGTATAGTTTTAGCTATTGTGAGCCACCACGGGTCCCCTATGGAGAGAAAGGTGGCATATAAACAATAAATCAATGAACAGATAATAGTTGTCCATTCATCAGGCACAGCAGTGTACAAGGACAGGAAGCTGGCAACTGCATCAGCAATGAACTACATAGGAAAACACCTGGTTTTCCTCCACCCCAGGACCTGCATTGTCCAGCTTGACAAAGAATCTTAAAGTAAGCTAGAAAAAAGGGTAAGGGTAAGGAGATGAGATGATAAGGAACAAAGAAAGAAAGGGGTGGCTAAGAAACAGGATTTTCCATGATTTGTGCAGCTACTTCCTTCTCCCCAGAGCTGAAAATAGAGAGAAAGGGGAGGGAAGAAGTGAAGTGTTGGAATGGGTTTTTCAACTTAATTCTTATATGGCTTCTGGTATAGTAATGTAGCACCAATATGAACACTTTTCCATGCAAACATCAATTACTTTTTTTAGCTTATTAATAAATAATTTATTGCTGTTTCTCATTAACTTTCTAGTCTCTGGGTATGGCCTAAAGCTGCAGTTAACAGAATATTTTCCTAGCTGCATAATGCATTGCTGTGTTGCTTCGACACATCCCTCTGAGAAGACACAACCCCCCCCCTTTCTCTCTTTCATGTCTTGGAGGCAATTTAACGAGATGCAAGCACATGGTCTCCAATGGTCTCCAAGGCCTGCTCAGCCGAAGCAACACACCCAAATGCACGCATTACCTGTCCAATAAGGATTTCTATTCTCCAGTCCTACACCTCTGTTGCAGATTACAGCTCACTCCCAGCCACACTGTGAATAAAAAGTGCTAGAATCTAGTGAAATAAAATATCCTGAAAAGAACCAGCCACTGGCATCATACCAAGTTGAGAGCTGTTAAAACAAGAGAGCACCGCACAAATAGAAGATAGGAAGTAGAATCCATTAACTTTGCTGAACTAGGTCCGCAAGAGACCACTCGCAAATCATATACCTATAGACTGGAGTGGCAGTCTTCATCCAACACTCCTCCTCAGACAGACGAGAGGCAATGTTTCTGTACTAGATACAATTCTCTCTCTCTCTCTGTGCATGTCCGTGTGTGTTTGTGTGTGTGTGTGTGCGTGTGTGTGTGAGAGAGAATGTTTGAAGCAAGAAGGGATGGTTCAGCAGCATCAACAGACCTCCAGAAGGGATAAGCATTTTTACCTTGGTTCCTATAATGACTTGCCGGTCCCCTGGGACAAACAGGGAGCACAATGCATACTCACACTCCATAGTCCGAATACATTGCAAGGTAGATCTAGGAACAGAAGTAGCAAACAGACATATTCGTCTTGCTGAAGAACAAAACTTCTTGGAACATTATAGCCTCCTTACAATAAGCTATATAACAATACAAAACCCAGAAAAGACATATCTGTGAAGTGCCAAAACGGCAAAAGCTAGTAGAATTTGAAATATTTTTTTAAACGAGAACGTGTATAATTCTGTGCTATTCAAGGAAGGATCAGCATCCTAGAAGAAAGAACGAGTTCTGAGACCAGAAAGCACTTTCTCTCAACTTTCTACAGCAAACAATGAACTGTGATTTACTGGCACTACGTTAAAGTCCTCCATCCTGCTGGCAACGGAGGGACCTGTGACGACAGTAAGACACTGATCTAAGACTAGTCCCCAGTAAGCCAGGCATAATAAATCAACATAATGCCTTGTAAAAAAAACCATCAAGCGTCAGAAAGAAATCCAAACAAGTTCACTTTCAGGTGCTGCTAAGTGGTTTAATTTTTCTTTATGTTTATAAACTTGCCTTCCCTCACATTTGGTTCCTTCGTTTCTTGTGAACATGGTGGCACAAGATCTATATTAGCACATAATAAAATTTAAGGGACAAAGCTATGCAAAAAAGGACTGTCCATCAACTGTGTAATTATATTTGTACAACTGGCTTTCTTCATGCTGTCCTCTTTAATGACAGTGTTATCTCAAGATTTGCTCTGAAGGAAACACCCCCGCCCGCAGGCCAACTCTCTGGAACAGCTGTCAAACCTACAGTTCAATGCATTCCAATGGGGGGGGGGGAAATTCACCAAAAATTAACGAAGAGTCAGAACAAATCCAAATTATGTTTGCAAAGGTTTTACAAGGTGCACTAATGATTCCAAGCATTTAAAACAGTTTTTTAACATTTTAAGACACTTTAAAAATAGCGAAAACGGACATCGCTAAGCGAAACAGGGGGACCTAAACTGTCATCGCTAAGCAAGGCAAGGTCCCGAACATCGCTATGCGAAATTTCCCCATAGGGAACATCGCCAAACGGAGCGCAAGATCGCTCCAAAAACCTCATCGCTAAGCGAATACATTGTTAAACGAGGCAATCGCTAAGCGAGGCACCACTGTAGTCCAAAAACTAACAGCGCCTACTATCTTCACTGCCTTCCAGCTGCTGTCCAGGACCAATTTAGAGTGCAAGCAGTAACCTTTAAAGCACAGAGTAATGTGGAGCCAAAACAACATCAAGGATCATCTGCTCTCCAGAAAATTGGCCAGACTCCCCAGATTATCTCTGGAGGACCTGCGCCATGTACCCTCTTGGTATTATTTATAAATGAGAATTTAACTAGTAGAAGGGGCATCTCTTTTATGAACAGAAGAGCATTTCTGGATTAGACCAAACATCCAGTTAGTCTATCAAATAGTTCTATTTTCCATAGCGGACAACTGAAAGTTCTGTGAAAGTCATGAGCAAGATCTGAAGGCAACAGCACCCTTTGGTTTGTGATCTTAGGCAACTGGTATGTTGCCTCTGATCCTAGAGCTGATCCCCTACTCTCTTGAATTTAATTTAAACTTATGAAACAAGCAACATGCTTAGGACAGTGGAGGTTTGCACTGAACTGACTCAGTCACCTTGAGTTCTTCACTTAACATGCCCAGTCCTTTGAAGTCTAGTTTCCCCCACAAGACTTAAGAGGCACCTTTCATACCTGTTCCAAATCTTAACAGATTCAGCAGCAGCAGAGAGGAAGGCAATGTTGTCAGAGCTAAATGCGAGTGTTCTGACATCACTACGGTGACCTCCAATAGTTATTTTGGACATCTGCAGAACTCGGGGTGTTGACACGGATGGGTTCAAGGTAAATGTTTCAATGATGTTGTTTTGGAGCATTAAGGTGGCTTTCAGCTCTCCATTTGGATTGAGGATCAAGTCAAAAGATCTATTACAGCAATGAATGATCACACAGGAAACATGAATCAGAAACAGAAACAAGAACAAGAATTACAAACAACACACCCCGCACAGAGCTAGTGCAAAGATTAGGCCACTTAGGGATAAATATAAATGTCAGTTGAACTACTAATTTGAAGACAATCTGTTCAAAGTACTGGAAACTAACTAAATTTGCATAAGCCAGGGAGATCATATAGCACAATTCCACGTCTCTTGAGCATGAAGACTCTTGACCGTTCATACATATTTCTGGGGATCAATACACAAGTGTCATGAATCCTCTGCAGGCATTCATGAATCAAGAAACCTGGTTATGTTCCTTTCTGCTTTAGTTGCAGACTCTGATTCCAGCTCTAGGACCAATGTCTCTCCCTCTGATCCTTCCTCTTCTTTCTCTGAGGAGAAGAGGATGAAATATTGGGAACCACAGAACCTGACCGAGATGCCTTCCTGGCAGCCTTGAGAAAGTCCCAGGGCTTCTCCGAGTCAAAGAGGAGACTCTGTGAAGCAAGCATTCGTCCTCCAGATTTAGCATCAATCCTTACCAAGGTAGCAAGAGTTGTCCTCATACTGCTCATCAGGTTTTTTTTTAGCCTGGGATTTACTGCCTCTTTTCTTCTACATTATTCCACAGGGTATGCTGTACACTGCAAGCCTTACAGGCAGGCTAACAAGGTAACGTCTTGTGAAATCCACCTTTTTGTTTACTTAGCTCTCTGCGGTGATGGCAACTGCATTACTAAGTGAAGCAATGGTTCAGCATTTTGCACTCACTTTATCTTAGCAGAAGCTTTGATGTTAATGAGACGCTGGATCTTTTCTTGCAGACTGCACTCCACACTGACATCAAGGCCTTCCTCTTCTGCATTTGACATTTGCCTAGGACGGAAAGGGGGGGGGAGAAATGAGCTACAACTCCAAGGCCAACCTCAGATTGCTTCAGAAATGATCAAACAAACCAAACAAGTGCCACACAAACCACTGGCAGGTCTGGTGCCATATTCAGCCCTGAACATGATGTCACCTGGTCACAGCAGGCAGCGAGTGAGCCCAGGAGACAGACTCACAGCAGGCAGCGAGTGAGCCCAGGAGAGACAGGGAGACAGACAGACAGACACACACACACTCGCCTTCCCTTGCTTGCTTAGCATTCTTTATCCCATCTTCAAGACCTAATTCAGAAGCACAGAGACTGTGCACCACTGCTACACTTCCCACCTGCCACCAGAATGCTCTCTGCTTTATCTTGCACGTATGCTGCATTAAGAAGGAAGCAGAAGTTACAGTAAGGTAAAAAATGCCCAAAATCTCATGTCATGATAGATTAAGGACCTTATGGAATGCCTAGGCTCGACACAAGAATATTGAGGGTGTGTGTGTGTTTCTCATCAGATGTGTTATCTCAAACTAAGAGACTGTCTAGGGAAACATCTCTATATTAGAAAGAACATTTAGTTTGGCTTTTAAAAATATATATATGCTCCTCAACAACATGCAAAGCAAACACACAGCAAACATGGCTCTTCTGTATAATTCATTCCAGTTGTCACAGACTTGGGAGACTGAATTCACAACTTTATAGTAATGATCGCTAGCCTGCAATCCCGACAGCATTCTTTCAAAGTTCATGTAACATGGAAGTGAAACAGATTTTTAATTAAGCACCCACTTGGCCTTTTTCCTTGCTTTCTTCATCTTCTTTTCTATCTTCCGGGAAATCTCTTCCTTGCTAAGGATGTAGAATATCTCCAGGACAGAGTCCGTTCCCTTGGAAGAAGACAGAGTAAGTTGCTGAGTTCACTGAAACAGAAGTCAGTATTATCAAAGTGCCTAAGACAGACAGACAGCCTCTCATGAACTCCAAAGGACAGTTAACTTACATGACAAGCGAGAATCCTTCCTGTCTTATCCGTGGCCAGAGTAACCACTCGGTCCCTTCCTTCCCGCATAATAGAGCCAGCTTTTCTGCAACTGAGGATGTGCTAAAAGAAAAAACAACCAATGCACATGTAAGCAAATATGGGATGAACAGCTCAACAAAGTCTTCAGAAACAAGCAAGCAAACAAACAAACCAAACAGCAATCAACATGCTTAGGACAGTGGAGGTTTGCACTGAACTGACTCAGTCACCTTGAGTTCTTCACTTAACATGCCCAGTCCTTTGAAGTCTAGTTTCCCCCGCAAGACTTAAGAGGCACCTTTCATACCTGTTCCAAATCTTAACAGATTCAGCAGCAGCAGAGAGGAAGGCAATGTTGTCAGAGCTAAATGCGAGTGTTCTGACATCACTACGGTGACCTCCAATAGTTATTTTGGACATCTGCAGAACTCGGGGTGTTGACACGGATGGGTTCAAGGTAAATGTTTCAATGATGTTGTTTTGGAGCATTAAGGTGGCTTTCAGCTCTCCATTTGGATTGAGGATCAAGTCAAAAGATCTATTACAGCAATGAATGATCACACAGGAAACATGAATCAGAAACAGAAACAAGAACAAGAATTACAAACAACACACCCCGCACAGAGCTAGTGCAAAGATTAGGCCACTTAGGGATAAATATAAATGTCAGTTGAACTACTAATTTGAAGACAATCTGTTCATAGTACTGGAAACTAACTAAATTTGCATAAGCCAGGGAGATCATATAGCACAATTCCATGTCTCTTGAGCATGAAGACTCTTGACAGTTCATACATATTTCTGGGGATCAATACACAAGTGTCATGAATCCTCTGCAGGCATTCATGAATCAAGAAACCTGGTTATGTTCCTTTCTGCTTTAGTTGCAGACTCTGATTCCAGCTCTAGGACCAATGTCTCTCCCTCTGATCCTTCCTCTTCTTTCTCTGAGGAGAAGAGGATGAAATATTGGGAACCACAGAACCTGACCAAGATGCCTTCCTGGCAGCCTTCAGAAAGTCCCAGGGCTTCTCCGAGTCAAAGAGGAGACTCTGTGAAGCAAGCATTCGTCCTCCAGATTTAGCATCAATCCTTACCAAGGTAGCAAGAGTTGTCCTCATACTGCTCATCAGGTTTTTTTTTAGCCTGGGATTTACTGCCTCTTTTCTTCTACATTATTCCACAGGGTATGCTGTACACTGCAAGCCTTACAGGCAGGCTAACAAGGTAACGTCTTGTGAAATCCACCTTTTTGTTTACTTAGCTCTCTGCGGTGATGGCAACTGCATTACTAAGTGAAGCAATGGTTCAGCATTTTGCACTCACTTTATCTTAGCAGAAGCTTTGATGTTAATGAGACGCTGGATCTTTTCTTGCAGACTGCACTCCACACTGACATCAAGGCCTTCCTCTTCTGCATTTGACATTTGCCTAGGACGGAAAGGGGGGGGGAGAAATGAGCTACAACTCCAAGGCCAACCTCAGATTGCTTCAGAAATGATCAAACAAACCAAACAAGTGCCACACAAACCACTGGCAGGTCTGGTGCCATATTCAGCCCTGAACATGATGTCACCTGGTCACAGCAGGCAGCGAGTGAGCCCAGGAGACAGACACACACACACACTCGCCTTCCCTTGCTTGCTTAGCATTCTTTATCCCATCTTCCAAGAGCTCAAGCTAATTCAGAAGCACAGAGACGTTGCACCGCTGCTACACCTCCCTCCCGCCACCAGAAAGCTCTCTATCTTGCATGTATGCTGCATTAAGAAGCAGGCAGAAGTTACAGTAAGGAGACTCTATAAAATCCCCAAAATCTCATGTCATGAAAGATTAAGGACCTAATGGAATGCCTGGTCTCAATACAAGAATATTGAGGGGTGTGTGTGTTTCTCATCAGATGTGTTATCTCAAACCAAGAGACTGTCTAGGGAAATGTCTCTATATTAGAAAGAACATTTAGTTTGGCTTTTAAAAAAAAACATATGCGCCTCAACAGCATGCAAAGCAAACACACAGCAAACGTGGCTCATTCAGAAGCACAGAGACTGTGCACCACTGCTACACTTCCCACCTGCCACCAGAATGCTCTCTGCTTTATCTTGCACGTATGCTGCATTAAGAAGGAAGCAGAAGTTACAGTAAGGTAAAAAATGCCCAAAATCTCATGTCATGATAGATTAAGGACCTTATGGAATGCCTAGGCTCGACACAAGAATATTGAGGGTGTGTGTGTGTTTCTCATCAGATGTGTTATCTCAAACTAAGAGACTGTCTAGGGAAACATCTCTATATTAGAAAGAACATTTAGTTTGGCTTTTAAAAATATATATATGCTCCTCAACAACATGCAAAGCAAACACACAGCAAACATGGCTCTTCTGTATAATTCATTCCAGTTGTCACAGACTTGGGAGACTGAATTCACAACTTTATAGTAATGATCGCTAGCCTGCAATCCCGACAGCATTCTTTCAAAGTTCATGTAACATGGAAGTGAAACAGATTTTTAATTAAGCACCCACTTGGCCTTTTTCCTTGCTTTCTTCATCTTCTTTTCTATCTTCCGGGAAATCTCTTCCTTGCTAAGGATGTAGAATATCTCCAGGACAGAGTCCGTTCCCTTGGAAGAAGACAGAGTAAGTTGCTGAGTTCACTGAAACAGAAGTCAGTATTATCAAAGTGCCTAAGACAGACAGACAGCCTCTCATGAACTCCAAAGGACAGTTAACTTACATGACAAGCGAGAATCCTTCCTGTCTTATCCGTGGCCAGAGTAACCACTCGGTCCCTTCCTTCCCGCATAATAGAGCCAGCTTTTCTGCAACTGAGGATGTGCTAAAAGAAAAAACAACCAATGCACATGTAAGCAAATATGGGATGAACAGCTCAACAAAGTCTTCAGAAACAAGCAAGCAAACAAACAAACCAAACAGCAATCCTAAACCATATCTGACAAGGTGACCAATATATGGTACACAACTGGTAGTTCAAGCCTGCTACTTGAGGCAATACTGATGCTCACAATGTGATTCCTACCATCTCCCTTGAGAAAGACTGCACAGCAGAAACTGAGTGTAGAAGAATAGAGTTAAGGTAACCCAACTCTCAAGAAGAGCAAGGCTAAATAGAGCCCCTTATTCCCTTTCTCCTTAATCCAAAAAAGGGGAGAAAAAATGTGGCTTTAGACCAGGAGGGAAAGACTAAACTTCCCCTTTCAATGAAGAAATTCACATTACTCATTTGCAGAATCCCAAAAAAAGATATTGTGCACTAAACCAGGACAGGCAATGAGTTGGCGATATTAACACCATAATGGCGCACACGTTCTAATTGGATACTGGAACTTGCTGGCCCTCTAATCCCATTCTCCAAAGGGATCTACAGAAGGAACACGAGTCACAAAGTTGCGCATCCCAGCTACAGATTTTGAGTCTTCAAAAGGGAGAATATTTTGAAGTGCATGAGAGAATATGTCTAGAGAAACAAGGCAATGGCAAAGCTCTGGTTGAGGAGACTGCTGGTTTTTGTCACAGCCCTTATTAATCTGCAATAAGCGATAAGCTTGTTCTCTCTCACACACTCAGAAATCTGTAAGCTCCAGGATATACCCGAGAGAGTAAGGAAGGAAGCCAGGGAAAGGCTTAAGTACATGTAGAGAGAGAATCTCCTAAAACTGCAGTTGTGATGTTCATATCTGAATCTGTTTTGTGCCATCGCCATGCCATCTAGTGGAACTTTTCCAGGCAGTTTGGAGCCCATCACTTTCCAGGTGACTCGAGGGAGACCATGGAGCCATTCCGTATCTACTGCATCTTGTTTGCAAGGCCTTGAAGAGGTTACAGCAGCTAATGAATATATTAAATGCATTCAACCAGACTATTAAGCCCATCACAAGTGTACGTTTTGCCACTGAAAATGGCCATGATTGCTTTAGTACAAATCCAGAAGAGTTGATTGTTACCTAGAAAATTGTGAACTTGGCTCATGATTTTTTTAAAAAATTTAAATATATGAATGCATGAATGAATCATAACATTGATTTCACTGATATCCTACTCTCCCCCCACAATGGGGTCCAGCTAATGCTGTGTTAATATGTAGCATGCACAAAAGTACCTCCTCAGAGGACTCATCCTGATCTACTGTCCTGTCCTCTTCAGAAGAGTCTTCCATTCTCACTGCTGACCCTCTGCTTCTCTTCAACTCCGGCTCATTGGGGTCCTGGTTCTGCTCACAAGTAACAAGAACAGTAAGATGTAAGTTAGAACACAGATGGGCTCACTTTCCAAGCTTCATTTTCCCATCATGCAATCACTTCCTTATTTAACCAAGCAGAAAGGACCAGTATGAACAGACACGCTCATATACGAACCCCAAATATAGGACAATATTTAGCAAAATTGACTAATCAGTGGGGCACGCCACACTGAGAATAGGTGTAAGGAGACACAAAAGACACTGTACAATCATTTGCATCAGTGCTACACATACTAAAAATAGGAAGTGGGTCACTGCCAATATCCTGCCTCTCCCGGGGGATTTACTTTTAGCCACACAGTGCTACCTAATAAGCAGCTTCAAGCCACGTGAGGCCTGCTTCAAATAACAGGCCTCACAGAGGGAAGTGGCCAAATAATTACTAAGACATATTTTATTGTATTCAAGGCAGGGAACAATGATGGAAGAAGCACAAACGGCACTATCAAAACCAAACAGATTATTCAGATCGTACATATACATGCTGCAGGAATAGACTGATTCTAGTCGTGAGGCGACAGGATGGCAGTTATCTAAACAGACATCAATTAAACAATGACAAGTGGGCCAGTCACACTCCTCCACAGGTCAGTATTAACTCAAGCCACCCAGTAGTACAGCATATACAGTAAGAGACAAATACCATGTGTAGCACATGCAAACAGTGTAAGTTGTCTTCATTGTTCACATTTATACCTCATATTTCTGTATTAAGACAGCTATCTAAAAAACATCACAAATGCAACCGAAACAGTCCCAATCAAAGTAATCATAAACAACGCAGCACATTTAAGTTAGTCTAAATGTTGAACTCTTACTTCCTCAAGATAGCTGATGTTCCAGACTCTTAATTCACTGTCTGCAGAACCAGTAATAAGATTTTCTTGTGAAATCAAGGCTAGTCCCCATACCTGAAACGGAAGATCCCCCAGTGATTAATAACCCTTCATTCAACATTGGATTACCTCTAGCAATAGAAAAAGAAGCCAATTTGCTTTTTCCATTATCTAGCATACATATTCCCTCCTCCCCTCCGTTTTACAGAGACAATAGTGTTTAAGAATTCTTAAACCTCGAGTCCACAAAACTGGTATTTGCCATGAGGTTTGGTGAGAAGCAAGCCCTAGGAAGAATGAATCTAGGTTATCCTGGAGGACAAGACGTGACACTTCTCACTTATCCTCATAAACAAGGTTCCTGCTAAGCTTCCCTCCACACGAAAGAACCCAGCGTGCAGGCACTTATCCTCATAAACAAGGTTCCTGCTAGGCTCCCCTCCACACGAAAGAACCCAGCATGCAGGAGGCATTCTCACACACACACACACACACACACAGGGGGGCGAAGCCATGCACACAAGAGGTGGGGAGTTTGAACATTTACAGGGTACAAGTCTTATATATAAACTTCAAAGTGGCTTCACAGATCCTATTTGCAAGCAGCTTTCTGAATATTTGGGAGGCCTAAACTATCCCTGCTCCAAAGCCTAGTCACCTGAATATCTAAGCAAATACATGTCCATTCTAGCAAATGAACAACAATAGTGGTTCCCAACAGGGAACATCTTTACTTCCTGGCACCTTGCTACAAAGTTTTTCAGGGAATCCCAACAGAATTCTACAAAAGATATGCAGCAATCATCAACAAAAATTACGCTCCTTCTCAGTGTGTTATAAACAATTAAATGGAATCCCAACAGAATTCTACAAAAGATATTATGCAGCAATCACCAACAAAAATTACACTCCTTTTCAATGTGTTATAAACAATTAAATCACTTCCCCCCAAAAAATGGCAATCCTGACAGGAGATATTCAAGGAACGCAGCTCTCAGAAGGGTATTTTCGTGGCACTTTGACACTCCTAAAAACATTTTAAAGTGTGGTGGTTTTTTCCTCATAAAGTCTCCTTGCTCATTTTAAGGGCCATGGGCGTGTTATTTTGTGATACTTTTAGTATTTTTTATGATCCCATATGTTGCTCAATTTAGGGGGGGAGGTTTTTTTATTTTATTTTTTTTTTCGCTCCCTAATGCAAGGAATCTTTCTCATTGACAAAGAAAGTGACACCCATTCTTTAGGTAACAAACTGCTGTAGTGAAATTTACAAACAAACAAAAATTCAAAATATACAAGTTGGCATCCCTGCCCACACCCTTCTCCCTTTCGCCATATCCCTTAAGCAACTAGCAAATCACTGAGAATGCTTATCTTAGAAGCTGTATGAAGACATCTGGACAAATATTATTAGTTGGAAATAAGCACCCTGGGGAGGGGGGGTCAGCGAGCCTTACTTCTGAGCAAACATGCTGAGACTGCACATACACAACTTCCTAGACTATCTGGTGCAAAGAACGAATCTTTAACTATAATCACGTCTTCTGCCCATTATTACTGGTATTTCTGCATTTGTTACCTCAGTACGATGTCCAACCAATGTTTTGAAACAGTGCTGTGTATCCAGATCCCACCATTTCACCAGGGTGTCTTTACCACTGGGGGGAAAAAGTTAAGAAAACTTTTAAAATAAAGTTAAAAAATAAAATTAAAATTAAAATGCTATCCAGTATATTGCAGTCATTTTATCCCAATTCTTGCAACTGTGAATTTAACACTAGGAACTCTGTGTTAAGCTTTATTATTCATTGCTGGCTAAAGAAGGTATACAATATCAAGCACAGGATGCAAGTGGAGGCATACAGATTCTAAGGTTCATGGGTCAACTTTTGAATGAGATGGCAGAGGAAACAGGGTCACTCACAGTTTTAATTTCCAGAAACTTCCACATCAGTTCTTCCAGTCACTAAACACATCCCTTCATGTTTGTAACTAAGCCTCCATAATAACCTTTACGTACATGTTCCAGTACTACAAACACAGTGATCACAAGATACTAGAAGAACAGGAAGGAAAATCAATTGTCTCCCTCATTACTCTATCCATTACTGAGGTTTTGGAAGAAATGATGTGAGAACATCTTAAGTCAGAGACCCCCAAACTTTGGGGCCCCATTGGCACTTCTGGAAATGTCAGAATTGTCCTGGGCACCACCAAAGAACAGTCTCCATAGAACATGGCTAGTCACAAAATGGCTGCTGAGGGACGGTGTACAAAGGGATTGTGTCTTAATCCCAATGCCAAGCCAACATTCGGCTTCACAAAAGTACAATAAAAGACCCCTTTTACCAAAGGCAAAAGTATCCCTTTCTGATCAGGCAAACTGGTCAGGATGAAACAATCCCTCTCCTATTAGAGACCCATCTGGCCCCTCCTTCCCTCTCAAATTAATGTCTGCTCTCATCTAACTATCTCATTCATCCTTCCTCGCTAAACTTGCCATCCTGTACTTGCTTACAGGGAACTCTGGCACCTAGAAACACATAGAAAACCTAGAAACATTTTGGTAATTTTTAAAAAACCTACTTGCGAAGAAAACTTCATGAGCACAGCTCCCTTGTGTTCATGGCACAGCTTCTGACACACAGTTTATATGCAACACATTTAAGTGAAACAATCAAACAGGAATCGATGGCATTAAACATTTGATTTCTAATTACTCCATGCATGTTTTGGAATTTACAGTAAAATTTACTGATGCCATTGGATGGGCTCCTGCAGGGCCTTCTAATATAGAACGCTTTTTCAAAAATGGAAAATACAGGAAGCGGACGGATTAATCAATACTGTAAAGGGAAACCACCGCATCACTAAAGCATATGCAACTCTTTCCCCTGAGGATAATTTCTAAGAGCGCCTTTACCTGGAGATCAATATATTCTTCTCTTTCAAGAAGAGCACCTGCGTAACAGCATCCTTGTGGCCCTTCAGACGGTACAAACCACTCTCATTGATCACATCCCAAATGATGACAACTGTATCCTAGAATAAAAAGCAAAATTCTAGCCCTCTATGCTACTATCATAATCACATATCTTGCCAAGCAGTGCCTCCAAAGCATTTCTGGCCATCATACGACATCAAAGGCATCAAAAACAAGGCTATACCAAGCTTTACGGCATACATTATAGCTGCACAAGAGCAAACCAAAAATTCTATAAAGCAATTCTAAAAACAGGAACAGTCCAAAAAAAATTATAACTTTTAAACTGGACTTCAAATCATCACCACATCTGATACAGTTGTAGTACAGTCTGCTCTTGCTCTGTAGCAACTTTGGAGAAGTTTGGGCAAAGAGTTTTCAATACATGATTTTCTTAAAACTGTTTTATCACCCTTGTTCAGAGAAAAGTCACAGAAACAGACTGAAATGAAATTAAAGTTTTTTTTTTTAAAGCAGGTTTGCTTTAAAGAAAATAATGAAGTGTCAACCCTCCAGAAAGGTGGATATTTTGCCATGTATTTTTGGGGAATTAGCATACAAAGTATTTCTCCTTTCTACTTCTCCTTAGAAAAACAGAGACTAGCACTTTCAGTAAACGTTTTCTCAGGATTTCTGAGACCAGTCTCCACATACAAATTTTTAAAGGGAAAATCTGCTCCACCTCTGGGGCAATCAGAATTTTTGACATTATCAATCAGGACCCAATTAGCTGATTCTTAGCTTTTAACTCCTTCCTGGCCAAAGAAGTTTATCAGATTCATGCTTGCAAGAGGATTGTGTCTTACTATAAAAATGCACAAAAGTATATCAATTTTTTTTTTAAAGAGGTGACATATTCTGAAAAACACACACACATTTGTAGAGCCAGTTTGGAAATTGCAAGATAGGTTTCCAGTCTGCACTCTGCAGAGCCGTCCTGAGAGGTTAAAGGGTGTGTAATTTTTTCTTTGCTGTGTGTTGCAGTCACTCTTTTTGCTTCACCATTTCATTAAGTTCAAAACAGCACTTCAAAATATTTTTGCACAGATTATAGCAACAGCCCAGCTGTTCTTGGTTCAGCCCAACCATATTATAGATCGCACTTACTAACTGTACATAAGGGAAGTTGCTGTTCAAATTTGTGTGTTGTGTGTAGTTTAATAGCAACAGCCCAGCTGTTCTTGGTTCAGTCAACTATATTATAGATCGCACTGACTAACTGTACATGAGGGAAGTTGCTGTTCAAATTTGTGCGTTGTGTGTAGTTTATGCTGTGCTGGACAGCGTTTCTAGGAGTTGAAGTCCAAGAACACCTGGGTTACCGAAGAATAGGAACCACTGCCCTACAGGTTACCCCCTCGTGCTCACTACCATTCACAAAGTGACACAAAGCAGGCAACAATCCTAAAACCTGACCCCCCTCATTTTCATCAGTTAACCACTTCTCACCCAATCATAAAGCAACGGTCAGAGCTGTTTTTTTTTTCAAATGATGCTTCAAGGAAGTTCTATTCTACTGCTACACCAATTACCATTACACTTTGTTGAGCTGCATTATCAATTTATAGCCGATACATTTCCATTACAACTACTATTCATCAGTACTCCCCTCATCCCCAAATTTTTACCTTTGAACCTGAAGCCAACTTCCCTCCCAGTTCATCATATCTCAAGGTAGTAACAGCAGCTTTATGACCATTGAAAGTAATGTTCCCTTCCCCACTGAGGAGACTGAAGACACATATGGAGCCATCTTCATAGCCAACAGCCAAATGTAGGCCATCAGGTGATGGGCAGAGAGCAGTCACTTCTTGCTTCTTCCCTTGAAGGATAAGAACCTGAAAAGTCAAATATATGAGACCTTTATAACATGATTTGGCACAGCCAAGTTTTGAAAGAAATCAGTGTCAAGTCAATTCACATTGCTTGCCTCATGCAGTGTTTATGTAGTTGGAGTTTGCAGTTCCAGGTCTCATAAGACGGATTTGCTAACTATGCTTGCATGTAATGCATTTCCACCATGCTGATAAGAAGGCATTTGGCTGGATCAGATTAACCTTCTGCTTTCCCCAGAGCCAACTCATTCACTAAGAAAAACCCACCAGCAAGACGTGACTGCAACAGGATCTTCCTGCTTATGCTCCCCAACAGACTGTGTACACAAGCATATTGTGCAGAGTACTGGAAGTTGTATACAGCCATGGTGAATAGCAAACATAGATGATCTAATTCCACAAGAATTAGACAACTCCCTTTTAAGATGTCCCAAATGTGTAGCTCTATTACATTTTATAGAGTAATGCATTCCACAGATTAATTGCATTGCATGTGTGAAGATGTAATTTATTTTAATCTGAATTTCCTGTGACTCATCTACCCTGTTCCCCCGAAAAATAAGACCTAGCCTGAAAATAAGCCCTAGTATGATTTTTCAGGATGCTCATAATAAGCCCCAGCCCCAAAATAAGCCCCAGTTAAGTGAAACCCCACCCTCCACCCATATGCAGCAACCAGAAGAAGATGACATAGCTGTATTGGAATATGTGTAGATTGTTGTACATTAAAAAAATAATAAAACATACTGTGAAAATAAGCCCTAATGTATTTTTGGAAAAAAAATTAAGACCCTGTCTTATTTTTGGGGAAACACAGTACCTGAGTTTGGGGTTTTTTTTCCTCCTGCTTATTTTTTCCACACCAAACATCATTTCACTCACTTCTATTACCTTCCCTTTTACTTGTCTTTTTAGTTCTTCTCTGAGCTAACTACTACCAATGTAACCTCATGGGAGACTTACTCTAGCCTCTTTATCATTTTGTTCACTCACTAGACAACACTGGACATCTGCCTTTCCCAGAATAGTTTTATCTGCCTGTACATTAGGGCAATAAGTACAACATTCTACTTCATTCCACCTGAACATTTCATGACTTCAAGACGAAGCCAGCTCTCCCCTCCCCTTTGCTCTCACCATTCTCAGCCCAAAAGTTAGCTCACAATTTTGTGCATCCTCCATTGATCCTAATAAATATGTTCCCAAATTGTGGATTTGGATTTTCCCCCTTATAGAGCATCACCGGAAAAGTCCTTAAAGTACTATTTTTCCCTGTTTTATCTTCTCTTCTTAATTCATATACAGTAGTGCCTCGCACTAACGAGCACCTCGGTTAATGACGAATCCGCACAGCGATGGATTTTTTGTAATCGCATTGCGATGTTTTTAATGGTAAAAAATCGCTTTGCGATGATCGGTAAGCTGTTTCGCTTACCGATTTTCGCATAGTGATGTTTTAAAAACAGCTGATCGGCGGTTCCAAAATGGAAAGAATGGGGGGGGGGGAAATGGCCGCCCGCTGTGTTTTCGCACCAATTCCTCGCATACCGGGCAGCAAAAATGGCGGCCGTATGGAGGATTTTCGCTTAAAGGTGAGTTTTAAGCCCATAGGAAAGCCTTGAATGGGGTTTAAGGCATTCCTATGGGCTTTTTCTTTTCGCATAGCGACGAATCCGGATAGCAACGATTTTTCCGGAACGGATTATCGTCGCTATGCAGGGCACCACTGTATCTGGTGTTCTAAAACTGCATTTTTTCTGTTTTAACCTCTCCTTGTTAACTAAACCGGAGAGTTTAGCAGAAAGCTAGTGAATAGCAGTTTTGAAGAAACAAGTACAAATACAGCAAGATGATAAATTGTAGAGCATTCTTCCTCAGGGCACCAGCAAGGATATTAAGTTTCCCCTTGGTTTCCCATCCTCAGACTCACCTCCCCAAACAGTGAGGCAATGTTCCCTGGCGATTTATTTTACTTTTTCTTTTTGGTCCTTATATGTTTTATACAAATCTTGCTAATCCCCCAAAAGCTCTCTCTATATATATAAAAATAAAAAAGGAAAGTGTGCTGCTTACATACTGTCCCACAGAGCTTAAAGGGCTCTCTGAGTAATTTACCATTTAATTATTCTGGCTACACATTGCCCCTGCAGCAAGCTGGCTATTCAATTTATCAGCCTCAAAAGGATGGAAGGTTGAATCAACTACAAGCCAACTACCTGAGCCCGTTGGGATGAAATTCGGGTCACAATCAGTCTTGACTGCAGTTTAAACACTGAGCTAAGAGGCCCAAGCCTACTACACTCTCTCCATGCTAGATAGTGCCTTTACAAACACAAAATATTATAATTAATTGGTAAGGTGCAGAAACTGCTGCCAAGTAAAATAGGTAAAAATTTCAGCTCCAGCAGTGTGACTCATAAGAACGTAAGAGCCCTGCTGGATCCAGCTTCCTGCATCTCACAGTGGCCCCACCAGATGCCTCTGGGAGCACACAAGACCACTACAGACCTGTCTCCTGATACCCCTCCCCTGCATCTGCGATTTGGAAGTACCTTCCTTTTAAGCCTGGAGATTATACATCCCATCATGGCTTGTAACCTGCGATGGACTTCTCCAGAAATCTGGACTCAAAATTATATACACAACATAGACAAATCTATTATACAGATTATATACACAACATAGAAAGATCTATCCTGTTCTGTCAGCAGACGCAGGCCACTATGAAGGCCTCTGTCCATAACGTCAGTGATAAAACCCATTACGGATACAGTTTTTAACATTTCAGTCTTACTGAAGCCACCATCTTCTAACCACATCCTCAAAAAGCTACAAAGCAAAACACAAAACACATCCATATACATAAAAGATGGAGGGCACATTGGATTATCGCACGTGTCTCAAAAGCTAAAATAATTGCTCACCTTCTCTCCTTTCCGGGTATCCCAGATGAAAACATGCTCACAGGCTGGCACTGCCACATAGCGGCCCTTCTCACCTCGCAGAGTCACATATACGATATTGCCTTTCTGACTGGCAACCACTCCAAATAGAGCAGTGTCCGTATAGCGCAGATACTGCTTGGTGAGCCCCATGAACGGGTGTCCAGTTTCTTAAAAGATTCAGTCTGGTCAAGAAGACGAAAATGCTGCCTCTGAAGTAGAATCAGATCTAGAAAGAAGGGGAAAAAGCCAATAACCACGGCCCTTATATTATTTGCTCTCGAGTAGTTACTCTCACTTATAATGTAGCATATAGGATTAAGTTCACATTATCTTCCTGCCATTTATAATAATCACAAGTAACCCTGTTAATTTATTTTTATTTCATTCACCAAACCATTACTCAAATGATAATTTGGCCCGTGAACCCAGGATGCTTGCCAATGGAAAACACTAAAAAGCATACAGGAAATATACAAACATTTTGCTCAAAATGTTATGAATAGCGTGGCCCAGATAATTACCTAGTTCTCACTGAACAAAACCTGAGGATTCAATTGTTTGGAAACTATGGTTTGATCATGGAAATCCAGGACGATGCAGTAGGAAGAGATGAAGTACGCCAATTATACTTGAGCCCAGTTCTGCTCTTTGATGTTCACTGGGACGATCCTCAGCCCCTTTCTCTGTAAGGCAAAATTACCTTGCAGAGTTGCTCTCAAAATATGTGTGGGAGAAAAAGATCCCATATATCACTCTTGAGTATTTGGGAGGAAATGGGCAGGCAGGGAAAAATATAGGTATACATAATAAATAACTTTTCCCCTCCTAAACTCTAACGCACAGTAATCTTCCCTATTCCTGCGTGGATGCAAGAAATGCACTTCACATATGCTCAGGAACATGCCCTTGTTCTGTTGTTTCTGCTTTGTCGATCAGATGCGCCCCGTTCTAATTATCTCGCCGAGTTACTTGTGGGAACTACCACTCCCAGAATCCCCCACGCCGGCAGAAAAATTCTGGGTACGGTAGCTGCCCTCCCCACCCCCGAAAAAAAGAAACGTTTCCCACCTCCGTTCCTTCCCTACTTCCCGCCAGCAGCCGCTTCAGATGCTCGACCCTCGACCGCTGCAGATGTCCTTCCCGAGGCACGTGCTCACCGAGAGACAGAGAGGCCAGCGGCACCGGAATCCCCGAGGAAGAGGGAGCGAGCGAGGCGTGACCGGAACCGGAAAGAGACGCAGGGTAGCTTTATAAACCTCAGAGTAGCCCGTCTCAGGGCGAGTTCATCTCGGAACTCGCGTTGCTTTTTTTCCACTCCATGGAAGAAAAAGGCAGAAATAAAAGAGGTAGCAATAAATCCAAGCTATTCTAGTTGCTTTTCCTGAGGCGTGGTAGTGCGTCTCACCTACTGGTAGAAAAGAAAAGCCCGTTAGGTCTTCCATGGAAGAAAAAGGCAGAAATAAAAGACGTAGCAATAAATCCAAGCTATTCGAGTTGCTTTTGCGGAGGCGTGGTAGTGCGTCTCACCTACTAGTAGAAAAGAAAAGCCCATTTTCTTTCGCAGGTCTTTGTGTGTGTGTGTGTGCGCGTGCGTGTGTGTGTAAAAAGGTTGTTTCTTCCTATTTTTTAAGGCAAAATACAAAGAAGCAAAACAAAAAAGACCAAAACCAGGTGGCACCTTAAAAACTCTTCAGTTTTAATGTGAGCTTTCATGGATGACGTCCACTTCATTAGAAACTACGAAAACAGAATGAACCATTTCTGAAGCTCCATAGTGAACCCACGAGGCCCCTCCATGCAAACCGAAGGAGGGAAATTAAAAGAGTCTTCAGACGGAAATCCAAAGCAGCCCCCGTCCCTCCTCCTCCCCCGACCTGCAAAAGTTGAAAGCGGCGGACACTTGCAGGACTGTTGGAAGCCGCTCTCCGTCCCCGCCTTCCCTCGCTCCCCCTGCCCCTGGCGTGATGGGGGAAGATGGCGAGGGCAACGCCGTCGCCGCTTGACCCGCTCTTTCCTCCCTAAAATCTCTATAATCAATCAGGGCTCTAGGCTCAGAGTTCGAGTCTCTTTCCAGTCGCCTTTTCTTGGCTGGGGGCGGCAGGTGGCCCGTAGTTACCCATGTTCCGTCCTCACGCCCACTTTTAATGCCACCTTCCCAACATTTTGCTTTAGAGAACAAAAACATGGATGGGTCTCCTCTCCCTCCGAGGGAGAGGGAGGAAACGAACGGAGCCTGGCGAGGGGAAGTTCCTTCCCACATCAGTTTGGAGCCCTTATTCCTCCTCGGCGGGGCCCCTCTGTCTGCGCCTTATCTCTAGGGGTAAACCCGAAGCCCTGGGATTGGGTGCTGAGCCGGGGAAAGGGCGCTCAAGGGCTCCGCCGAGAGCGGGGCGTTCACCGGAAGACGCGGCGGCGGTAGCGGCGCAGGCGCAGTAGCAGTTATTTCTGCTCGGAGGTTCTGCTGGCTTCTTTCCACCCCCGGCTTTGTCTGTGGCTTCTTGGGGGGGCTTGGCGCCCTGGACGTGCCGCTGAGGCGGGCTTCCTTTGGGCCGGATCCTGCCCTGGCCAAATGGAGGCGCCACAAACAACAACGACAACAACAGCAGCGGCGGCGGCAGTGAGTGATGCCGGGTGGGGTGCGGGTGTGTGTGTGTGTGGCGTCCCCCCTTGCCTTCTGCCCTGGACCGCCTCTCTGCCCGCCCGTCCGTTCCCCTCGGGCGGCTTGCGTTGCTTTTCCCGCCTCTTCAATGCCCTCCTCCGCCAAAGGTCTCCGGGCGTCGCTTTGCCGAGCCGTGCCCGGCTTCCCTTCCACCACCACCTCTCCGTGCCTTCCGTAGCTTGAGCTGGGGCTATGGGAGACCCCTCTCATGCGGTGCCCTCGAGTCGGTGCTGCCTTCTGGCGACCCGCTTCTCGGGGGTTCCCCAGGTGGGACGGGGCTTCTGTCCGATAAATCCACACTTTGCCTGCGGGTTGGAGCAGAGAGGGAAGGAAGGACGCCTCAAGCCAAGGAAAGTCTTCGAGGGAGTTTATTGTCGCGTTTCACCTCCCCAGAATAACGTTTCTCCGCTATTCTTTGCCAGTGGCTTTTATGAAACCGGAAGGGGGCTGAGCCCACACACACACATACACACACACACACAGGCCGGCCCTTCTCCGGGGCTGCTTGCCTGCCGCGTGGCTCGAGTGGGCGGCTGCCGCAGTCCAGGAAAGCCGGCTTTCAAGATAAAACGTGGCCGTCTTCAAAGGCGCTGCCGAGCTCTCTCTGTTATTCTTAGCAAAAGTATCGCAGGCGCTGGGGGTGGTTGGAGGAGCAGGAGGAGCAGCAGGCAGCGCGTGTCTCAGACAAGGACTCGGGAGGCCTGAGTGGAAACACGACACGAGTCTCTGACTGTTTTTGCTCCTTGACCGTCTCACCTCTCTTGGCGACCTTGTTTGGGGTCCCTGCCCCTGGAGAAAAGGACTCGACCCCAGCAGCAGGAGTCTGGGGTAAAAAGTGGGAGAAGCTCCTGAGGAGAAGAAGCCTGCAGGGAATAGATCTCTTCTTCTTACTTGTCCAGATCGCTCTGGATTCCTTGCAGAGAGTCTTCTGGCTAGGGATCTGCTCCTCCGTCAGATGCACAGGAGTTCTGCTCCCTTCAGTTTAGAGAAAAAAGATGCAGGGATACAGAAGGAACCTGGGAAGAATCATTTATTTATTTACAGTATTTATTATTATCATCATCATCATTATTAAGTTCTTGAATTCTTAATTTGCCTGCATTGGGGCTTTGTATATAGAAATGTCACAACCTTATTGCTACTTTTTTCCATTTCAAGACCTCTTTTTTACCGCTGTTAATGAGTTGTACTCATGTACTGTACAGTATATGTTAGGGCTGAATTGGCTGAGGGTGACGGGAGTTAAGAACATTAAGACAACTTATGCTACATCTGGTCAAAAGTCTGTTTAAAACAACAAAATGTTTGGAGAATGCACACAAACAGCCAAGAATACAGGAGCGCCCTTTTGCTTATCACCTGCAACGAAGAAACATACTATCTTTGTTGCTGGAGGCATTATGCGTCTAACAGCTAGTTGCAACAGAGAGCCTTATTCTTAGTGAATTTTTTTTTGCCTGTTTTTAAAACTGCCAAAGTTGATGGCTACATATTGTGGTATCGACTTCCGTTTTTTAACTCTGTGGGCTGAACAGAAGAAGTGTGGTTGCTGACCACTTCCAGATGTTCTTAGATGGTACTGAAGTAGTAACTGGGCCTTTGTCCTAAGGGCACCACAATTGAGAGGGTGTAATTTGTTTCTAGAAAAGTACAAAAGTTTCTGTTGGTAAATGCTGCTGGAAGAGTGTGAACCATCTGCCCCATCATGTAGGCCATGTCCAGGTGCTTCTCCCCTGCCAGAAGAAAACACAAACAGGTGGTGTCAACAACCAATGTGGCTGTTGCACACTCATATGACACATACACAGTTCCTTCCTTCTCTTCCCTTGTATGCTAGTCTCACACAACTCAAGCTTATCCAATAGGAAAGTGAAATTCTGGGTGCTGAAATTGCTAGTAATAGCTCTGGATAAAATTAGTTGATTGGATCTATTGGAAGGGGGGTTCAGGCCCACATTTGGCACTTAACTCTGCATGATGACAGGGAACATGTGACCATCTTGATTTTGTTTAATATCTTGGCAACTTCCAGTACTATCTTGATATGATATTCTTTTGGAGAGGCTGTTCCACTAGCGAGTTGAGGACATGACCTTGCACTGGTTTAGCTCATCCTTGGGACCGTTTATTTATTTATTCAATTTTTACCCCGCCCCTCTAGACAACGTCTACTCAGGGCGGCTTACAAAAATTAAAACACATTAAAACAATGTAGGGTTTACCCCTAGAGATAAGGCGTTGGGTCCAAGAGGTAGCTCATGGAGCAATTGCATGGCTTTGTGATGCCTCTGTTTGGGATGCTGTAGTAGACAAGCGGTTCAGCACCAGGAATGAATTCTGCAGGTGCAACCATTGAATGTGGCTATATAGAATTGTTGCATGTATAACAGTGTCATACAGCTCGGCTTCCCTTTTTTGTGTGCACTCCAAGTGAGACAGTGGATATGCTGAATTGGCACCTAGCTGTGTCTGAATGAAATGAGACTTAGTTTGGAAAGTTAGAAGTGCTATGGGGGGGAAATAGATTTTTTTAGACATTATGGAGTGTTTTTCAAACTGTTCCCCTTGAGGAAAGGGGTTTGTAGCTTGAAAGTTTTCCAGTATCCATTTCTGTCAGATCAAGCATGAATGGCCTAGTGGCATAGAGTGCCCTCTACCAGCTTTAGCTAATTGCCCAGTTGTACACCTATCTGGACAGGATTAATCTACTTACTATTATCTGTGCTTTGGTAACCTATAAAGGTCGCTATAGGGGTGGGCAGGATAACCATTCCCTTGCTAAGAAAAAGTTCAGTGGAAATAATCATTTGCTCTTCCTGTGAACCTTCAACGCTATCAGTTTTTCTTGTTTAAGCCAATAAGTATTGTAAGAATAGAAGTGAAATTTCAGCAATTAATTGGGAAGGATGCAACAGAAAATTAATCACCAGATGCCACAGAGTTCGGCTACCCATGGATTACTGATACGTACTTATGTGCTAAACTACCTTTGAAGATGTTCCAGAAAATATGACACCTGTTTTGGTCAAGCTGCTCTTACTGCAAATTGATGCTCCCCCTAATTTTCTACCAACGCTAGATGGGGCCCCGCCCTGCACATGCAGGGTTTTGGCTGTGACTGAAACCAGGTGGGTAGCAACACTGGCTGCAGGTACATGGCACTGATGCTGTGCAGCCACCCAGCTTGGAGAGAATGTTACTGCCAATATATTTCTGATTCCGGTTCAGAGTGCTAATTATGAACAACTCAGGGCCCCAATATTTGCTGGACTCTGTCCTCCGTCATGAATCAACCCATGTCCTGAGATCATCTATCACTTTGTTCTGAGTATTGCTTCCAAGAGAGGCTTAGAGGGTGAAAATAGACAGCCTTTTCAGTTGTGGCCCCTTGTCTATGGAGTGCCATCCCCAAGGAGCACCAGATACCCAATATTATTGTTTATATGGGTGCTCTGACACCATATAGTTATGGTTCATGAGCAATTTTCATGTTCTCTCCCCCACAGAATGTAGTGGATGTGATTCTGTTTTTGTTTTGGTAGCCTTTTATTCACTGGCTAATATTCATTGATGCTACAGTTTTACTTCTCAGTAAAACTGAACTTTCATTTCAGAATGAACTTGCTTGAACTTTCTGCAAAGTCGGTCTTTTACTAAAGTGAAATGCCAAGTATAGAGTGAAAACTGTTTTTATTTAATCCCCTCCTTGGGTAGGACTGGCTCATTCTGATCCTGCAATGTGCTTCCTAGGTAGAGAGGGACTTTCAACATCATGCCATCAGCCAATGGTGGCCAGAATTATGAGCACGAGTGTGGAGGATGCTGGAAAGTAGGTCTGGGTTTGTCACAGCCATCACCCAATGGTGGTCAGAATTATGAGCACGAGTGTGGAGGATGCTGGAAGTGGGAATATTGTTGTTCAGTTTAGGCAATACAGAGGGCATATCTGGAACAACTACAGCTCCTAGGAAGTACTGCAGCAGATTCCTTGTTGTCGAAAGTAGAAACAGACTAAAGAAGGCATTAATAGGGGTTGAATATAGCTGGTCTGTAGACCTCTGTTTGTGGGCTGCATCTCCCAGAATTTTGCCTGGGGAATCCCTGTGTGTCCCTCAAGAGACCATTGGAGATACTCTTTTCCTTCCCTTTTGTTGTTACGTGATATCAAGTTGGAACCCTAACAGCGTTTTCAAGATAAGTGAGATATTTAAGGAGTGGTTTTGCCTGTTCTATTTACCCAGTCAGTTTCCATGGCTGAGCAGAGAGTGGAACCCAGGCCTCTTGAGTTTTAGCCCATCACTTAATCCATAACTCCTCATAGGGAATCCTTCCCTTTATGGGGCCCCATTCCCCTTCCAAAATATATATTGACTCTTGTGATGTCAAGAGACTGAATCCACAGAGATTTGTGCCCATCTCTACAGATTAAACTAAACGAAGGATGGACAAGAAGGTAAATTGGGATTTGCTGGTCTGTGAGAAAGAATCTTGGGTGAAAAACTAGGAGTGGAATTGTTTATAAATGGCTATCAGTTGCTCCTTGCTGTTTTGAACTGCGATTATGTGTGAATGCAAGCAATGATTTGCTGATGTATATTTTCACAGGAATGTTCAGCTATGTGAAAACTCAGTAAAGAATTCAAGCTTTTGACTCTAAATATCTTTTATCCAAAGTACCGGCAAGATCTCACTAAGGAGTGGTGTGTTTATAAAGTGGAATGCGTATGAAGTAAGGGTTGATCTCTTCATCCCATGGATCCTTTGGGTGCACCTTCCCATTTTGTAGATATTGAAACTTTGCCAGTGTGGGCTGACCTTCATGAGGCAGAACAATCAAACTCCTCTCCAAGTCCAGATGAATATGAACAAGTTGATGTTCGGTCACCTTTCCCATATAGGAGAGACATCAATGAAAAAATACTGCTGTGGTAAGTTTGTACTTCATGATTTTTTAACTTATGTCTTATGTCTTATGTCTTATATGAACCGGCATTGTTCTATTTAGACTTTGGTCTGCCCCACTGTTTCTCAAAATGGACTTCTTGTGGCTGATTTGGATTGTGGTTTCTGTAATGCCTTGCCATTGGATGTGTTGGCCAGGGCTGATGGGACTTGTATTCCCCTGCATCTGAAATGCTGTAGTTGTCGGGGGGAGAGGGTCTACATAAACAGAGCTAAAGTGGAGGGCAGGGCAGGGCTCATTGGTGAGTTGCTGATTTGCTCCTGGTGGATCATGTATTAGCTGCTGGTGTCTGGGACGTTTCTGATTAATACACGTTGAGTTAGGTAGTTCTTGCTTGAATTCATCAAGGCACTCCTGTTATTATGCAATGTGCATGTTCAGGACTAAAACAGATTAGTCACTCCTCACTTATGGTTTAGCACTTAAGAGGCTCTGAATATGTATTCCAGAAAACAATAATTTTAAAGATTACTGGAGCTCTTTAGAAAGCACATACCAGCTGTGAAGGATTTTTTAAATTTTATAAAAATATTGTTATTATCCTTATTGTCATTTGGTAGAGAGTTGTAACTATTGTTTTCCTGTGCTGCTCACTGAATAGTAGTGGTCTTTTCTTAGGCAAGGTGATGTAGCATTGCTGAACTGCACAGCTATAGTGAACACCAGTAATGAGTCTCTCATGGATAAGAATCCGGTGTCCGAAAGTATCTGTATGCATGCAGGACCTGACCTTAGGGCGGAGCTGCAGAAACTCAAAGGTAAAGTGGGGGATCTGGTTAACCTAGTCAGTTTTGGAGCAATTGACTAAACTGATAAAAGGGGATTGTGTCTCAGTATTGGGTGATTTATATTAGTTATCTCACTACTATATTTAAACAGACCAAAAAATACCCTATAGTGTGAACAAACATATTCGCACAAAGGTGGCCAAAGTTTCAGAGCATCCAAGCCACAGACTACAATCCTCAGAGCCTAACCACAAGAGAGAGTTTTTATCTACATGTTAAACACTTTTTATTATTAATTTTGTTAATTTATTTAGGTATTATAACTACAAGTCAGTATTTAATCATGAGCACAGCTAAAAAAACCACTTGTATGAGTAGAAAGAATTAGGAAAAGTTCATGTGGTTCTTAGGATCGCACAAAACGCAAGAGTAGAATGATACCTTTATTGAACCACTTAAAAACATCAAACAAATTGCAAGCTTTCTTGGAGAAAATCCCATTTCATCAGGCTGGGCACCACCCCTTCATGGATAGTGCAGAAAACTTGCAGAAGAGGTGGTGTCCTGCCTGACGAAGTGGGATTTTCTCCACGAAAACTTGCAATTTGTTTTTTTTTTAGTGGTTAAAAAAAGGTATCCCCTTACTCTTGCATTTGTATGGAGTAGTTATTGAATATCTACTCTCTCTCTCTCTCTCTGTCTAACTCTCTCTCAGAATCCAATATAGAGTTATTACATTTGGGGGTTGAGAATCCAATATAGAGTTATTACATTTGGGGGGTTGAGTGTTTCATATACTTCTCTTGTATTTCCTGACTCCAGTATAAATGCCAGTTTTTTACCTCTGTCGGCCTGCTGCAGCCAGACCCCTTTTGCTTCCTTGCAGTAGTATTAACACCAGAAAATGCCATGTGATTTATTTATTTTTTTTTGGTGCCAACACATTGGCTGGCAATATATTTATTATCTGGCTGTTGTAGGGGATAAGTAAATAAGTTTGGAGAAATTGCTTTTTTCATCAGAATCGGTGTTCTTATGTGTGCATTTCTGTTTTAGAAATGCTGTGTTCGGATGTGTTTGAAGCTAGCTAATAGGATGTATTAGAGTAGAGAAAGAATTTTACCTGTATCACAAAATTTGATTATTAGGTAATAGCTTCTGAATTGAGAAGGTGGCATTTAAAGGTAAATGAATGTTTGTTGTGGTTTACATGTGCTCAAACTGGTTTGACTAAACCCATAACAGAACTTTTTAATAAAAGTTGCAGTATAATGAACTTTCTGAAAATAACTAATTGTGATCCAGATGAAATGTCCAGTAGCTAAATAAATAGCAGTCAAAAAAATTACAGCTCTCCCTTTTAAAAAAATATATGTCATATACTATTTACTAGAAGAAATAGTCTTGTCATTTTAATAAACCGTAGTTAAAATCAGGAACAGTTTTTCCAAGTTTGTATGTAGCGTAGAGCGGCAGCAAGTCTAAACTGGAAGAAAAAGCTTTCTTTTTCCCTCATTATACAGGAATTTGGCTGGCACCCTCGCTGGGTGTTTTTAAAAGACAGTTAAAATCTTAGCTATTTAGGCAGGCCTTCCCTCCAGTCAGCTAAGTCTTTTTATTTCTTCTTTCCTTATCCTACCCCATCTTGGTAATCCTTTCTTAAATTAATTGTCTTAATTAATATAGCAATTATATTATATTGATTTATTTTATGTTGTAAGCCGCCCCGAGTAGACATGGTCTAGAGGGGCGGGGTATAAATTTAATAAATAAATTAATTAGAGGAAGGAATATGCAAGCCCAAGACTTATCACATGTTCTTACAGCACCAAACTTCCATGTCCCTTCTTGGTGCCATTCACATATTAGGCTGCAACTTCTACCATAAGCAATCAGGAGGAAAGTTTGTCTGTCACATAAAGAGAGCACCAGATTGGGAGTCTGTACTGAACCGTAGCAGTTCTATTGGAGTGAATTTGTTGTCTTCTCTTGAGATGATGCTTCTCTCATCCTGTTGTTTGACTCTTTTAGGTTGCCGGACAGGGGAGGCAAAGCTGACAAAGGGATATAATTTGGCTGCCCGTTTCATCATTCATACTGTGGGACCTAAATACAAAAGTCGATACCGAACAGCCGCAGAGAGCTCCCTTTACAGCTGCTATCGCAATATCCTTCAACTTGCAAAGTGAGCATGTAAATGTTTTATGGGAACAAGTTCGTTCATTCATTCGTTCGTTTGTTCATTCTCTCTCTCTCTCTCTCTCTCTCTCTCTCTCTCTCTCTCTCTCTCTCTGAGTGTGTGTGATCAGCATTTCTTTCTCTCACACATACACAGTACACAAGTAAAATACTGGAATGTGGTTACTACCCTGTTTTCCTGAAAATAAGACCTAACCTCAAAATAAGCCCTACCCCCAAAATAAGCCCCAGTTAAGTGAAACCCTGCCCTCCTCCCTTGTGCAGCAACCAGAAGAAAATGATGTAACTGTATTTGAATAAATGTAGAGTGTTGTACATAAAAAAATAAAATATCTTTTGAAAATAAGCCCTACTGCATTTTTGGAGCAAAAATTAATCTAATACCCTGTCTTATTTGGGGGGAAACACGGTAGGATAAGTTATTTGCATGTTGCAACACATCTGTTGTCTGTGGGATGTGTGAAAATGAAGGTGTGGGTGCCTTAAAGAAACTGTCTCCAATTCTTTAGGAATGCTCGGTACATCCAGCCTTGTGTGTAAATACTGTTGAAACAATAGCTGTTCCGGGAGGAGGGCTAGATGTGCCTAGTTATACCCATTGACCTCTGTGGTGGGCCTGATCTAATCTGTTTCAAAGGGATAGATTGTCGAGACTAAAAGGCAAGTTAAAAGATGACAGGGGAATACATGGGGTATGAGCCTATTGCTCCTTTGGCCCCTCAAACCAGTCTCTCACCATTTCTACTGCCAGCTCTCTTACCAACCTGTTTTAATGCAGGAGGCAGCCCTGCCACTGTTCTGCTCTCCCTTTTACCTCCCAAGCAGTAACAGTAAAGTTCCTTTTTCTTTCCTACTTTCATTGTTTACCTGGTTAGGTCGTGTGGCAAAGCATGGCCCCCATCTTCCAGCTGTTTCATTTGGAATTACCTCAGGGCACCAGATTAAATATACATTTAGGAAATGTTAAAAGCTTTCTGAAAAATTGGGGAGGGGTGAGGGCAGGGCATATGACATACCTGAGGTAGCTAGTAAATTGGGGGGTGCTCCTTTTGCTGTTATTTTGACTATAACTCAAAATTCTCCAGACGTTTCTCAGGTGGAATTCTGGGGAGTTTCAGCCCACAAACACATATGAGGCTGTATGGTTTTTGCTGGCCTTTGCTTCCCTTTTCTAATGTAAAAAAAGGGGGGGAAGGGGAAGGAAGCTGCCACAGTGCTTCCTGGAAGTCCTAATTCTTCAGAAGACTACTTCTGTAGAGCCTCATGGGCAGGAAGACTATGACTCTCAGGAAGTACCATATCAGCTTCCTTTAAAAAAAAAACAACAACAGAAAGCAAGGCTAGAGAAAATCTCACAGTCACAGAGGTCGACCCAGCCCCAAATGAGCAAAATGTAAGAGTGTGTTTGTGGGCTGAAATTCCCAAAATTCTAGAAAAAAAATGGGAATTGAAGTCAAGATTCATGAAAGTGCACCTACCACTAATAAAATGATTCACACAGATAAAAACCAACAGTTAATTCTTTACCTCTCTTATTCTAATTTCAAAATAGGGAGCCCTTTGGTAGTATAGCTAAGACAGTTCTAGGGCTAAATGGCATCATTTAATAAAAATGAACTGTTCTTGCACAGCTCCTATATGTTATTGCAATTTGGATAAATGGTTTCAGTCCCGCAGTTGAAAGTGTTCTGTCAAACTCGTTGCAACTCCTATTCGCCATGCCAAGGTGTGCCTCTTCAGCTGCTTTGCGTTTGGAGGCTGGTCTTCAATCGGTGGAATGTCAAGCTTGGCTGTATGCATTCCGATTCTGGTTGAAGGTGGTATATGCTCCCACAACTAGTGGGTATTTATACTATTTACAAAAAGATGTCTTTGCCAGCTCATGACATAAGGGATTTACTGACAAATTACATCTTTTAGGCTTCTCAATTACCTGAGGTAGCTAGTAAATTGGGGGGTGCTCCTTTTGCTGTTATTTTGACTATAACTCAAAATTCTCCAGACGTTTCTCAGGTGGAATTCTGGGGAGTTTCAGCCCACAAACACATATGAGGCTGTATGGTTTTTGCTGGCCTTTGCTTCCCTTTTCTAATGTAAATAAGGGGGGGAGGGGGAAGGAAGCTGCCACAGTGCTTCCTAGAAGTCCTAATTCTTCAGAAGACTACTTCTGTAGCGCCTCATGGGCAGGAAGACTATGACTCTCAGGAAGTACCATATCAGCTTCCTTTAAAAAAAAAACAACAACAGAAAGCAAGGCTAGAGAAAATCTCACAGTCACTGAGGTCAACCCAGCCCCAAATGAGCAAAAGTGTGTTTGTGGGCTGAAATTCCCAGAATTCTAGAAAAAATTGGGAATTGGAGTCAAGATTCATGAAGGTGCACCTACCACTAATAAAATGATTCACACAGATAAAAACCAACAGTTAATTCTTTACCTCTCTTATTCTAATTTCAAAATAGGGAGCCCTTTGGTAGTATAGCTAAGACAGTTCTAGGGCTAAATGGCATCATTTAATAAAAATGGACTGCACTTCTGGTTTCAGTGCAGACTGAGCCACCTTCTCTTCTTGTGACCTTTGAGACAGTGAAATATGGAGGAAACATCTGGATTCTTCTGAATGATTAGCATATGCTGTCTTGAACTCCTTCCAGAGTGCTTGGCTTGATTCTGTTTCTTAGGACCAAGGCCCTCATCAGGTGTTCTTTTTTCTGTTCACATTTACCATAGATAGAGAGGAGTGCTGTGACCTTTATTTCAGGTAAGGTTGCTCTTCTACATCAGGAAAATGACAAATCTGAAGAGGAGGTCTCCCAAGCTCTATGGGAGAGCTCTGTGCAAGTCAGAGCACTGGGTGTTGTTGTTGTTGTTTTAAACGATCTCAGGGTTTTTAAAAAGGAATATCTATCCACAGTGTGGAACAAAAATAGAAATCTACAGAATCATGTTCATTTACTATTACTTTCTAAAGCCAAGAATATGATACAATCTCCATGAATCTGTCTTAATATTTGGTTCCATGGAGATGCTGCAGGACCCTGCAAAGGACAAACAAACCTGCTGTTGTTGAATTGCTCTGGCGATCCTAATCACCATTCATTTGCCACAATAACAAACATAACAAAATGGGAGTGCTATTATGAACCTGTTCTGACTTCAGCAGCACTGGTTTGCTGATGACTTTGCTTCTGTCTTTCTTTACATTTCTGGTTTTAGGGAGCAGGCGATGTCCTCAGTGGGATTCTGTGTGATAAACACTGTGAAGCGAGGTTACCCTTTAGCTGATGCCACTCACATAGCACTTCGTAAGTACCCCTGGAAGATTAATTATTGTTCTTGATATAGGCTCATCTGTGTACATGGTGCTTCTCAAAGAATGAGAGACAAGTCTTACCTACTAGAAGTAATTGCAAGAGAGACAACAGAAGAAGGAAATGTAGGCAGAGGCAGAAAATGGAAATTAACAGATTGTTTAAGCCTAGTGACAACAAACAAACCTGCTCTTGTTGAATTGCTCCGGCGATCCTAATCGCCATTCATTTGCCACAAAAACATAACAAAATGGGAATGCTGTTATGAACCTGTTCTGACTTCAGCAGCACTGGTTTGCTGATGACTTTGCTTCTGTCTTTCTTTACATTTCTGGTTTTAGGGAGCAGGCGATGTCCTCAGTGGGATTCTGTGTGATAAACACTGTGAAGCGAGGTTACCCTTTAGCTGATGCCACTCACATAGCACTTCGTAAGTACCCCTGGAAGATTAATTATTGTTCTTGATATAGGCTCATCTGTGTACATGGTGCTTCTCAAAGAATGAGAGACAAGTCTTACCTACTAGAAGTAATTGCAAGAGAGACAACAGAAGAAGGAAATGTAGGCAGAGGCAGAAAATGGAAATTAACAGATTATTTAAGACTAGTGACAGTTGGGTATTGGGATGAAGATGTCGTGACAAAGGTTTGGTGGAAAGATGTAGCCTAGCCTTGATATTCTGCTTTGCACATTCAGCAGCCTCATATAAGGACAATAAACGTTTGTAAACCACAGTTCCTTTCACGTGGAGTTAACAAAAGAGTGAAGCAAACTATTTTACTCCTAGTGTCTGAGAACACAGTCTGTTTTTATATGCATTCAGTTGACAAAACAGCTGCCTTGATGTTTGGCGCTCTGCATGCTCTAAGCTTTGGTAGTTTATGAACCTTATATTTGAAGGCCAGATCATATGGAGCATAAAGTGACTACATGATATCCATCGGCTGTTATGTACTGTTGGGTCAGCCCAACTTAACCAACTTATAGCAACCTGAATAGGACTTTCAAGGTGAGATATTTAAGGAGTGGCTTAAGTTCCATACCCCTAGCGAGTTTTCATGGCTGAACAAAGATTCGAACCCAGGCCTTCTGAGTCCTAGTCCATTACTTCATCTACTACATCTCACTGGATATCATATCAGTTATACAAAGTATTTTAAAGGGAATATTTACACACATACTTGTCAGCTCATACTTCATGCCAAACCATAGTTTGCACTCCCAGACATAGAGGCAAACCACAATTTAGTGTTGCTTGTCTATTCTCCAGTTCTGTCTTAGAAATCCAGACTCTAGAAGAGGCACTGAAGGCAGAGCTGTGAGTGAAACGATGGTTTGTCAGTTCAGACATTCCACCAAATAAAGAGTTAAGCTTTATGATCTCCAAATTGGAGCAGTAATTTTTTTCCACTGTCCCAAATCTAATGTAAAGCACACTGGTTAAAGGTGGCCACAGGTATCCCTCTGGCTTTTTTGAGTTTTTTAGTGAATCCATTTGTGAAAGTCTGAGTCAAATGATAATTATATTTGAGTCTTATTTACATTTGGGTTGATGAACAACATCAGAAAGCAAGGGCAGTTCCTCGGTAGATAAGTAGGCATTTTCCTCTCTCTTTTACAGGAATTTTCTTTCTCTCAGACAACCCCTTTCCTTTCTCACAAACGCACACCATTCGCTCTCATGGGCAAACACCGCAGCATTGTTACAACTTTTACATACAGCATCCTTACACAAGCACACACACATCGTTGTCTTTCACGCCCTCTTACTCATTTTCTATCATTATGCAACACATATATATGTACGGTATGGGAGTGAAAATTGTAACTTCCTATTCCTTACTTCTTTCCTTTGTTATTTTACTTACTTACTTACTTACTTGTTGCTTAGTCATTAAGTCGTGTCCGACTCTTCGTGACCCCATGGACCAGAGCACGCCAGGCCCTCCTGTCTTCCACTGCCTCCCAGAGTTGGGTCAGATTCATGTTGGTAGCTTCCATGACACTGTCCAACCATCTCATCCTGTGTCGTCCCCTTTTCCTCTTGCCTTCACACTTTCCCAACACCAGCGTCTTTTCCAGGGAGTCTTCTCTTCTCATGAGATGGCCAAAGTATTGGAGCCTCAGCTTCAGAATCTGTCCTTCCAGTGAGCACTCAGGGTTGATTTCCTTCAGAATGGATAGGTTTGCTCTCCTTGCAGTCCAGGGGACTCTCAAGAGTCTCTAGCACCACAATTCAAAAGCATAAATTCTTCGTCAGTCAGCCCTCTGTATGATCCAGGTCTCACTTCCATACATGGCTACTGGAAAAACCATAGCTTCGACTATGCAGGCCTTTGTTGGCAAGGCGATGTCGCTGCTTTTTTCTTTTTTTAACTTTTACTAACTTACTTACAGAGAAAATACTAAAATGGGAGAGGATAGTCATATACTTTACTCATATGTAGTAAGGTCAAATATCATTTTTTTTTCTACTTTTGCTGACTCTCATCTTTATTTCTCACCCACCCAGGAACAGTACGGCGATTTTTGGAGATTCATGGGAATACACTTGAAAAAGTGGTGTTTGCAGTGTCTAAGGTTGAAGAGGTAAGTAGATGTTCCTGCTCACATGTGTAGACGTATTCTTCTGCAGTTGTGAGCTCCTCTGTTGCTCCTCTTCTGAAGTGGCAAAAATGCATTTTCCATCTTGTCTCTTAAGCCACATGATACCCCCCCAAGCCACTCATTCATAGACTTCCTGCTGTGTAATCAATAAGTGGTTATGCCAGATTATGTAGATTACCTCGTGCTGTAAGATAGTCCGTAAGGCTATAAGAGCTTTAAGACTGGAAGTACACGTCATTTATTGTAAAGGAAAGCAATACATCTCTAGAATACTGCCAAAAGAGGTTGGAAACATGGCAGCCTTCAATTAGGAAAACATAGAGATGTAGTAAAACATTAAAGTGATGGACTATGATATTGCAAAATGGATCTATGCTGTTTATGGCTTACCATATATTTATGGTAGAAATTCTTCTTCTTCAGAAAATGACTTCTTACAAGTTGTATTGGTCAGGATCCTCTTTATTACAGCTGCCAGCATAATTTCATTGGCAGCAAATCACTTCTTTTTAAAAAGTCAGTGTAGGCATTTGACTTTATGTGTGGAGTTGTTTAACACAATGTGCAACAGCAAATGCCAATGCTGACTTCTTGACTTGCAGTAGTTTACCACTGAATTGTATTCTGACTGACGTGTGCCAGTGTAAATATCTAATGGGAGACAATGTAATATACTGGTTGGAGTTTTGGATCAGGATTCAGAAGACCTGGATTCAAAACTGTCTCACTTGCCCACGGGCACACACTGGTGGGTAGCAATTGTAAACCAATCCTTGAAAGTTCACTATACCTTGAAAACCCTATTAGGATTACCATAAATGAGAAGCAACTTGATAACACATAACAAATAGGTAATAGGATTCTGGCCAGTTTGTTTTTAATTTACTCTGAAGAGTGGAGGTATAAGACAAACCATTTTCCAACTCTGCTTCTTTTGCAGCCTACGTATCAGAAGATGCTGCCTCTGTATTTCCCAAGGTCAGTGGAAGAAGAGAAGAGGTCCTTGCCTTTCCTTCCTGCCGATATTGGCAATGCACAAGGGGAGCCAGTGGTGCCAGAACGTCAGATCAGAATTAGCGAAAAGCCCGGTGTCTCAGAGGGTGAGTCTGCCATTTGTGTCAAGAGTTGGTTGAAAAATGAGAGTAGACACCATTGGCAAAGCAAAAGGATTTGTATGCAGAAGGACATAGGGATGTTATTAAGTCCCACCCCCATTGTCCTCTCTGTTAAGAGATTGCTCAGACAGTCACATATTCAGTGGAAAGGTCTGATGAGATGCTGGTAAACACATTCACTGGCATGTATTTACAGTCACATGATCAGCAGCCCTGATAATTCAGAACTCAGTGGTAAACCACTATAAGTGCATTCAGTTGTCTGCATTTTCAAGTACCTCTTCAGATCTCCATACACAAATGTTTGAGTGGCTTCTAACTGGGGAGGGGGCATTCACACTCCCATCCCCCCAGTGCTTAAATTCCTACAGTGTTTCAGGCTGTAATATGTGAATAGAGCTAGTATTGATCCATTTATCATTTCCTTTATACAGTGTCCCTGCTAGGCACTGTGTTATTATTTTAAGATGTTATTTATTCCCTGCTGCACATTGTAAGCTACTGCTCCTCCCACCCATCTATCAGAAAGGGAACATCTGACAAGCTGTGGTGGCAGGAATTGCCCTTCACGGGATGTCCTCTGTTCCTCAAGAGGATCCAACACTTGAATACATCTATATCAAGTGAAATCCAAAGAAACAAAACAAAACAGAAAAATACAAAAATTATTCTGTTTTAATGTAAGCTTTCGTGGACATGCCCACTTCCTCAGACATACAGAAACAGAATGAAATGTTGAATGAAATGTCAGTTTCACAAGCAGAACATTCTAAATCATCATTGGGTCTTGGGTGTATGGCACATCTACATGCAATAATTTATGACCTATGTTGTTTTAGGGTGCTGACGAAGCTCACATTAAAGTATAATAGTTAGTCTTTAAGGTGCCACATGTTTTTGCGACAGCGTTTTCGCGCCCTCCCCTTGCTTACCAAGGGCGCGAAAACGCTGTGCCCTGGCCGCTTTTGGCTGTTCCGGCGGCCATTTTGGACCCGCCGGACAGCTGATCACAGCCATTTTCGCGCCCTTGTTCAGCGAGGGGAGGGCGCGAAAATGGCTGCCAGCCGCCCGGAAGCATCGTTGAACGGTGAGTATTCAGCCCAATTGGAACGCATTAAACACTGTTTAATGCATTCCAGTTGGTTTTCTTGCCCCGTTCAACAATGTTTTCACACAGCGAGGGTTAATCCGGAACGGATTAACCTCGCTGTGCGAGGCACCACTGTACCTCTTCAGATCTCCATACACAAATGTTTGAGTGGCTTCTAACTGGGGAGGGGGCATTCACACTCCCATCCCCCCAGTGCTTAAATTCCTACAGTGTTTCAGGCTGTAATATGTGAATAGAGCTAGTATTGATCCATTTATCAGTTCCTTTATACAGTGTCCCTGCTAGGCACTGTGTTATTATTTTAAGATGTTATTCCATTCCATTTATCAGTTCCTTTATACAGTGTCCCTGCTAGGCACTGTGTTATTAAGATGTTGTTTATTCCCTGCTGCACATTGTAAGCTACTGCTCCTCCCACCCATCTATCAGAAAGGGAACATCTGACAAGCTGTGGTGGCAGGAATTGCCCTTCACGGGATGTCCTCTGTTCCTCAAGAGGATCCAACACTTGAATACATCTATATCAAGCGAAATCCAAAGCAGTGTCCCTGCTAGGCACTGTGTTATTAAGATGTTGTTTATTCCCTGCTGCACATTGTAAGCTACTGCTCCTCCCACCCATCTATCAGAAAGGGAACATCTGACAAGCTGTGGTGGCAGGAATTGCCCTTCACGGGATGTCCTCTGTTCCTCAAGAGGATCCAACACTTGAATACATCTATATCAAGCGAAATCCAAAGAAAACAAAACAAAACAGAAAAATACAAAAATTATTCTGTTTTAATGTAAGCTTTCGTGGACATGCCCACTTCCTCAGACATACAGAAACAGAATGAAGTGTTGAATGAAATGTCAGTTTCACAAGTAGAACATTCTAAATCATCATTGGCTCTTGGCGAATGAAATGTCAGTTTCACAAGCAGAACATTCTAAATCATCATTGGGTCTTGGGTGTATGGCACATCTACATGCAATAATTTATGACCTATCTTGTTTTAGGGTGCTGACGAAGCTCACATTAAAGTATAATAGTTAGTCTTTAAGGTGCCACATGTTTTTGTAAGGGTGTTTTTTTTCACAAGTAGAACATTCTAAATCATCATTGGCTCTTGGCTGTATGGCACATCTACATGCAATAATTTATGACCTATCTTGTTTTAGGGTGCTGACGAAGCTCACATTAAAGTATAATAGTTAGTCTTTAAGGTGCCACATGTTTTTGTAAGGTGTTTTTCCCCCCCTTTGGATTTTGCCTGATATGCTTGCACAGCCTAACACAGCTACCTCCTCTAAAGCTACCTTCTCTTTTGGCTCCAAGTGATTACTCCCTTTTGACATCCCTGAAACTTGAACTGTTGTCAACTGTTGATCCAAACAATGAAACATTTACACAGTCTGTTTGGTCACAGCAAGAGACACTGCTAAATAGTTTTTCTGTATTGGACTTGTATTATGCCTCTCTATCCTGAACAGGTTTTTCATTATATTTTTTTTTTGGCAGATAATTCTGACGAGGAAGGACTAGAAGCAGACTTGTCATTTATTGGCTCACATGCTTTTGCTCGCATGGAAGGAGATGTTGATAAACAGAGGCGTCTCGTCCTTCAGGGGCAACTTTCTGAGGCAGCGCTACAGAAACAGCATCAAAGAAAGTGAGGCAACTGTAAAATGAGCACTTACTTGAAATCATTTGGGTTTCATATTCAGTGGTATAGGGGATTATATTATTTTGCAACAGATTATTTTTTTTTAAATCAGGAAGGGAAAAGTTTACCTTGGGCCGGTCTGTTCTTTGTTTGAGAGGATGACAACTCTGCGTGATTTTTAATAACTTCCAGTACAACCATTTCCTATATAACTTCCATTTTCCTTTTAGTATGTGCAAATGATAAGAGCACGAGGTTATGCAAAAATGCAGCAGGTTGTTTATGTTTATTTCCCTAATAGTATGCCTTTGGTAGTAGTCGCTATGCTTGCTCATCATGGCATTGCATCACTAGGAAATGTCTGAACATGTGGCTTCTTTCTAGTTACAACCGCTGGCTTTGTCGGGCAAGAGCCGAAGACCTGTCAGACATTGCTTCCCTTAAAGCTTTGTACCAGACAGGTAAGTTCAGTCCACCTAATTATGCTTTAACTCTTCCTTGTTGATGAGTATATTGTAGTGAAAAGTTTGCAACTCAACACCACAAGTAAGAAATATGGGTGGAGCAATAATTCTGAGATAACTATCCTGGAGTAACAGTTACCTTGGAAAGAGGTTAAATAGCATGTTCCAAGTGTGCATGGAAAAAATCTTTTTGACTCCTGCACAATCTAAGACAATTTATAGTGAATAGAAAGTCAAATGTGGTGGGAGTATTCAGAACATTGCTCCTTTACTCACCACGTCTTTACAAATAATGAGCTTTTAGGCTGAATTTGCTTGCTGTGCCCAGTATTCATGAATCTAAAGCAGTTTATTTTCCCTCATTCTGTTTGTAGGTGTTGATAACTGTGGTCGTACAGTGATAGCAGTGGTTGGAAGAAATATTCCTGTTACTCTTATAGACATGGAGAAGGTGAGATCCTGGCAAGCAGTGTAAAACTCTAGTAGTTACTCCTTGCAGTTATAATAAAGTGACCAGACTCCTGTCTGGAATACTTCAGTGACTCTGGATGGATTGATTGATTTAACCAACCTCACCTCACTGCTGCTGGTTTGACTGCCAGAGCAAAAGTATTTAGTTACATGTGCAAGATGAAAATGCATTGCCGGGAGTAACTTTCTGTCTTATGAAAATTAATCCCTCTGCTACTTTGTTCCTGGAATAAAACAAAGATAGGTAACAAAATCCTCTGCTGAAACATTGCATCTGACAGTTTGTCATTTTTCTTATGTCTCAGGCTCTCTTGTACTTTATCCACGTGATGGATCACATTGTAGCGAAAGAATATGTCATTGTGTATTTCCATACGCTCACTAATGTCTACAATCATTTAGACTCGGATTTCCTGAAAAAGCTCTATGACATTGTTGATGTCAAGTAAGTTTTCTTTAGTATGTCTTCAAATGTTCTCCTTTTGTACAGACAACAACCCAAAGAAATTTATTTTTTTTTAAATGAGGGGAGAAGAGACATTATGTTGAATGAATCCATAACGATGCCAGCATTCAACATAAAATGAGTATAAATTTATTTCCTGTACTGAATGTCTACTTTTAGATGTTTTACCACAGATAAATGATTCAGTGTCATTGTATGGATTTTGATAACTCTTGGAACCAATGTTCCCTCTAATTTTCTGGAGCACTGCGTTGAGGCTCCGCCCCATACGTGCGGAGTTCTGGCTGCAACCGGAAGCAAACAATCAGAAACCTTGGATCAGCTGTGTGACCTTGATGCAGTGGCGCACACCTGCGCACCTTAGAGAGAATTTTGCTTGGAACAATGGTTCTTTCTTTGTGGATTTTGATAACTCTTGGAACCAATGTTTCCTCTAATTTTCTCGAGCACTGCGTTGAGGCTCTGTCCCATACGTGTGGAGTTCTGGCTGCAACCGGAAGCAAACAGTCGGAAACCTTGGATCAGCTGTGTGACCCTGATGCAGTGCCGCACACCTGCGCAGCTTAGAGAGAATGTTGCTTGGAACAATGGTTCTTTTTTTTTTTGCCTAGAGCAGCGATGGCGAACCTATGGCACGTGTGCCACAGCTGGCACACAGAGCCCTCTCTATAGGCACGCCAGCCATAAGTTGCCATCGAGAAATACTTACCCATCCTCTGATCCTGGATTTTGGCACTCCTCTCTGCTGGTGCAGTGGTACAGCAGAGGGACGCAGTGGTGACCATTACAAGTCTAGCCCAATGGGGGATTGGAGGACCGGTAAGTATTTCTTTGTTAATACCACCCATAGGAAGAAAAAAAAAACCACGAACATTTAACCCTTGTAGTGCAGGAGCAGTTGTTTTTTTCTAAACTAAAACCTCAGTATTTGGGTTTTAATTGCAGTGTTGGCACTTTGAAATAAACAAATTGATTTTGAGTTGCAGTTTGGGCAGCACTCGGGCTCAGAAAGGTTCACCATCACTGGCCTGGAGTGTAGTTCTCTGTAGGACTTCTGAGTTCTTGCGTGATTCAACAAATGCTTGTTTAAAACCTTATATGTTTTGTTTCTCTCATTAACTAGGTACAAAAGACATCTGAAGGCTTTGTACTTTGTCCACCCAACCTTTCGCTCAAAGGTAAACTGCCATCTCAGGGTGCGAAATGTAAATTTGGCGAAGCAGCAGTGGATTTGTAAATACTGGGCAGTACTGCTTAAATTATGGTCTTGTACAAACCCTGATGGGTGTTTCTTTAGCAGCATTCAACTAGTGCCATAAAAGTAAAACCATAGAAAAAATAATTATTATTTAGGTTGGACTCAGAACTGCCATCTGTGATCCAATGGTGATTTTCAGCTCTAAAAGCCACTTCCAGGGAGCCCTCAGAACCTAAAAGTGGGAATTTAAATAAAAATTTACCAGCCTGCATGATTTGACTTCCAGGGTGTCAACTTATCCCAACAGGATTTCGTATAATGTATACTAGTTACCAGTGTAGTGTAGCAGACAAGGACTCAGGCGGCCTGAGTTCAAATCCCTATTCTGCCATGGAAACTCATTGGGGGTGTGGAACTGGCAAAACTACTCCTTAAATATCTCACTTACCATGAAAGTCCTCTTAGGGTCTCTTGTAAACTGGTTCCAACTTGGTGGCATGTAACATCATCATCATACTGGTTATACAATATAATGTTTCCTGGCTGAGTCATGATAACTAAGTTCACCCAGGATGAAATGATGTGGGCCATCAGTATTGACTCTGGAAGATATAACTTCTCAAATGGTTTTGAGAGCAAGATATGGGCCTGGAAATTTTAAGTGTGTGTGTGTGAATGCAACACTGCCCCTTGATAAAAAAATATTGCATAGTTCTTAAAATAAAACTCCAAAGTGACACTACCTCGGGCTGTTGTTAAAACTAACCATTCGCCTGTTTGTGTATGCTTTAAAAAATGGCTAAATCGTTGTGCTGTCATCTGAATGCTTGCTCTCTGATGGGAACATTAATTTTCTATTTTGGTCCATTAGGTTTCCACATGGTTTTTCACAACGTTCACTGTCTCGGGCATGAAGGACAAAGTCCACCACATAGAAAGTCTCCAGCAGTTGTTCACAGCCATTCCTCCCGAACAAATTGACTTCCCGCCATTTGTTCTTGAATATGATACTAGGGTAGGTGTTTTTTGTGTTTTTTTCCAGAGTGGCATGTTTGCAGCTTCCTAAAGCTGACTGAAGAGTAGTTGTCTTTCCTTCCCATTGAAAAGATGTCTGGGGGGCACAGCTTTAGGACCTACTAGATTTTTGAAGTTGCTTTTGTTGGGGTAGTTAAAGATATAGATATGCTGTCTCTTACCAAAAGAAATATCCTCCCCCCCTTTTTTTCTTTTCTTCTCTTGCTATTACATTACATTATATTCTTGCTATTTATTTTATTTTGCAAACTAACACACATTTTCTGGGATGATATGAGGCAGTTTCCCAAAGGACCATGGACAACAACTAATGTGTAGCATTTGCCTCACAGACAGATGCTGTGGGTAAGAAGGTCACCACTTAGAAGAGGTTGTTCTCCTGGCAGTCCTTGAAAATTCACTTGTGCCCACAAGGTTAATGAGGAGTTTGTAGGGGTTGGTTGGGAGAGAAGAGGATTTTACAGCTACTAACGTAAAGTACATCTCCTTTAAATGGCAGGACTCTGTGTGCAATAGACTTCATAAAAGATAAACCTAGAGAAAATCCCATTCTCTGTCCCTGTCCTGAGATTTTTATTTTATTTATATCTCATATTTCTTCCAGCACAGGGTCCCGAGATGGATAATTTGCTTTTCCTATTATCTCGGTTTTCCTTGACATTCTAAGCTCTTGAGTATTCCACATGCACTTTAGTTAAAAATATGAGTATTTTCTGTTCGGGCATGTGCACGAATGTTTGATTATATTCCTAGTGCTCTGCAGATGGATTTTATCTGTCCAACTAAGGTCACTTTTTAAACTACTTCCAATGGCAATTGGGAGAAATTTTTTGTCACACTCTGAGCTGACTTTTCCCCACTTTGCTGATTTTCCTAGAAGGTCCAGTAGACTCTTTCCAGTGGAAGTCACTGAGACAGCCGATGATTTTTGCACTGAATGTCAGAAATGCAATTGTAAGAAACAGCGAGCAACCTAATTTGTTGCAACTAATTAACAAGGTACTGGGGTACATCTCAGTCCTATGCCTGCTCCCATGTCCAGCTGTGCATCCAAGAAATGCTCTGACTATGTGTGAATTCTAGTAGGGTTCCAGCCAGCATAAGGAGACCTGTCCCACAGCACTTCTGTGCCTTATTTTGGTCCCCTTGCCATGGTCAGACCATCATCTAATAAAATGTAACCTCGTAATGGACCTCCCCCCTCGCAGGGAGCGGGGACCTATTGCTATGGTCCGCCCTTGAAGACTACTGGATCCTATTGGATTCCAGGATGCCATGAGAGGTGTTACGGCTGACCTGGGTGGCGCTGCTATCGAGGCTCTGGCTGACAGCTAGTCTACCGCTGCCACTAGGGCTATAGACACGATCGCGCCTAAACGCCCTCTCCTCCGTAGAGCTCGGCCAGCGCCCTGGTTTAACTAGGGCCTCCGAGCACTGAAGCGTATGAGAAGGCTAGAGCGTAGGTGGAGGAAGAACCCGACGGATTATAACTGGATAGCTGTCAGGGTCGCAACTAACCTTTACCTGACTAAGGTAAAGGCTGCTTGTCAAACTTACTTCGCTAACCAGATAAGCGAAGCATCCAACCAACAGGCGGAGTTATAGTACGCAACCTATCCGGAACTGGTCCGGGTGATAGGCCTCCCCCTAGTTTTTCACCTGACCAGTTTGCAGCCTTTTTAAAATCTAAAGTGGAGGCCATCTGCCAGGACCTC